CTGACTGTAGCATCAAGCTGTCTGCAGTATTGTTAAGCTTTAATGGGATTAAAATAGGTTCAAGAATTAGTCACTGGATTACCAAACCCTTGAAACTGTTCAAGGCTTCGATTAAGATTAGAATGCAACAATCTAGCAAAATGGCACAGTATTGTGGAACTTTGGTTTTCCATTGGCTTGAGTATTCAGCTTTCAAGTTGTATACTCCAACTGCAAATCCTGTCATACTTGCCATGATCCAGATAATCTGGTAGTATCCTAGAGCCGCAACGGTTGTCAAGCTCCCATCTAGTCTATAGGTACATTATCGCCCCGCAAACCCTTATCCGCCTAATTCAACAACTATATGAATAGGCCACATGCCAAGTAATTCACAATGGGAAGCTCAGTGATGCTTTTGAAGTGAAGACAGGAAGGAGTGAAACAATGCTGTCTACTATCACCCATGATATTCCTGATTGTGGTTGACTGGATCATGCAGCAAACAGTGGGGAGCGAGAAGTGGGGGATACGCTGGCTGGACCACAGAAAAGAACCTAGAAGATCTGGATTTCGCCGATGACTTGTGCCTGGTGTCACAAACTTGAAGATGTACAGGCGAAAACTAACAAGTTGGCAGAAGAGGCTGGGCACCGAAGACACAACTTCAAGTGAACGTAGAGAAGACAGAGGTAGAGGTGATGAAGCTACCCAACCAACAACTCCAATAACAACAACAAACTCCAGTCACCATCAATGAGAGAAACTTAAAGGAAGTAGCCTCCTTCACCTACCCATCTACCTAGGCACCATCGTTTCATCTACATCACAGGTGGCGGCGGCACACACAAAGATGTCAAACTCAGGATCGGAAAGACAGCAAGACAGGTGTTCATTAACTTGAAACCAGTGTGCAGATCTACTGTATTCCACTCAGCATGTGGAACAACATCCCGATTTTCAACACCAATTCAGTCAAGTCACTGCTTCTGTATGATGCTTCAGAGACTTGGCGCATTACGAAAGCGATTTCCAACAAACTACAGACATGCATCAACAACTGCCCCTACGCTCACTCGATACTGAAGATCAGATCAGAAGGCCAGAATAATAACAATAAGCAACAAGGAACTCTGGCTGGTTGGCTGGCTGGCTGGCAACGAACCAACCAACAACCTATCTTTCAACAAATATGCAGAGGAGAGTGGAAGTGGAGATGGATTGGGCATACACCGAGAAGGCCGACTGGGGACATCATGCTGAGGCCAGGCCCTCGAGTGGAATCCCCATGGGAAGCGACGAGTTGGACGTCCGAGATGAGGGTGACATGGAGGAGATCATGCGAGGAGGAAATGAGACCTTCTGGGCTGTCGTGGAACCAGGTTCAAAAGATTTCGGAGAACAGAGTTCACTGGAGACGTGCTACTGAAGCCCTATGTTCCATCAGGAATCCAAGTGACTAATAATAATAAATAATAATTCCAAGTTATCTTATAATGTGTTATAGATTCTTCCGGAAAATAAATTGTTTTCTATATGCCCTAGATAAAAACTCAAGATTGTTCATTTTTTGAAACAGAAGAGATTTCCTACCTCACACATCTGAGAAGGATTTAATTAGGGTGGATTATAAGACTCTGAAATTGAATGATGAATTTGTAAATGATTTACAGACTATACAGTCCATTTCGGCATTTATCACAGTTGAGTAGTTTAAAAATCATAATTATATCAACAACCTGTTCGTCCTTCACTGTGTTCAGCAAAACAGTGAGGGTCATTTGTTAGCAATTTGAGAGTCTACTACTGCTGGACAACTTGAGTAGTTAGACAGCACTCAGGTTGATCTGTAGTATTTCGTCAGCCAGGCCGGAGCGATCTAATGGCTAGATGACTCTTTGGATGACTCATAATAAATTGTACCAATGACCTCTAGATATGTTCAGTGTGGGTTAGCACGAAAGCATTGCTTATCATTATTGATAGGTAGTTGGTAGCAGTGGAAACAAGGACGAGACTTGTCAGCTGAATTTACCTGCCCCCACGAAGTGATATTCTTCCCACTAGGACTGGAAGTCGAGACCAATCGCTCTAAAAACCACAGCGTTATCCACTAGACCACCAGACTGGAGAGTCACTTCTTGTGCGATGGGTATAGTTTCAATTTGTCGTGGAATGAAACAGGCAATATCGAGGCTTTCGAGCAGGAGCCCATATGCCAATAGAGACCGATCAACTCAGTCTACTCAACGATGGGATAATAGAAACAACAGCATTAGAAGTAGTGTTCTCTGAAATTATTAGTTCTTGAAGTAGTATCATAAGAGTATTACTGATGAATTTTCTGGTTTAAAAATCTCTTTCCCCAAGACACTTAAAATGTTGTTATATATAATATACTACTTAATCACATTTTAAGTAGAAGAAATGATGTTATAAGTTTCATTCTGCTTTAGGTCAGTCAAAATCCTCACATATCAAATTTTCTAGGATTGTAGACGATAATGATTCTTTGCCTCAAACAGTCAGAAGAAGTATAACAGTATACAAACTAATGAGATCTCAGCGTTACTCAGTAATGCCTGGTCCTATGTATGTCTTGATGATGATGTCTGTGTTAGGGAGTTGAATATCTTCAACCATCGGTTGCCAATCAAGCACTAGCCCAAAAGCCAACATTATCCTAACGCCGCTAAAGCCAACAGGCAGAGACTTCATCAAATAATGACAAGGTGAAGTTAGGAAGTTTTACACCCTTTTTTTGAAAAAGCTAGACCAACTTTAGCAAACATTATTCTTCGAGTTACGTAGTAACTAGGCGTGAGTAGTGCATGTTATAGCTAAGTGAGTCAATGAGGATTTACACCCTTATCAGATGACTGACCTATTTTACCTGAAACTCTACGCCTGACTTCTAAGTTACTAACGTGTTGATTGTTGCATAACCTGTCTCCTTTCTGTCTTAAGCTAACAGGTCTGTATAACTAGTTTATGTTACGAAAAATACACATTAGAGTAGAAACAGAGAATAGTGATCAATAAAGTAAGTAGTTGAGATATCATTTGTATTTAGTCGAGTGACTATCTGAGATAGCCGTAGTTTGGTAGACTAGTATTCATACTGGGTGATGAATGATGATCCCCAAACGTACTCAGATTTCTGCTTAACACGTTCAAAAGACCCTGTAATTTTTCAGCATGTTCACCCAACAAGACAAATCAACCAGACGATCTCCAGTGAGTAGGTCGATACATACGAAGTCAGACATATCTTACGTTATATCCATTAGTAACGTCTATAATGAAGTTAAACAGAAACGGCGATAACGAGCATACCTGGTAGACACTACTAGTTGTCTTCAATTCTGATGGAAACTATCACGGTGGCATGAGTTCCGATGGGAAGCTTTGACTAACGTTATATACTTGCTTAGTACTCAATAATGAATAGTGATCACACTTAATCATGAATTAGCAGAAGAGGAGAATGGAGACTAGTGGATTTCAACCTCGTGGTTGAATAGACATGAGAACTAACGTTATTGGATTCGATCTTTCACATGGTTATAAGTTCATACTATTAAAGAGTCAGAAACAAGAACGAACAGATCTCCAGTGTACTGTTTAGTTGAAAGTCATTCTCAAGCTGATATGAATCCGTAATGAAGAGAGTCAGAAAAATAATTTCGATTAATTTACAATGCGTAAATGAATGCAAAGAACAAAACACTAGGAAGTTACGATATATGAAAATGATTATCGTTTGGCTATCTGAGATGGCCGTAGTTTGGCAGACTAGTGGTAATGGGTAATGAATGAGTTGAAAATCTGGACCGCGGTCGGATTTGTACCAGTGACCACTGGGTTTCCGGCCCGATGCTCTACCAACTGAGCTACGAGGTCCAACCCGGCTGCGGTCCACTTTTTAAACCTCGTAGCTAAGTTGGTAGAACATCAGGACAGAAACCCAGTGGTTTCAGGTTCGAATCCGGCCGCAGTTTAGATTTCCATCTTACTTTCAATCACCACCCAGCATAAAAAGGAATAGCCATCATTTAGTCCTTTATGGTGATGGTAACTATGACTCTCTTAAGGTAGCAGAGTGCCCCATTATGGTTACGTGCCGGAGCGTCAATGTCAAAAAGCTGTTCACGGAAACAGGAGGTTAGGTGGTGTGGGTATTTGATCTGCTGGGCAGGAAAGCCAGAGATGAGATATGCTCCGGTGAATATTGGTCGAGCCTAGTTATACAACGATGATGAGCGTCCTCGTGACCCCACTATCGTAGTTGACTAAGCGGGGATTGAGGTCAACGGAATCCAAATGGGTTGATCAGTGGCATCGATCTCCAAAGCACGGTTAGGCAAACTGACCGTTGGGATTCCTCCCAGTGCACCAATAAAAAGTAAGGGAATCCAGCTGCTGATTCCCCAAGTAACTGTTGTTGAAGCAGTCCTAAGAGAGGTGGTGTGGCTCACCTTGGGAAGGTGGATAGTGTTGAGTCTGAAGTATTTGGCATCATTCTCTGTAGTCAAAGCCCATTTCTCCAACAGCCTTCAAGGGTGATAGGAGGTTGTCAGTAAGATGTGTACCACGCATTTCTGTCCATAAGGAGGTGAATACGGTCTATAGTAGATTACCCAGAGAACATGGATTCGCTGAAGCCCGATGGCTGAGAGAGAGGGATTCATTGCTCAATTTTCAGGGAGCGATAACAGGGTGCTTTGGTAGAAGTGTTCGTTTTCATGTGGTTGCGTTGCTAAAGATGTTTCCTGTGCGGTGAGTAAACTTATCCCTGGGTTAAGAGAGTATAACTACAGAGCACACGATTTCCGATCTGAAAGTAGAAAATGAAGCAAAAATTGGAGTAAAACCCTTTAGTTTAGTCTGGTTTGCGCCAACTCACGGCGAACATAAAAGTTAGCTAAATTAGAGAAACATAGTATTAGTTGAAAAATTATGATATTTAATTACAAATTATATTGATCTGTTGAATCCTGTGTTATTCTCTATTCAAACAGCTTGACAGCAACTCTGGCAGCAATTGGAGCAGCAAGTGTTCCCAGTGCCGGTTTGGTCACAATGATGTTAGTGTTGACATCAGTTGGGTTGCCAACAAAAGATATCTCTTTGATTCTCGCTGTTGACTGGCTACTGTAAGTTAACACGAATATTCATAATTGTCATCAACAAATTTTTGTAGACATATATATATATATATATATATATATATATATATATATATATATATAAGTTTCGGCTCATTGTGAACTCTTCAACAGTTTATATCCGTATACCTTCTGCTGTTTCCTATGAGTATATGACTATGAATTATTCTCTTTGAGAAGTAGTCAGTTAGTAACAGACAAATTGTATGAATTATTTTCAACGCATATAAATAGGGTGCCATTAAGGAATGCTGAAGTACTGCTTTGCTTAGGATACAATGACTACCTCCCCTAACTCTTGGTAACATTAAAATACTTAGGTATGCGGCAGCTTGGATACCGAAAAAAATGTTTCCAAAGCGCCTCAATCAACGAATCTATATAATGAAAAAAAACTCGATATGCAACACAACCCTTCTAAGTTTTGATGGTACAAATCACTTCAGTAGTATAAATACGACTGTACTGTCAGTAGTGTTCAGACACAAGTTTATGACTACACTTGAAGAACAAAACGAAGTGACCATCAAATATCAAGACGACAAGTTGAACGAATCATATATGTGAAATAAAGTCAACATGAATAATTGAAACGTTGAAAAACAGAAATTTTGAACAGAGAAGTAATAGGCATTGTTTATTCTATTGTTTTTCAGCCAATCATACAAAACTACCGACTATTGATAAAAAATTTCTTCCTTTCCTATTGGTAAGAAATCAAAAGTCAGAGTGTAGGGTATTAGAAGGAACTATAAACAATTATTGATGTATTTTTGAGATGAATGGGGATTTTTTTAGTTTAGATATAGTATTTATCATGGATTGACATCAGTTGGGGAATCATTGAAAGTATGGGAGCACTGAACAGCTGAATGGTTAACGTGGTCGCCATGACACCTGAAGGTCCTGAGTTCGATTCCTAGCCGGGTCATGGGTGTGTACTACTGAGGAGTCCCATACTAGGACGAAACAGCTGTCCAGTGCTCTCAGGTTTTCAATGGTTCCTCAACTGATGCCAGTCCATGATGAATACTACTTCTTGATTAAAAATCCCCATTCATCTCAAAAGAATACATTACTGTATTGTGCTCATTAGTGACTTGCTTCCAGATGGATATCACGAAGCTCTAATGAGAATCCGTGATCTGTGGGGTCAACCAGTCGGAAGTGAAGTGGATACTAATTGAAGGCCTTGGGTGATAGTCCCGCTGTATCATGAATTGATAGAAGTTGGAAATTGTGAACCACCAGAAACCGACCCAGTGACTGAATGATTAGCGCGTTCGCCGTGAAGGCTCTGAGTTCGATCCCTAGCCGGGTCATGAGTGCCTACTGCTGAGGAGTCCCATGCTAGGACGAAACAGCTGTCCAGTCTTCCCAGATTTCCAATGGTTCCCTAACTGATGTCAGTCCATGATAAATACTACTTCTAAATTATTGATGAGACAGCTACATAATCTTCAGACAGAAGTAAATATTATGAATTCTAATCCCTAATGTAACTTGTCGACCTAAGTTAACTAAGTACTTTCAAGAATGTTGTAGATGGAGTAAATATTCTCAGATTTTATGTATGTAATTTTCTACTGTTTCTGTTCAACCGATGCTGTATGACATGCTGAAAATTCTGTACAGTATTCCTGAAAATATCTTCCACAAGAAAGGAATTATCATTATTATTATTATTATTATTATTATTATTATTATTATTATTATTATTATTATCACAGCTGATATGATAAAGCTACCTAATTAACTATCAAATTAGTTTGCATAAAAGTTGCCACTTTATGCTACGTGTGACGCCGCCGTGATATCCAATTATCCATTAAGGATGGCGTGTACTGCACACCAGTCCACTCTGTTCTATTCTATGGCTGTGAAACATGGCCATTGAAGGTGGAAGACATGAGAAGGCTTGAAGTGTTTGACCACTGTTGCCCTCATAGCATAGGCCGTATTCCGTGGTGTCACCACATGAGTAACGCAGAAGTCAGGCTCAGGTGTACAGTTTTAGGGAGAAGAGGTAAATCGATTGACGACGTTGTCAACCTTCATCGACTGACATGGTTGGGACACAGGTCCCGTATACCTAGTCACCATCTGCCTCGTCACACAATGTTAGTCGAAGTAGGTCCAGGCTCGAAAAAGGCCCGAGATGGCCAGACTAAAACATAACACCAATGTATGAAGTCTTTAGCTGTTGGTTTGAGCCATGTGGGGCGATTCAGACTAGATGGTTGGGGTTCATGGGACTGACTCTAGGTGATATGGCTCAGAACTGATGTGAGTGTCGCAGATGTAAACACACACACATTATCCTCATCTCAACGACGCTATACCGAATCCCACCATTTTCTCATTCTTCCTTTCTCTCTTTTAGTACTGTATATTTCCTTCTTCTTCTTAAACTTCACTGCCTTTTTAGTTGATGTACTGATATGAAGTGTGGCAACTCTGACCGTTAAGCAGTAATGCCTGGCCCTATGTTGATTTGGATGAATGGATTGCATAAAAGTCGATCATTATATGTATTACGTTTTCCCTTTCCCCCCTAGTGATCGAATACGTACATCAATCAATGTGATGGGAGATGCAGTCGGTGCAGGTATTGTTAATCATTTATGTCGAAAGGAATTAGCTCAAAGTGATGCTGAAATTGAAAAAGAAATTGATGAAGTTGTTGAAGAGTATACACGTGAATTATCTATTGGAACAGATCGTGAAAAGCGTAATTCATCTAGTACACGTCATAGTAAGAAACGGATGAGTTTAGCTGCAGCAATGCGTTTACAAGAGAATGCATCACCACTTGGTACAGTTATGACTACTACACAGCCATTATCAAATGATCTAGAATCTCCAACATCAAAAGTTTTTCTACCAACTAGTATTCACCCTTTTGATGAAATTCATAAGTAGTTAGTTTATTTAATTTCTTTTCTAATTCAGTAAACTTATACACGCACAAACTGCATACTGTTAATTCATTATTACTCCTTCTTCAATTGTGTACTAATTCCTTTTATCTACAGCTTAACTTCAGAAATCCCCTCCTCCAATCTGCCATGAATATACTTACTTCAGAATGTTCGACAAATCATACTTTTTAACGAGTATAACTAGTAGAGTATTTCACTTTAGATAAGAAAAGAGAACCCACCTACACCCCCCGCCCAACAACTGACATCATTTTTAATTGTTACATAATTCACTATCCTTTTTAATTTGATAGTGAAAAGTTACATAGAACTTTGTTTGCTTTCTCTTCACCCTAAAAAAACAAAACAAACTTGTTCTTATCATTGTAAACTATCTTATTAATGAATTATGTTTTCTTATAATGAACATATATTTAGATCTCAGTTAATCTTCTCTACATCAATTTAAATAATTATCTCATGTATACTTGTTTTAAACAATTATATCAGCGAAAATTGAATATTTATGTATTATTACTAGTATAAACATATATAACACATATGAAAACCCTATACTAGTTGAACATGTTTATACATAAAACAGAGAAATGAGTAAGAAACAACAGTCAGAGATAGAAAAAGAGGAATGTAAAAGTGTTAAAGGTTTTCAATTTTATTTGATGATGATGATGATGATGACATTGAACACTTGTTTTAATTCAAAAAAACAAAAAATAGCGTTCATTTAAAACAAAACACAAAAGTATATGACTACAAACTATCTTTCGCAACTAAAAAGTAAAATCTGTTTTCATTTCATATACTTCAAACTATTTCTTGATTAAGAACAATTCACTTTGCAAAAAACAAAAGAAAAAGTATTTATTTATTGTTAGACTATAATCATTGACTGATTTTTATGTTGTTTCATGGCTATTGTTATTGTATTAACATATGCATATAAATCATAATACACACATTCAACATTATACTTGCCTTTTACCAAACAACTAATCATACCGACTTGTTTCTGCTTTGGAGTTTCTTTAGAGGTTAGATTTGTTTTACGGGATAGGGTTACTAGCCCTATGCCCACCCAACCATCTCTATGTTTGTGGGCTTAGGACGGCCCAGTAACTAGCGTACCAGTTAACCAGCCTCATTCAACAACAACGTGAAGACGCCACATGCCAAGTAATTCACAATCGAAAGCTCAGTGATGCCTTTGAAGTGAAGACAGGAAGGAATGAAACAAAGCTGTCTACTATCACCCATGAGCTTACTGATTCTCGTCGACTGGATCATGCAACAAACTGTGAGGAGTGAGAAGAGGGGGATACACTGACTGGACCACGGAAAAGAACCTAGAAGGCTTCGATTTCATCCATGATCACTTCTGTCTAATCTCACACAAACTCGAAAATCTACAGACAAAAACTGACAAGTTGGCAGAAGAGGCTGCGCACCGAAGACACAACTTCAAGTGAACGTAGAGAAGACAGAGGTAGAGGTGATGAAGCTACCCAACCAACAACAGCATCAACAACAAGCTCCAATCACCATCAATGGCAGAAACTTAAAGGAAGTAGCCTCCTTCACCTACCCATCTACCTAGGCACCATCGTTTCATCTACATCACAGGTGGCGGCGGCACACACAAGGATGTCAAGCTCAGGATCGGAAAGACAGCAAGACAGGTTTTCATTAACTTGAAACCAGTGTGCAGATCTACTGTATTCCACTCAGCATGTGGAACAACATCCCGATTTTCAACACCAATTCAGTCAAGTCACTGCTTCTCTGTGATGCTTCAGAGACTTGGCGCATTACGAAAGCGATTTCCAACAAACTACAGACATGCATCAACAACTGCCCCCTACGCTCACTCGATACTGAAGATCAGATCAGATGGTCAGAATAATAACAATAAGCAACAAGGAACTCTGGCTGGTTGGCTGGCTGGCAACGAACCAACCAACAACCTATCACTCAACAAATATGCAGAAGAGAGTGGAAGTGGAGATGGATTGGGCATACACTGAGAAGGCTGACTGGGGACATCATGCTGAGGCCAGGCACTCGAGTGGAACCCAGGTGGGAAACGAAGGGTTGGGCGTCCGAGGTTAGGGTGACACAGAGAAGATGATGTAAGGAAGAAATGAACGGTTGTGGGTTGTCGTGGAGCCAGGTTGAAAAGATTGCAGAGAATAGAGTGCACTGGAGATGTGCTACTGAAGCCCTATGTTCCATTAGGAACCCAAGGGACAAATAATAATAATAGACTTAGGCTAGAAAAAGGTGACAGCAGACTGAAACACGGCTTCAGTGCATGACTGTTACTTTGAATTGTGTAGAGAAATGTAGACTTGCCGATAAGGGTTCCCGTGACAATAAAAACCAGTGATTGGAGACCAGGTGACAGTTCAGAATCGACGTCACTGGCGCAGATGTATCCCCATATTACCTTCATTTGGATCGTTATACTGAACTCAGTATTTTCTGATTCCTTCTTTCTCTTTTTTCTTACTGCTTTTGACCGATTTTATTCTATTTATTCGAATTTTCGCTTTGTTGCTTCATATGGATATGGGGCGTGAAAACATGGACCGTTAGAAGAGTAATCTCAGGTCCCACCATTCATCAGACCCGGGAATATTAACCCAATATGTGGAATACTTAGAAGAGATCAGCCACCTGGAAAATGGGAGACTCATTATCGCGATGCAATGAGATAAATGTTACTTAGGTGGGGACAATCGGCAGGTGGCTCAGCTTGACCTACGTTTCATGCTTTCTAGCACTCGTTAGCAGCGAGGGGTATCTGCAGCATCAAAGGAATTAATGTCCCATCTGACGATCAGTCTTACATCATTCACACCTGTAGTCTGAGACGCTACCACCAAGCTATTAGGTCCATTATTGCCTTCTCATAGGAATGGAAGAAGTACTTTGATTTGTCACTAGAATGTCCAAATATCTTCTCTTGAAACAAAACACATTTAACAACCTTGTGCACATTCATGCACAAACCAATAAGCCACATACCTATAGTGTGATGGCTATTGATACTAGCTGTAGAGTGAACAGGGTCTGAAATTGTGATCCACAGGTTGAAAGTTGAATGTCTATATCAATGACCTACAACTTCAAATGGAAATGTGAGATGACTACATCTAGCTCACTACCATTGATGTTGAGGAAAAAATAGAGAGGATCTCCAACTATTGGCTTCTAACATCTCAAGCACTATAGACAATAAAACCTAAACAACGTTTATGATCAATGACTGTTTGAACTGAAGACATCTCAGTCAACCGACTCCAGTGAATAGCTATTTTTTTAAGGATAACAATGAAAACTTCGTAGTAACAGATTCTTGATATGCACACAAACAATCATGAGCCTTTTTAAGACGTAAAACAATTGGTAAACCCACATAAAAGTTGATTTATTTTTCTTAATGTGAGAAAGAAACAAGGCGCTTTTGATATATACATTCGACTGAAAAACACCGGCAATCAAAATAGAACAGCAAAAACAAAACAAATACTATACTCACTGAAGAGATGAATTGAAAGAATCCCGCCCCCCTCCCGCCTGTTTCCCCTTTGTATAATATTGTTGGTAGTGAAGAGTATGAATTTCATCACCGTCATCATCATTGCCACTTAAATTAAACACAGATAAATGTCTATACATTCGACAGAGAGGTATAGATAAGCGATGTCAAGCCGAAGAGTGAATATTATTTATTATTAATTAAAAGTCAATAAAAATAAATAAATTAATAAAAATTAACATGAAACTCATAAAATAAATTAGCGAACCCCCCCCCTAAAATGATGTCTGTGTATGTGAGGGGGGGAGGGGCAGGGCGGGGAACCCGGACATCATAAAGCATGAATAAGAATATTGCATTACTTATCAATTAATCATGTTCGTAGCGGGGATGGGGGGGGAACAATTGCTTTGGAACTGATCATTTATAAAAAAAATACACAGATACACCGAAAATACTGGACTAACCAGCAAACCAATTAAATATTAATCTCCAAATAATGTATAATCCCTTTCTGGAAATAATATTGGCTCTTGTTGCTTCAGATAAGCAGCTATATCAATCCAACCAACTTGTTGTAGAAGCTAAATAAACATTAGGGATAGAAAGAAAAAAAAGAATAAAAATTGAGACAGTGAAACAAAAACAAAAAATATGAACAACTTGAATTATTTTCAACGTTATTTTGGCTTGTTAATTGGATCGAACTGATTGAGGAGCATTGGTATATGGGATCCTGAATGGTTGATTGGATATTACCGATACTTTTGGTTATGATATTTAAGATAGCTGTAGTTTGACAGACTAGTATTTGTACTGAGTGATGATTGAAGGTGAGATGAAAATCTGGACCATGTCCCGGATTCAAACCAGCGAACACCAGCCACGGTCCAGATTCTCATCCCACCTTCAATCATCACGCGGTTCAAATTATAAATATACTAAAATCATGGCTCAAAGAGTGATAATCGTGACTTACTAGGCTAAAGAATAATGATATACTGCTTTGAAATGATCAGTCACAGGTTCGAGTCTTAATGGGGACAAAATCACTTGCTAGAAGGCAGATACATCCAGTTGAGGAGTCCCATGTAAGACCATGTTTGATTAAATTAGCGAATACAACTTTAAAAATAAATAATATCTTGACAAAAAGAGGCCGGTAACCCGATGGTGACTGGTTCGAATCCCCACCCTGGTCAAAATTTTCATTTCAACCTTCAATCATCACCCCAAGTATCAATAAACTTATTTATTATCTTGTAGATAACATTAGTTGTTCCATCGCTTTTCCAGAAGATATCTTATTATGAATTCTGTCAAATTTTAACACAACTGATTACTTATACGTGTAGTCAGCTGGTTAGTTGTGAAAGTATTCAGGCATTTCAAGTTTGTTCAAAAATCTATGAAATTACCATAGTGCATCCTTATCTCTCTTCGTAGGGAGAGAGCTTGTCACAAAAAAACCCTTCAGTATTTTCCTTTATATGGTGTATTAGCATACAGTGAATGATACAGTAGTGTTTACTTGATGAGCATAAATTATTATTGCTCATAATCATATCAGTGTAATTACACTCCTTTCAGTATCTGATTTTTACAGTCCTCTCATTTCATATTGTTTGTTCTGACAGAGTACAACTTCCCCTATCTCTTCTATAGGTGTTGCTACATTCTTATTACATGTGTTGGGTGTTGGTTGATTCGATGAACAAAGATTAAGTAATCAATCTCTCTCTCTCTCTCTCTCTCTCCAGTGGCTTTATCCACCACCCCATTGTGTGGTTGTGTGTTAACGCATGCATTCTCACAGCCGAGGTTCTCTTCTATTGGAGTCTATCATTTTATATTTGCCTAAATCCCTGTATCCCGATAGTCCAATTAATGTGCGATCACACATTCTATCACACTGTCCATGCATAATACTCATATATCACATTCTTTAGTAGACCTAGAGTATGCAGACGACGTAATCCTGCTGCGTAAAGACGTTAAAAAAAACACAGAGTCTTTTGGACATCTTCATTGACAAGTTGAGAATGATTACAATCTGACAATAAGAAATGAAGTAACTGAATACGGTGATTACTTCATCAGCTGAATAAACTGAATCAAACTTAGTTAGTCAGTGATAACCAATAAAGGCGCGCTCAACTTCAGATAGTCTATGTCATCTCTAACTCAAAGCAGATACACGATTGCATACTATATCTATTGCACAAGAAGTCACTATTGTGACTTAGTACCCAGGTATGTAAAGCTCTGGTGTTTCGAGTGATGTGTGCTAAGTTCAAATCTCAATTAAAAATATCATTTACTGACGGTTTGGTACAGACAGCTGATGAGGTCGAAATAAGAGGAAATGAGTGTTCTGTGTCCTACTAATTGGCACTTTTCATCCTGATCACAATAAATAAAACATTTTTCAACTAAAGTACTGTGTAACTTTTACCTAAATAATTATAAAGCCTTTTTTTTCTCTTAAGCACTATGAAAGTTACATTAATCGATGAGGGATATAAATTGGTTACTATTTATCAAAGAATGAGTTTGCTGCGCCACAGTTCATTTTGTCCTGCTATAAAATAGTCAAATATGGTCGTTTGAAGTAAGAAGATATAAGGAGACTACACATTTTCCTTCTTAGCATTGTTTATGTATCATGAAATCATTATACGGGTAATGTTGAAGATATATGAAATATACTAGACAAGAAAGGAATGTTAATTGCTGAAATTGTGAACTTTCAGTGAATGAAGTGGTTTTGAAATATACTGCACATGACGAACTAACTGCCATCTTGACAATGTCCAATGCTAGGAGAAGTTAGATTTGCCTGGAAAAAGGTTCAGGATGCTCAGATTAGAACTTGATACCAGTGTATCAAGTCACTGACTGTTACTCTGAGGTGTATAGAATCGTAAAAACAGCCATGATGGTGTGATGAAAGAAATCATTAGTTCATGAATATTGGTGACATGGCAGTAAATCAATCACAATGGGGCAGATGTATTCCCTGTTTGATGTCTTCCAGAGCTTAAATGTTTTCACTAACCTTATTCTTTATATTCCCACTCCTCCAATACACATATCTACTATAATACCACTCTTTTACTATCTAATTGTTGTTTTTATGCTACGATTAGGCGTGGTGACTTCAGTTCATGCATTTCTGTGAAAAGTTCAATGTTGATTCTGTCAGCCAGTTAGTTCGTCCATCTTTCTATCTAACTGTCTCTTTGTAGAGAAAATATACTGTGAGAGCATAACAAAACTCATCGAAATTAGCGTACAAGTTCATACGAATTATTCAATAACATCCACTCAAAGATTTCGAAGAAATGAGTAAGAAAAGGTTACCAACCATCACCCATGATCTTACTGATTCTCGTCGACTGGATCATGCAACAAACTGTGAGGAGTGAGAAGAGGGGGATACACTGACTGGACCACGGAAAAGAACCTAGAAGGCTTCGATTTCATCCATGATCACTTCTGTCTAATCTCACACAAACTCGAAAATCTACAGACAAAAACTGACAAGTTGGCAGAAGAGGCTGGGCACCGAAGACACAACTTCAAGTGAACGTAGAGAAGACAGAGGTAGAGGTGATGAAGCTACCCAACCAACAACAGCATCAACAACAAGCTCCAATCACCATCAATGGCAGAAACTTAAAGGAAGTAGCCTCCTTCACCTACCCATCTGCCTAGGCACCATCGTTTCATCTACATCACAGGTGGCGGCGGCACACACAAGGATGTCAAGCTCAGGATCGGAAAGACAGCAAGACAGGTTTTCATTAACTTGAAACCAGTGTGCAGATCTACTGTATTCCACTCAGCATGTGGAACAACATCCCGATTTTCAACACCAATTCAGTCAAGTCACTGCTTCTGTGTGATGCTTCAGAGACTTGGCGCATTACGAAAGCGATTTCCAACAAACTACAGACATGCATCAACAACTGCCCCCTACGCTCACTCGATACTGAAGATCAGATCAGATGGTCAGAATAATAACAATAAGCAACAAGGAACTCTGGCTGGTCGGCTGGCTGGCTGGCAACGAACCAACCAACAACCTATCATTCAACAAATATGCAGAGGAGAGTGGAAGTGGAGATGGATTGGGCATACACTGAGAAGACCGACTGGGGACATCATGCTGAGGCCAGGCACTCGAGTGGAACCCCGATGGGAAGCGACGAGTTGGACGTCCGAGATGAGGGTGACACAGAGAAGATGATGTAAGGAAGAAATGAGAGGTTGTGGGTTGTCGTGGAGCCAGGTTGAAAAGATTGCAGAGAACAGAGTGCACTGGAGATGTGCTACTGAAGCCCTATGTTCCATTAGGAACCCAAGGGACAAATAATAACAATAAAGGATTTAGTGATCTGTATTTCGGTTATGGTAACCAGTCATATTGTTGCCTATACAAAAGACAGATCAGTCAATGTGTGTGTGTATGTGGGGGGGGGGTGAGTGCTGGGTGGAAGAAGGAATCACATTCGACGGTACCTGAAGATTTAATAATCATCGTTACTTATTACTAACATGCATAAATGTGTGTACACACGTATAAAGTCATTAACATACCCATAATAACCATGGATGAGCTGATTTAGCTGTTTTCAAAGAATTTTCCAAAGTTGCACAACACGGACGTCGAGTTCCAAGTGTAGGGGTAGATACAACTCCACAGTTTACAACACCTTTTAATGCACCAATCGGTGGTTCATCGATCTATGCGTAAAAGAAATGCAAACTATAATGATGATACAATGCTCGAATCTAATATAAGCCACAACTATGAAACAGAAACTTAGTCAGCAGTTGGACCTGGGAGAACCCCACAGTTGTTTCATCCTAATGTAGGATTCCTCAGCAGTCCCAATCCTCGACCCCTCCAAGCCACGGATCGATCCTATGACCAGCAGGTTACCATTGAGTCACTGGGTCAGAATCCAATCGTCCATGATGAATACCTACTTAGAAAACCACTAAACCCCTACCAACCCCATAATTAAATTTATCTAGTGCTCATTGATGACTTAGCTGCGAGAGGGGATTCCTAAAGTTCCAATGAGAAGTCGTGATCGGTGGGGCAAACCAGGTTGCCATGAGGAAAACACTCAACAACAAAATCAGATGATGTTCACGCTATGTCGTGAACTGACAGAAGTATGAAATATGAACGACTGGATTCTAACCCAGTGGCTCAATGGTAACGTGCTGGCCATGGGACGCCAAGGTCGCGGGTCCGATCCCTGATGGGATAGGTTGGCATCATGGGTGCGCACTGCTAAGGAGTTCAATACTAAGACGAAACAGCTGTCCAGTGCACCTGGACTTCGAATCTTCCTCCAAATGATGTCAGTCCATGATGAGTACCAACTAGATTAACCACACAATTTTGTCTAATTCGACATCACTTCTTTTATATCCACTTGTTCTTTTTGTACTACTGTAAAATGTGACCACTTGAGCCGACCCCGATGAGGGAGAGGTTTGAAATTGATTTTGTCTGTCCATCAGTCTTTAGACGCTCGGTATTTTAATCTTCAGAACTATTGCGTTCCATCTCATCAACACTGGATGGCTATTTGTTTAAAGTGATTTCAATGATAATAATACCAATTATTATTATTATTATTTGTCCCTTGGGTTCCTAATGGAACATAGGGCTTCAGTAGCACATCTCCAGTGCACTCTGTTCTCTGCAATCTTTTCAACCTGGCTCCACGACAACCCACAACCTCTCATTTCTTCCTTACATCATCTTCTCTGTGTCACCCTCATCTCGGACGTCCAACTCGTCGCTTCCCATCGGGGTTCCACTCGAGTGCCTGGCCTCAGCATGATGTCCCCAGTCGGTCTTCTCAGTGTATGCCCAATCCATCTCCACTTCCACTCTCCTCTGCATATTTGTTGAATGATAGGTTGTTGGTTGGTTCGTTGCCAGCCAGCCAGCCGACCAGCCAGAGTTCCTTGTTGCTTATTGTTATTATTCTGACCATCTGATCTGATCTTCAGTATCGAGTGAGCGTAGGGGGCAGTTGTTGATGCATGTCTGTAGTTTGTTGGAAATCGCTTTCGTAATGCGCCAAGTCTCTGAAGCATCACACAGAAGCAGTGACTTGACTGAATTGGTGTTGAAAATCGGGATGTTGTTCCACATGCTGAGTGGAATACAGTAGATCTGCACACTGGTTTCAAGTTAATGAAAACCTGTCTTGCTGTCTTTCCGATCCTGAGCTTGACATCCTTGTGTGTGCCGCCGCCACCTGTGATGTAGATGAAACGATGGTGCCTAGGCAGATGGGTAGGTGAAAGAGGTTACTTCCTTTAAGTTTCTGCCATTGATGGTGATTGGAGCTTGTTGTTGATGCTGTTGTTGGTTGGGTAGCTTCATCACCTCTACCTCTGTCTTCTCTACGTTCACTTGAAGTTGTGTCTTCGGTGCCCAGCCTCTTCTGCCAACTTGTCAGTTTTTGTCTGCAGATATTCGAGTTTGTGTGACATTAGACACAAGTGATCATGGATGAAATCGAAGTCTTCTAGGTTCTTTTCTGTGGTCCAGCCAGCGTATCCTCCTCTTCTCACTCCTCACAGTTTGTTGCATGATCCAGTGGACCAGAATCAGTAAGATCATGGGTGATAGTAGACAGCCTTGTTTCACTCCCTCGTATCTTCACTTCAAAGGCTTAATGAGCTTTGCATTGTGAATTACTTGGCATATGGCGTCTTCATATAGTTGTTGAATGAGGCTGATAAAGGTTTGTGGTATTCCGTAGTGTTGAAGCAGTTTCCAAGTTACTTGTCGATCGACGCTGTCAAAGGCCTTCTCAAAGTCGATGAAGTTGCGGTAGAGAGTTGGCTGCCATTCTTTACTGTGTTCTATGATGATGCGAAGCGTTGCAATTTGGTCCGCAATACTAACAATAAATGAGCATTATTATTCAAAAGCTTATGTCTAACGTTGCATAAAGTCGAAGATTTACAGGCAAAAAGCAACAAGTTGGCAGAGGAGGGAGGGGAGAGCAGCGAAGATGAGACTTTCTTCATGTGAACATAGAGAAAACACAGGTGATGAAGATACCCAACCAACAACAACAAACACCAATCACCATCAATGGGAGAAATTTGAAAAAAGTTGTCTTTTTAACCTATCTACCCAAGAAGCATCATTTCAACTACAGGCGGCACAGGCACAGATGATGACGTCGAAGCCAGGATCGGAAAGACAGCATGACTAGCCTTCATTATTTTGAAATAATCAGTGTGGAGATCTGCTGCACTGCACTCAGCATAAACGTGAACAAGATCCGAATTTCCAAGACTAATTGATTCAAGTCAGTGCTGCTAAGTGATGGTTGAGAGACTTGGAGCGTTACGAAAAGCATTTCTAACGAACTGCAGACATACATAACATTAACAGATGCCGCCTACACTCACTCGATACTGAAGATAGAGATCAGATGGCTAGAAAGAATAAGCAACACGAAACTCACTCTGGCTGGCAACGAACCAACCATGAACGTATCTCCCAACAAGTATGCAGAAGAAGAAAGTGGAGATGGATTGGATTGAACATACACTGAAAAGACCATTTGGGGACATCACGCATCAGGCCGGGCTGTCAAGTGGAATCTAAATAGGAAACGATGATTAGGGCGTCCGAGGCGAGGGTGATATGGAGGATGTGATATGAGGAAGAAATGAAAGCTTCTGAGCAGGTTAAAAGAGAAGACTGCAGAGAACAGAGTGAAATAGTGAAGTGATAGTTAAGCCCTATGTTTCACTAGGAACCCAAACGACAAATAATAATAATACAAATATTTAGAACTATAATTATATCAACAGTACAGAATTCTCAGTAGGTCATATTGTATAAGCTTATCTCCGCTGTACAACCTTTTTTGCAATAAAAATGCGATTGAGCTATATCGTGAGCTAACAGAAGTTGAAAAATATGGACAATTGGATCCTGACCCGGTGGCTCAACGGTAACGCGCTGGCCAAGGAAACTGAAGGTCGCGAGTTCGACCCCCGGCGGGGTCGTGGGTGCGCACTGCTGAGGAGTCCCATACTAGGACGAAACAGCTGTCTAGGGCTCCCACGCTTCCTTTGTTCCTCCAACTGACGTCAGTCTACGATGAATAACAACTTGAAATATTTCCAAATCTCTACAACTCCCTCAAAAATGCATGTATTAAATACGATTGTCCAGGTTTGTTAAATGAAATTGTTGAAAAGAAAATTCCCTCCACTGTAAACTGTTTACGAAAATAATACACAATTTTAGATCCGTAATAATTGATAGTCAATTTCAAAGCATTTCATATAATGAATCAATGTTGACTTGATAAAATTTCAAGGATCATGCAGTATTCAATAGTTGTCTAGTCTTAGTTTTTATGAACTTGTCAAAGATTGGCACTTACAGTTCCATGAGATCTGGCTGGGTGATGATTGAAGGTGAGATGAAAATCCGGACCGCTGCCGGATTCGAACCAGCGACCACCGGCTGCGGTCCAGATTTTCATCTCACCTTCAATCACCAGCCAGTAAAAATACTAGTCTGCCAAACTACAGATAGTCAAATCACATATATTTCAAGTTATTATTCATCGTAGACTGATATCAGTTGCAGGAACAAAGGAAACCTTGGAGCACTGGATAGCTCTTTCGTGCTAGCAAGTGACTCCTAAAGAAGTGAGCAATCATGACCCCACTAGGGATCAAACCCTCGACCTTCATTGGAACTTTGGGAATACCTCTCGAAGCTAGTCACCAATGAGCACCATATATATATATATATATATATATATATATATATATATATATATATATAATGATGGTGGTTATAAGGATAACAATGTCGCTGGTTTATGACGCAAAGGCTGAATGATAACAAAATGGGATTACGTAGGATTTCCGAATCATTTATAAAGTGCATATAGATTAAAAAGGGATGAGGACGTTAATAAAAGCAATCAAAGGATTAGGTATGTAAATGAGACAAGTTAATTGCATTTTATAAACCTTTTTTTTATTATCATTTGACCTTTACGTGTGAATCTCGCACAACGTAGTGTGTGTGTGTGTACGTCTGTTTTTCATACTCCTTCAGGGTAACCTTTAAAAACTCTAATGACTGAAATGCGATGAGATAAAAACTCTCCATAAAAATTGATTCATTTTCGGTTACAATACTTTGGACAATATCATCGCTCATCATGAAAATGAAGCAACTTCTCTTCAATTTGCTCCTTTTTTATAGTACTTTTCGATTTCGTGTCACCAATAACATAGGATATTTCATCGACTATTTTTATTGGACAACAAATAACACAGAGTAGGTAGTATTTAACAGTAGGTTAACGCAATCCCATTAGTCAGTCAATATCAAGATGACATATAAGATTATAGTCGAAATTATCACAAATCATTTAAGAAACACTAACAAGAACGATAGATAAATAAGGTAGAAAATAGGATATAGATGTATCTAAGAGAATGGGAAAGTAGTAAATACGAATAATTAGTACAAGTAATGTAGATAATATAGAATAATGAATGATCTTACCTGATATAGAAGACGAAGAAAATAACCAATAACTTCAGGATATTGTTGTTTAACAATCATATATAGAATAAAGAATATAATTAAACGTCCACCAATTGAACCATAATTCATACCAATCAATGGTTCAGTTTTACTAAGTTTATTATTATTATTATTATTATTATTATTATTATTATTAAATGATAATAGAAGCCATCCAGGTAATGCTTGATTACCTAATTTCACATTTATTCCAATTGTATCATTTGACATTATTGTTTGACTTGTTAACTTAATTAAACGTTCATAAATATCATCAAGATATTTGAATAATTCACTAGACGATGATAATAAATTATTATTTGATAATTCATTATTACTTTTTATAAATTTTAAATTAATCATATTGTACAATGACCAATTTGATTTGTTTAAATTCATTACTATTGTATTTTGCGCATAATTTAAACAAATTAAACGTTCAATTATAAGTCGACCATAACGAGATAATGTATCAATTAAGCGCAATTTAAATTCATTTGAAGAGATTGTTAATGGTTTTTGATTTTGAATATTATTATTGCTATAAAAAAAAAATATATATATATATTGAAAAGAAATAAACAAAACACGGATAAACATCTTCAATAAAAAGTTCAGAAAGAAGTGATCTATGGTGTTATCTTCGTTAGTAACTTGAATGCTTATTGTAATGGCCTTGTGAATGATTGGTAGTTTCTTCCAAAGGTCTTATCATATTGTGGAGCAAGGTACATCGGCCGTAGCCAGAGAATGCTTTCTACACGTATATGAGAACATGTTCCTGCTTGGTTTTATAAAGGTGAAAGAAAGTCTGTTAGAAGTTCGATTCTAGAACATTTGATTGACTTCCATCACACAATAAATCCAGACGATGACTTTGAAATTATTTATCAAATTCGTCCAAACCTCCCACGTTCTCTTTGTTTACAACTCCTTAAAACACCGGAGGCTTTAGCTATTCATCAACTAAGACCTGATCTGTGTGTACAAAAGAAGTATGTGCAGTGATCACTGTCTTTATCATGGCCATAACATTTTCCCACCCCATTAGCTCCCCTTCCCACTTTGTTAATTTAACCTTTGTATCCTTCCTTTATCACTATTATTGTTATTATAATCGCCTTCACTTTAACTAGTTTCCGGTGTTGTTTCACTTAATTGTCTTAATCCTTTTAGAAAATATTGACTTCATCTTGTACAATTTGTCTAATACCATTACATAATACTCAACTGATTTACCATTTTCAACAATTTTTTCACCCCCTTCTGAGTTATATACTCTCCATGTACCATTCCATATATTACATAATCTATTTGTTATCATTCGCACTTCAATTGTTATTATAATCATAAATGCCTATGTCATCACCCACTCTATTATTATTGTCATCACCATATAGTGTTTAGTTTTCCTCACAGGATATAATTTTTTCTAAATACCATATATATACGATTGTACAGCTTGAAAATAAATTCGTTGAAAAGAATCTCTTCGCTGAATATCTTGTTCTTGATGTTACAATGGGAATTATTAAATTCTTATCATTTTCTCCATAATCATTTTGATTGGTTGTCCAAGTGACCTCACATTTGACCCTCTTGTTGATTCTTATTAGTTGATAGGTTGGGTCAATGTCAATATATCTGACCTGAATACCAAGTTTCTAAAAATTCGCTGGTATTGTTTGTATTTCCACTATCTAGGATTTTTACATTTTCCCAGTAAAATTCATGTCCACACTTATTGAGCTATGGAGTTGATAAAACATCCGGCCGGAAACTTGGCAGTCACTGGCCTAAATTTTCATTTCACCTTCAATCAATATTAGTCTGGCAAACTACAGCTGGTCAAAATGGTTCTATATTAAAGATGAATAGGAGACAATATCGCTCACTGGGAGGTAAATATATCCAGGCGACTAGTCCCAAATGAGACAAAAGGCACGTCCTGGATTTTATTACTGGCAACTATCCATCATTCATATAAAATTGAAATCACAGGCGATATCGAGACATCCGCACAGGGGCCCCCACGCCAATGGAGACTGATCAATTCGGTCCAATCAACGATGGGATAATACAAGTAATGACATGAGGGCATTGATTTTTTCTTCCACTGAGCAACCAAGGCTTTATATTACATAATGTTTACATACAAAGCAACAGAATATGCTGTGACTGCTGAAGATTACGAATTATAGGTATATATACCCGAGCCATTGTGACCGATTTTCAATCATTGATTCCTATCGCTTCGAAGACTATGGCCAGATGAATTCAACCTTCCTACATAGATCAGACTATTAGTTAACGACTTCATGAGTTTAGGTCACGTTTCAGTCTGACGACAGTTAGCTTTCTTCCAAATGGCCCTACTTCTGCTAATAGGAAGAATTAGAAAAGGTTTGTCAAGCAGACGGACAGATCAAAGTAGAACCTAGAATACAAGTGGTTAAGAGTATTTAAGGCTGAACCTCGATACAGAGTGGAAAGCATCGACCACTTCATTTACTTGGAAAGTTGCATCAACCCGAATAGGTTGATCACTGATGAAATGTCGATTGGGATACGGAAGCCCCATTTTCCGTTCACCAACTGGCAAGATGTCCGACTACCTACTGAAGAACGAGTATATAGTTCTTTCTGTCCTGTTATACGACAATGGAGATATAAAGCAGGTACAAGCCTTTGGTAACAGATGTCTTCATAGCATAGCTAGCGTATGCTAAAGAATGCTTGGAATCTGCAGTGGGAAAGGTTCGGTACTGAGGTAAGAGTTTAAAAAGCCGGTGGAAGACATGAGAAGGCTTCAAGCGTTTGACCACTGTTGCCCTCGTAGCATAAGCCGTATTCCGTGGTGTCACCACATGAGTAACGCAGAAGTCACGCTCAGGTGTACAGTTTCAGGGAGGAGAGGTAAATCGATTGACGACGTTGTCAACCTTCATCGACTGACATGGTTGGGACACAGGTCCCGTATGCCTAGTCGCCATCTGCCTCGTCACACAATGTTGGTCGAAGTAGGTCCAGGCTGGAAAAAGGCCCGAGGTGGCCAGACTAAAACATGGCACCAATGTATGAAGTCGTTGACTGTTGGTTTGAGCCATGTGGGGCGATGCAGACTAGGTGGTTGGGGTTCATGGGACTGACTCTAGGTGATATGGCTCAGAACCGATGTGAGCGGCGCAGATGTAAACACACACACATTATCTTCATCTCAACGACGCTATACCGAATCTCACCATTTTGTCACTCCTCTTTCCTTTCTTCTCGTACTTTATATTTCTTTTGACTGCATTCTCTTATCTTCATCTTGCGCCTCACTGTCTTTTTATTTGATGTACTGATATGAGATGTGGCAACTCAGACCGTTACGCTGTAATGCCTGGTCCTAGATTGATCTGGATGATGATGAAGTTGCTTCACACTCATACACATTAACGTCACAGGATAATAAGGTAATATCGGAGACAATTCACTTAACCAAAATCCATGACTATGCAACTGAAAAATTTATCAATCAATAGTTTATTCCACTATTGGTATATAAAATAGCACATATTGAACACAAATGAAATCTATCCAATCGGTTAAGTCTAAATAAAGTCTTTTATTAAACAGATTATTGGCGTGAATCTAAGCATAAATAAACCGTTAGATAATGTTATACATACCTTCCAGAATCAGATACTGGACGTTCAGTTTCGCTGGTGCCAACAGAACCTTCTGATTTAGGTCTAGGAAGACTGTTGCATACAGGTTTATCTTTTGTTTTTACCTTTGACTTCGATGGTGGAGAACCAGGAGTAGTTAAAGGTAGATTATTATTATTAAGAGTACCTGTACCAACTTGAGTTGTATTCTTTACAATTGAAGATGTAGCAGATGGTAAAGAAATATTTATCAGATGATAGAATATATTATCATCTTTCGTTGTCAATGATATTTCTGATTTCCTTTCTAAGACACTAGTTGTTATTGATGACAATTGGTTGAATTTGTTCAGCAGACTGAATGTCTCCTCTTCATCAAGTAATCGACCATTGATTAAATAATCAACATCATACCAAAGGTTTAAGCGGTTGTTTAAAATTTTGCATAAATGATTGACAATTTCATTTCCAGGCGAATCGCTACTACTATTACTATCAATAATAGTAGTATCATTGAGCGGTTTATCCATTGAACATAAATCTGTATGAATCTTATACAGAATTGTATTAAATTCAGTTGGAGTGTAAGTATTCTTTTTAAATGTTGTTTGATTGTTAACAGTCGGTAATGTATTTGCTGTTGTTGTCATCTCTATCATCGATGTAACACTACCAGTATGCGTTGTTTCCTGCTGTATACAAAAGTCTATTTCACTCAAATTATTTGTATCACAATCATTCTGTAGGCAAGTTGTTGAATGTTTAACTTCTTCTTTGATATCTTCATGTTTTACTCCTTCCATTGAATGTTGTTCTTCCTGATTATTGGAATCACACAGTGATAGAGATGTAAATTTCTCAATATTATCAATTCCTTCCTAAATACAAACAAACATTGAGAGGGAATGTTATCGGATATTATCAGAATGAGTAACACGACGTAACAGAGATCAGTTACAACCAAGCTGAAACAGACTTTTTCAAACTTTCAGTTAACTATTATTATTTGTTCATATACTTCTAATCCTCTGTTGTTATACTGGATCGCATCGATGGACCTCTGTTGGCATATGGGTTCCTATATGGATACTTTAACATTTCCTGAATGTTTTTTTTGTTATTATTGACTTGGTTTTGGCCAGCGGGGTAATCCAGCGGAAGCAACATCATTCACTGAGATCTAGATAAATCCAATTGATGAGTCTCCAACAGGACGAAATGTGCATCTTAGATTCTACTGTTAGTCACAACTAAGTCAATCTCAGTTAACTGTACATAGGTTTCGGTCTTCCAATCACTACTCAACTAAATTATATGAAACCTGTATTCATGAGGCATTTCAGTTCTTGACATAGATCGGGTTTACTGCAATCGACATTGAAACAAATGCCATTTAAAAGGCTTGAGCAACAGCATCATGTATATATAACATGGCTTTACTAACCAACCAACGTATAGCGCAGTTGGAAACAATAAACGATAATATAATTCTCCCTACCTCTTTAATTCAACTCGACTAGAATTGGGACGTGAAATCCTGGTTGGAAGTACGATGAAAGTACGCATTACAAATTCACATGGAAATCTACCGAAACCTTTGATGACTTAAATGAAATTACGACCAGGTCAGTAGACGCATCTTTAAGTTGAAAAGCTTTCAATCAGTAGGCAACGAGTTCGAACACTGCTTCACTTACTAAACCCTGAACAACCAGACAGCATCATCAATCCTATCTTATGGTCGACTGTACAAATGTGTACAAGGTTGCTGAGTGTATTTCGATTCGACTTCGACTCTAGTCATTGGTTCGAATCCTTCAGAAACTCATATTTTCAGTTCACCTTCAATTAAACACCCAGATCTGATAACCAAACTGATAAATTACCATTCAGAATAAGCAGAGAATATTTTCTCCTCAGTCATGCACCAATCAAATCTAACTTCTTTTCTCAGAAGGTAATAAACGTTCGCATTGTGAACGTTTTAGAACTATAGATTAAAAACAGTAAGAAGAGAATAACTAGTGGATTTAGGCACCTATCAACTTAAATCAGAAGTGGAATATAAGATACGTTTTTAATTCTCTCCAACAGGCACAAATGTTAGTCCGTATTATTTTGGTACTTGCAAAATAAAGCTGTAATGGTACTTCTAATTTCCCGTTGCCATATAGAGCTGAAACGTCCAACCACTGTTGGAAGATGGGCTTTTATACGGATGCCTTGATACTTCAGGATATTCATGATGTTATATTGATCTTGGTAACCAGCAAAGAAATCCAGGATACCCATTTTGTTTTGATGTTGTCATTACTATACGTACTCGTGTTACTGTCATATTTTCGTTTCTCATGTGTTTGTACAAATTTCTTAATAAACTGTGAAGGATAATTATTAATGCTTTTCTTATGTTTTTCAATTCCTTGTTTAGGTCCTTTCACTGACTAGTCAGTTTTCTAACTCTATCATTTAGACATTTGACTAAGCCTACCTTAACTGACATTGAATGGGATGACTTAAGGTCTAGATACCTGTTGGACAGTAGTATCCAAACCACTGTCTGTCCTTCATTTTATCCTGTAATCCAACATAGTCAATTCTCTTAGTTCATTTTCTACCTGGTAAGTGAATTGGATTGCCCCCCTGCTACTGAGTTTATATGTGTGTGGAAATTGTCGATATACTGCGATTTCAAGACAGTAATGAATGTGTCATACACATATTGTCAACATATTTTACGTGCAGGATTAAACATTTGTAAAGTTATGTTCTACTAACTATCTACAAATATATCTACTGCGATTGGGGATACTGACGATTCCATTATTACTCCTTCGGTTTGTCTGGAGGTCAAGTACAACTGTACGTCTAATATGATCTCATCAACCGATATCGTAGTTTTGTGAATAAGTTCTGAGTCAATATTTAGTTGATTTCTGACTGCCTCAAATTGTTATATTAAATAGTATTTTAGTAAAAAGACTTGTTATATCGAAGCTAGCCATTTTTCCATTCTCTTCTATGTGTATGTCATAGGCCTTAGTTTTAACTCGTAAGAGTTTACTAGTCTGAAATTTGACCGGTTCCTAATAGGACATAATATCGACGCTAAGTACTTTGTTATCTGTCTTCTTCTATCTGTTTGTTACTTGCATGCTGCTATGAAGTGTGGCAATCTGAACTAATATACACATGTGTGCGATATTCTATGACGATTTCGCCTTACCATAAAATAATTAAATTTATTTACTAGTGTTATCTGTACGCCATTTGTTTAGATGAAGTATAATCATCTAACGATTTAGGCTCGAATCTGCAACATAGTATTTCAAAATCGACTAGTTTTGATAGAAATAAACACGTATTCTAGGAGTGAGGCATTGATTGACATCCATCGATGAAGTCTATGAAATGACAATTGAGATAGCTTTGGTACAACACTGAGTTGAAACATATTAGATGTTAGTTATTAGAAGTCAACTGACAGAAGACATCCACACTTGGCATTACACGCATACACATACGGTAAGTAAAAATTCTGTCAAAAGAACCCAGGTTCGAGCACAATCTTACAAAATGTGTTTATAATTACCTTTTGCTCAACTGTCACATTACTAATTGAGTTGCTGAAACCATCCGCCTCTGAAAAAAAAGAAAAAAATTGTTAAATATCAAACTGAAAATAACAATGAATACTTATTATTATTATTTCTCCCTTGGGTTCCTAGTGGAACATACGACTTCACTAGCATATCACCACTTCACTCTATTCTCTGCGGTCTTCTCTTTTAACCTGGTTCCACTATGGCCCAGAAGATTTAATTTCTTCCTCACATGATCTTTTTCATGTCACTCTCGCCTCGGATGCCCAACTCATAATTTCCCATTTGAAATTCCACTCACAGACCTGGCCTGGCACGTGATGTGTCCCCAAACCATCTTCTCAGTGTATGCTAAATCCAATCTATCTCCACTTTCTTCTTCTGCATCTTTGTTAATCGATGGGTTCTTGGTTGGTTGGTTCATTGCCAGCCAGCCAGCTACAGTTCCTTGTCGCTTATTCTTATTACGCTGGCCATCTGATCTGATCTTCAGTATCGAGTGAGCGTGGGTGGCAGTTGTTGATGAATGTCTGTAGTTTGTGGAAATGCTTTTTGTAAACCGCCAATTCTCCAAACCGTCACATAAAAGCACTGACTTGACTGACTTTGTGTTGAAAATCCGGATCCTATTCATCGGTGATAGTAGGCAGCAGCCTCGTCATACTCCTATCTTCACTTCAAAAGCGTCACTGAGCCTTCCATTGTCAATCACTCGGCATATGGTCTCTTCATATAGCTGCTGTTGAATGAGGTTGATAAAGGTTTGTAGCACTAAAACCGTAATGTTGAAGTAGCTGCCTGTCGAATTACTTCTCGGTCGATGCTATCGAAGCAAGGCATTTTCGAAATCGACGAAGTTGAGGTTGAGTTGACTGCCATTCCACGCTCTGTTCTATGATGCGTAGCGACGCGTTGCAATTTGACCCACAAATGATTTGTTCGTCATGAATCCAGCCTCTTCCAGTCGTAATTTTGAATTCAGGATGATATGGCTTAATATTTTGCTTGGTAAGGACAGCGGTATGATTCATCGCCAGTTCTTGCAAAGACTTAGGTCTCCCTTCTTTGGAAGTTTGACAAGGTAGGTATATTCAGACGACAAGTCTTAAACAGGATGAAAAATACATCCTACTTTCCACTGCTAGCCACCCCACATTCAATCCCCCCAAAAAAACTACAGATTCTAATTAACCCTTCAGGGAATTCATCTTAAAGAAGTCCCCTAATGTGAGTTGAGAGGCTTAAGGTGAATAGGTACAGTATAAATTTCATGGGAACAGACTGCTGAGGAGTTCGAGATGAGTTAATGACCAATGTTGACCTACAAGGGATACCTTGAAAACAAGAGAAAGCACACATTACAAAGTCTTTTGTGATTACATCTCAAGAGTAAGCAGATACACGTGACAATCTCAGGTTCCTTTCGTAGTGCTGAACATTTGAAATTCACTTTTTATCGTTCACAGAACTCAATGGAAATAGTAGGATGTATTCAGTCTGAAGAATGAGAAATACCAAATACTTCAGGCTGATATCAACTACAAACTGCTAACGGATAGACTAATATATTATACATTACATAATCATCAGATTAGAAGAAAATACTATGATTGAAACGACAGAGTTTGCAGTTAGAGCCGGTAAGAAGTTGAATGTCTGCCGAGTATAGTCAACAAAAACTACCGCAGAAGAATTGAAATGATTCAAGGTTAGATGCTCGATACAATGCAATTGACGTAAATAGATATTCAAGAACCTCAGGAATCTGGATATCTGACTTTCAACCTACCTAAGTAGGAAGTAAAATGAAACAGGAATAAACTGAATGCGTTCATTACTGCTACGGACTGATGACGATTTAGTTGGAGTAGAGAGCCCTAATTAGCATCATATGCCTGTTCGATACACCTTTCATAGTCATACACTACCAAAACAAGTACAAATGCCACCTTCAAGCAAAGAAATATGGTAACTGTCGACCTGTGTCCCACAACCTGATGAAGATCTAATCGATGAATCCTTGTCCAGAAGTGAAACCAGTTTTCTGTTCTTAAGTTCGGGTCAGCGTCGGATAACTATGCATCCATGGCTTTGATGTTCCTATGGTTGTAATAAGAAAACTTTCCTTTTTTTCGTATAAACGGAAATGACCAGTAAAATAGACCGATGTATAACGAGCCTGCTTCTGATCCGTATACACTACATAGCACCTCCATTACTTTATTCAGTAATTTACTGCCTCCTTAGTAGGTTGGAGGCAATCGGCAGGAAGCCTTGTCTGACCTAGGTTTCGTACAACTTGGCATACGCCAGCAAGCCATATCTGCAACCTCGACGGAACTTATGTCCCGCCTGAGGTTCGAACCCACGTCACCCAGTGTTGTAGTCAACGTCTTTATTACTGAGCTGTTCGGGTAGCGATTGACCTCCTGTGGGACTGGCTTACATGCATTGATTGGTCACGGGAGCCAACCAACTAACATCTACTAATTGTGCACCGCGATGCTGAGCTTCCTAGCTTGGTTGCCACATTGCAAATATGATCGATAGAATTCGGTCTGCACTCAGGACTAGACGACGTGAAATTGGTTGCACTTCCGTGACCGATAAATACAGGCTTGGACATTGTCACGCATGTCATCCCAACGGCTTCCACCCCTTTCACTGTTTGCTAACCCTGAGACTGAATGGAAGAAGCGGACAGGCGGTCAATGTATGACGTGGAGCCGTAGTATGAAGGATAGCTGTATCGGGTTAGCATCTGTTAGTGTCTCACGATTGCTTGCATGGGGTCCGAGAGGTTACGCAACTCAGTGACTTGAAACGGTGTTAGATATGGCTGAGAATCGAAACCAGTGGTGGTTACGCTGTAGCTTCCTTCTATTCTCTGATGATGACAAGTAATAAATGCTTCATTCTTACTGGACTGCCTTACTTATTATTCTGTTCTTGTGTTTCATTTTTAACCACTTCTCTTCGCTTTATGTCTTCATAATGTTGTTATGTTATATTGTATGGCGCATTTCCTGGTGCCCTTGCTGTAACATGTTTGTGTTCTAATAATAATAATAGTAATAATAATAATAATAATAATAATAATAATAATAATAATAATAATAATAATAATAATAGTAATAATAATAATAATAGTAATAATAATAATTCAGAAGTAGTATTCATCATGGACTGACATTAGTTAGGGAACCATTGAAAATCTGGGACAGATGTTTCGTCCTAGTATGGGACTCCTCAGCAGTACGCACCCACGACCCCACCAGGCAGGGATCGAACTTAGGACCTTCAGGTCTCACGGTGGATGGATATCAGGAAGCTCTACTGAGAAGCCATAACCTGTGGGATCAAACCAGTCAGAAGTGAAGTGGATGCTAACTGTAGACCTTGAGTGATAGTCGCGCTATGTCGTGAATTGACGGAAGTTGGAAATCGTGAACCACCGGAAACCGACCCAGTGACTGAATGGTTAATGCGTTCACCGTGAAACCTGAAGGTCTTGAGTTCGATCCCTAGCCGGATCATGGGTGCGTACTACTGAGGAGTCCCATACTAGAACTGATGTCAGTCCATGATGAATACTACTTCTAAATTTAAAAAAATCCCCATTCATCTCAGTAATATAATGATAATAATAATAAATTATGTTAAAAGTGAATCAACAGAGTCGAGAACATGCATGCACGTGCACACATGGATACACATGAAGATCATCCCTTACTTTCATTTGTGTACTTTGAGTTATCAACTGAGACTGTGTGAAAATCCGATTTTTGTGACAAGGTATTGTAAACCAACTGATTATTCACAAATGATTGAACTTCATCTTTGTTGACTATCTCTGATGGTTGACAAACATTCTGTACATAATCATGGATTGATAGTTGCTGTTGTTGACTTTGCTGGTCAATTGATGGAGTAGAGATTTCATTGCCATGGTTTACACCTATTGTACAGTACTCAATTCGCTTACAATAGTTTTTCAATGGTTTATTGAATAGGAATAAATCACCTAGGCATTGAATCCATTCCAAATCTTCAACACCTATACCCATATAACTTATTGATAACTGTTTAGGTTGTTGTATTGTTGTTACGGCTGCTACTGTTACAGGACTAACAGGTGAAATCGGTGTAGGTATAGGTGATGGTAGAGCAGTTGTAGTCAGTGTAGACAATGCATTTGAATGATCCAGATTAAGACGAAATGGATATGTTGCCTGTTTCCAAACATATATGCATATATACAAAACAAAGAAAAGCAAACAAACATAATAAGCTAGATAGACTTACTCCTTTTTAATTGGTATAGCATACAGTGACATAGTATAGTTTACTGGATGGTGTTTCGAATAGGATTTATCTCTCAAATTCATATCATAGTTAATCAGACAACTTTTAAACTACATTGACATAGTCCAACACGACTTCATTCTTTCATTTTAATGGTTGTAATATTTTCAAGATATCTGTAATATGTAATAATGAGTATATCCTGTTATATTCGGGTTAGCTGTTGACTCGATGAACAAAGATTCTGTAATCAATCTCTCCCTCCACCTACCTAGCTAGTTATAATTAGATTTTAGTATTGTCACCATATTCCATCTACCTCACAAAGTATGATTATGGGGTCAGTGCATACAGAGCGATAGGCAAGGTTTTCGCTAAATTGCTTATTTTACAAGGGAACTACTATTGTATTACTTGCTAAATCTTTGTGTTCTTCTATTCTGACTAACCCAGATCGGTTGCTTTGATCTACATACTTGACCTCACAATCATTACATGGAATTTCATGGATTAACTTACTTTTGTTTAATTGGCTCTATTGGGTCCTATAGCCCATAAAGTTTATCTCTGAGCGAGTTTGTGGGTTTAAATGCCATCCCAATTCCGACATTTTAAGTATTCTATGTGAAATATACGATATACATTATTTATACGGCAACCCTACAGCGGGTTTGAATTCTCTCTTAGGCATGTTCACTGTAAATTGGCAAGCATACATGGAGGTGGCCGAAAACAGTAGTTTATCCTTTACATCAGCTCTTATAGAGATGGTTACATAGGGTGTACAAAGCGTTTTCTAACTAAACGCATCTCCAAATACTATCCTGTATTACTGTCTGAAGGACACTTCAAAGCCGTCAACAATTCAAATGTTGAGCATTTGATTACCTTAGTACATTGTGCTCCACAAAAACCATCTGACAGAGTCATTTATGAAGTGAAGGTAAACATTTCGAAGCGAGTACATATTCGCTATCTAAACACAACAGCAACTCTGATAGTTCAGCAATACAAGCCTGTAAATCTTGTAAAGAATTAGCCATTGATGTATATATACACATGTAGAGTTGTAACTATGATTACGATGTACAGCTTTTGAAAATGATTCGTCCAAAAGGAAATTTTGATAGCTGATCATGTAACCGATCTTCAGTCCATTCCGTTGGAACGTCCCCTCCTATCTTCTGCACTTAAACTTGGCCTGTAAAAATTGCTTATTTCTACTTTGTTATTATTATTCTTCCCTTGGGTTCCTAGTGGGACACTGGGTTTCAGTAGCTCGTCACCATTTAACCCTCTTCTCTGAAGTCTTTTTAAACTGGTTCCACCACGGCCCAAAAGATTTCATTTGTTCCCCACACGATCTCTTCCATATCACCCTCGCACGCCTAACTCGTAGTTTCCCATTTAAATTTCCTTCAACGGCACGGTCTGGCGCGTGATGTCACCAATCGATCTTCTAAGTGCATGCCCAATACAAACTATCACCAATTTCTTCCTCTACATATTTCTTGGATGATAGGTTCCTCTTTGGTTCTTTGCGGGGCCAGGCAGAGATTCCTGTCGCTTATTTTTTATGGCCGACTCATGTCATCAATATCTTGTGAGCGTATTTGGCAGTTGTTGATGAATGTCTGCAGTTTGTTGGAAGCGCTTTCCGTTACGCACCAAGTTTCTCAACCATATAGATGCACTGACTTGACATTGGTGTTGAAAATCCTTATCGTGTTCACGCTCTATTCTGAATGCAGTAGATCTCCACACTGATTTCAGACTAGTGAAAGCCCATCTTGCTGTGTTTCCGATCCTGGATTTAACATCTTCATCTGTGCCTGTGCCACCTGTAGTTGAAACGATGCTGCCTGCCTGCATAGTTAGGCAGGTAGGTGAAAGAGACAACTTCATTCACATTTATCCCTTTGATGGTGATCGGTGCTTGTTGTTGTTGTTGTTGTTGTTGGCTGGGTATCTTCGTCACCTCTGTCTTCTCTACGTTCACTTGAAGTCTCGTCTTCGCTACCTCGCCTCTTCTGTCAACTTGTTGGTTTTCGCCTGTAGATCTTCGAGTTTAAGCGACATTAAACATAAATCGTCGGCGAAATACAAATCTTCTTAAGTCTTCTCATCAGTCCAGGCAGCGTATGCCTCTCTTCTCGCTCCTCACACTTTGCTTTATGATCCAGTCGACGAGAATCAGGAAGATCATGGGTGATCGAAGGCAGCCTTGTCTTACTCAAGTCTTCATTCCTACTTTCCTACATCGAAGTCGATATCTAAGTTTACCTTATGTGTATTCACGTGTACTGTATACTGGCCAACTGACCGACTGGGAACATCACGCGTCAGGCTCTCGAGTGGAACCCCGATGGGAAGCGATGAGTTGGGCGTCCGAGGGTGACATGGAGGAGATCGTGCGAGGAGGAAATGAAAACTTGTGGGCAGTCATGGAGCGAGGTTCAAAAGATTTCAGTGAACAGGGTGGAATGGAAACGTCCTACTGAAGCCCAATGTTCCATTACGAACCCCAAGGGACAAATAATAGTAATAATTTACTATCTAATTCAATTCTTTATATACTAGTATTCCAATTAATGATGAGATCATCAAGGCCCTGAAATTCTGTTTAGAGACTACCTACTTCACATTTAAAGGAAAACTCTAGTGGCAAATTAACGGAGTTGCTATGGATTCACCTGTTTCACCCACAGTCGCTAGCCTATTCTTGAGTTAATTAGAAGGAAGTGTCTTTATTCACTTAATTAAGCCGAAAATTTGGCTGTGATGTGTTGTTGACACATTCATAATTTTAAGTCGTGAATTATGCCGAACATTGTTAGATCAGTATCAAGTTCACATTAAGAAAAAGAAACGGATACTTAAAACGAATACTTATCAAGTGATATTCATTCTCCAGCAAAGAAAATAGTATTAATATAGATCGTAAAATTGTTTCTAAATTATAGGCCTCAACAACTGTCATCCTATGCAGATTATATACATCGAGTAAGATTACGATAGTGCTCAACAAATACAATATCAGAGTGCTTGTTCTACAGAACATCACTCACATTTCATAGCAACTCATTTCTTTCGAAGGACGAGATCCCTCTACATTTACAATCGAATTGTGTTCATAAAATAAAACGCTTAGAATGAGATGCAAACTCATATGAGAAACATTTCGTGAAATCAAAACACCGAAGAGCTTCCATTCGATCCCCTAGAAATCCAGTAGAACTGAAAAGACTTAAAACTACACCAGCCATAGCTCTCTCTGATGCATAAGCTTAACCACTCTGTTTTCAAACAGCAAGTTATGTCAGTCTTTTTTGTGGTTGACAGTGGAATCAATGACGTGCATCTCTTCCAATTTAGGACTCATCAGCTGGATGTACTCGTATCACAGTGAATGACTACGTTTTTCTTGCTTTTCCGATCCTGGTTTTCACATTCTCCTCTGTGAAGCCGCCGCCTGTAGTTGAAACAGTGCTGCCTAGATAGGTGAAAGAGACAACTTACTTCCCTTAAGTTTCTCCTGTTCATGGTGATTGGAGCCTGTTGTTGATGCTGTTGTTCGTAGGGTATCTTCATCACCTCTATCTTCTCTATATTCACTTGAAGTCCCGTCTTCGCTACCCTGCATTTTCTGTCAAATTGTTAGTTTTCACCTGTAGATCTTCAAGTTTGTGTAACGTTAGACATAAGTCATCGGCGAAATCTGAATCTTCTAGGTTCTTTTCCGCAGTCCAGCGTATCCCCCACTTTTCGCTGCTCACTGTTTGCTGCATGATCCAGTCCATTATAATCAGGAATATCATGAGTGATAGTAGGCAGTCTTCAAAAGCATCACTGAGCTTCCCATTGTGAATTACTTGGCATGTGGCGTCTTCATATAGTTGTTGAATGAGATTGATAAATGTTTGTGGTATTCCGTAGTGTTGAAGCAACTGCCAAATTACTTCTCGGTCGATGTTGTCAAAGGCCTTTTCAAAGTCGATCTTACTATCAATCTATTAATCCATTATTATATAGCTTTAAAAAATAATAACCAAAGAAAACGTATACTAACCACATTGTGTAATAGATTAGACTTATAAAATCCAATTGCACCAGAAAAGTATGAACCTGGTACCGCATACGATGGATATCTAAAAACAACAAGTCATGAAATAAGAAAAAAAAGGATAAAGGAAAATATTAACTATCTGACTAACTAATGACACATATATCCAGAAATAAACGATAGAATGGAGGCAGTTCACCTGTGTAGTGGTTCAGATAGCTTCAATATTCAAAAATATGGAGGAATAGTAAAGAGAGACAGAGAGAGAGAAATGATATTCCATTCAAGATGAAGATGAAATGTGGCTGCATTTGTGCCACACTCCCACCGATATATGTATATATAAAAACCACTATCGCTTAAATTCTCCAATGAATAAATGTGATTATTTTTTTTCCTTGCTCCTAATTAAGAAGCCTATACACTTCTTCTTTCCTGAAAGGTAAGCACTGCTGAAGAGTTATAGGCTAAAAAGAAATTGAATTTAGGGGGTTTGTAGGGATTTAGTGATTTTTTTCAAGTTGGTATTCATCATGAACTGACATCAGTTGGAGGAATATTGGAAACCTGAGAGCAATGGACAGCTGTTTCGTTTCAACAAGGGATTCTTCAGCAGTGGGTACCCATGACGCAAGCCCGCCAGCGATCGAACCCAGAAACTTCAGATTCCGTGGCCACCACGTTACTTTTAAGCCACTGGGTTGGAATCCAATGGCTCATATTTCCAGTTCCATAGTTGTCAGTGCCTGTCTACATAATATCAGTCTGTAATACAAAATGTGTGAAGACGTCAAAGCCAGGATGGAAAAGACAGCCAGACAGGCTTTCATGATTCTGAAATACTCAGTGTGGAGATCTACTGCACTCCGCACAAAGCGTTAAAAACATCCGAAATTTCAACCCTAAGTCAGTCAAGTCAGTGTTTGTATATGATGGTGAAGAGACTTGGGGCATCACGAAAAGCATTTCCAACAAACTGCAGACATACATCACATCAACGTCTGCCGCCAATACTCACTTGATACTGAAGATAAAGATCAGATGGCCAGAAAGAATAAGCAACAAGGAACTCTGGTTGGCCCAGCAACGAACCAACTAAGAACATATCTCCCAATAAATATGCAGAAAAAGGAAGTGGAGATGGATTGGGCATACACTGAGAAAACCATTCGGAGACACGCCAGGCCAGGCCCTTGAGTAGAACCTAAAGGATAAACGATGATTTGGGCGTCCGAGGCGAGGGTGACATGGAGATTGTGTGAGAAAAACGTGAAAGCTTCTGGGTGGTGGTGGAACCAGGTTAAAAGAAAAGACTGCAGAGAAGAGAAGGAAACGGTGACATGCTACTGAAGCTATATGTTCCACTAGGAACCCAAAGGACTAATAATAATGATAATAATACAATAATGTAATGTGAAATGTAAAAGCACGCATTGCACTAAAGTTATCCAGCTATCTCTTATAACATGAAGAACACGCTAAGACAAACTAATTTCAATCCGAGACTTCCTCATGTTGCCTTTAATTGCACTTGTTTACCTATACTTGCAGTCGCATATATGTTGGAAGAAAGCAGAGAATTCTTATTAAACGAATCTCTGAAAATGTACCGAAAAGCCTGTCATGAAAAAGTGCAAGGCTCTCCTAGAAGTGCCGTAAGAAAAAACATTCTCGATATACGTGATGAAGTTGACTCAAACGAAGTATCCAGTGAAAACAGCAGAAGAATAAATAATAGATTACTAAGTTATGCAGTAACAGTAGCAAACTGTCAACAGAAACAAAAGGAGTTCGTGGTTCACCTCATATTGGTCTCACTGAATTGTTTCTTTCATTCAGCTTTACTTAATATTTTATTTATCTTATTATCCTGTATATTATTCTCAAACATTAGTAATCACACCGTTTCGATATACTTCAATCCAACATATATTTTAATCAAGGTTTTTAACATATCCCTTTCCTTATGATAATTTACTTCCATGAGACTAGAAGAAGAATACAAGATGCGCGTTTCGTCCTGATTGGGACTCATCAGCTGGATGTTCCTGCACCGTAGTGAGTGATATTGTTCCCACTGAAACTCAAACCTCGTACCCATCGCTTTTACCTCCAAAGTGTTATCCAATAGGTCACTGAGACTGTCGAGGCATCCACATAGGAGCCTATATGCCAACAGAAGCCAAATAATTCGATCCAGTAAAACAACAGAGAATTACAAGCATATCAACAAAAAGTCATACATTTTTCTGGCATTAACCTTTAATGTTCTGCCTTTTTTAAAATTAAAACTCTTACCACCTTGAACTGTAATCATATTCTTGAACTGCGTTTATATCAAATTGTTTCCTATGTGTTCACTGATCGATTTCACAATCAGATTTGTTATGTTGCTTGTTCCTTATAATGGTTTCTGAAGTGGTCTACCTTGTCACTCATCTCTGTTCCGATATGAATATATACATGTCTAGATGTGAAAGATGTATATGGTGTCGATTTTTAGCACTGAAATGTATCCAATGGCTTCTGTTGGACACTGGTAGCTTAACTGTAAAACATTTTAAATTTAGCGCATATGTGGTAGATTTCGAACACACGAAAGGAGTTCGATTCATGCCGACAGTGTTTGTTGCCTTTGTTTTGCAGACATATAACATTAAACTATTACATTATGTATTGTTATATGAATATATATATCACTTTGATCATCTGAGATAGTGAAATAAAAACTCGAACCGCTGGTTCGAACCCTGCCGATGATAATATAATCACGTCCCTGGAGGTTAGAGTAAGATCGATTTATTCCAAGCATTGCATGTAGAAAGAACTATGGTATATCCATGATATTCAAAATTAAAGTGGATATCCAGATAAGTTCATCAAAGATAACATCAATTACATTGGTCCTAAATGAGAAATGACAGCAGGGGGAGAAAAAGTCTTTTTTCTTCTGAGTCTACAATTCAGAGGAGACACTTCAAGTGATATCTAATCACAGTGCCTCGAGAGAGCAATCAACTGAACGTTTTATGCAGGTCTGCTTTGCATAACTTTCAGCAGTTGGGCACTGCTCAATCCGAGACTAGAGGATATCCTACCCAATCCTAGCTCTTCATCATGCATACAGCAATTTGACCGTTTTCAGTGGAACAAGTTACATAGGACGTACGACTAGGCAGACGTGTCTCTGGATACCAGCTTAGTTCAGAAAGGATGGAATAAAAGTGATGAAAAGTGCCATCCTAGCTCACCTAGTACACACAGGGAACAGCATAGATACCGATTATAGGCTTTCAATGTCATATATCGTATTCCAAAAACGATACCACGTGTAGCTTGCAAACGTCTCTTCAATATGTTGGAGGCTGTCGTAATAAGGTTGATCACATCCAGAAAGATCAACTTCAAACATTATTCGTCCCATGAACATCAGGAAACTGAAGACCACTTTTGTCTTCTTAAGTCATCGTCTTTTCGTTCAAATCAATTTCATTGTAGTCCTTAAGTATCATTCCATTTTAGAAATGTAAGTGTTACTGACTTGGCTTGATTTTATGCGGAACAAACGTGTTCTATAACTGTAGAAACTCATGAGAATTTATTTGAAAGAATATTCCTCATTTTAGGCGTTTCAACTTGGTTTGTGACTCTTAAGTAGTGTATGCCATTATCAGCTTCACCTATTCTGATATTATTTAGTCCAAAGAATACTATCATCTTTATATCGAACAATATTTAAAGGATCCACATAAAATCTTACTTTTCGTCTGTAATACCCAAGAAAATACTTATTGTTTCACAGGCGTTTATCCGGCTAGGAAGACATGGTAGTCGTCGAACAAGTTCAAAACGATTTGAATCACAATTGTCAACACTCTCCATAACGACCTTTTCTTTTAAGTCACGCTGATCCAATATGTCACTTGCACCACCAATATCACCAACCATTAATGTTTGTTTTGAATGATAAGTTAACGGATCCATTGCTGAACAAGCCTTTGTTCCATTTAAATTAAGTGATGAAGGCAATGCACTAAACTCGAATCGTACAACACTTTTACCAGTTAATATGGATCCACCTTTTCCACCACTGGCTAATTCCATTCCACCAGTTAAACAGAAACGTATCAATATTGGAATATTTTGTAAAGACTGCAATGGGGACCAAGAAGTATTCACTGATGTAGAATCAACATTTTCAGATTTATTCAGTATATAGTGTAATTCATTGCCAGATGAAGAGGTGAGAGTTACTGGTTTAGTTGTTCCACGTTTCAGTAATGGACCAGTTTCATGACAAATCTAAATAATGATATATATTTTTTATAGTAAAATAAACTACATTTCTACTAATAATCATTTATTTTATAATGAGTATACAAGAGCTGGAAAAAACCAAAATAATTACTATTCTTATGAAATAAATTTCTGATAGAAGTGTTTAGTACTAATTACTTTTTCGCTATAGAATATTTAACGACCATGGATGTTCCATTATCAGGCTTGTAAACTTCATTGAAACTTAATTTCCATGCAAATGAAGTATCATCGTGTGAATAATGATGAACTCCAGCGAAGGGTAATACATAAGGTAAACGTGTCAATCGATGAGGTTGGGAATCTTAGTGGATTGAAATGGCGTACATATCCACTGTGTATACCAAGCTAGTGACTAACTAGTCATGAAATGCTGTGGGAAGTTGAATTATTTTAGAATAAGGTTTAAGGTGGCCAGATCCAGACACTGTTATTATTATTATTACCTTTCCCTTGGGTTCCTACTGGAACACAGGGCTTCAGTAGTACACCTCCATTGCACTCTCTTCTCTGCAGTCTTCTCTTTCAACCTGGTTTCACGACTGTCCATAAGCTCTCATTTCTTCCTCACACCATCTCCTCAATGTCACCCTCACCTCGCACGCCCAACTCGTCGTTTCCTCTCTGGATTACAATTGATAGCCTGTAGCATGATGTCCCCAGTCAGGCTTCTTTGTGAATGCTCAATCAAATCCATCTCCACTCTCTTCTGCATATTTCTTGAGTGATAGGTTCTTGGTTGGTTCGTTTCCAGACTTCCTCCTTGCTTATCCATTCTGGCCATCTAATCTTCAGTATCGAGCAAGCGTAGGCAGCTGTTCATGAATGTCTGTATTTTATTGGAGGTGCTTTTCGTGACGCGACAAGTTTCTCAACCATATAGCAGCACTGACTTGACACTGATGTTGAAAATCCGGATCTTGTTCTTTGCGCTGAGTGCAGTAGGTCTCTACACTGGTTTCAGATTAGTGAAAGCCTGTCTTACTTTTCCGATCCTGGTTTTGACATCCTCTTCTGTGCCGCCGCCGCCGCCTGTAGTTGAAATGATTCTGCCTAGGTAGGTGGGTAGGTGACAGACAACTTCCTTTAGATTTCTCCCGTTAGTGATGGAGATTGGTGCCTGTTGTTGATGCTGTTGTTCGTTGGGTATCTTCATCACTTCTGTCTTCTCTACGTTCACTTGAAGTCCCGTCTTCGCTACCCTGCCTTTCCTGTCAACCTGTTAGTTTTCACTTGTAGATCTTCGAGTTTGTGTAACATCAGACATAAATCATCATCGGGGAAATCATAATCTTCTAGGCTCTTTTCATCAGTCCAGCGTATGCCCCTCTTCTTGATCCTCATGGCTTGCTGCATGCTCCAGTCCACCACAATCAGGAAGATCATAGGTGATCGAAGGCAGCCTTGTCTTACTCCTTTCTTCACTTCAAAGGCGTCAGATCAAGATCAGTAGTCAATGAAGTCTCATTGTTGTTCTGAGCCATTTTGTTCAATGTAGACTGCCTTGTTGAAGTCCTCAATAAGAAAAGAAACAGTGATTGAGGACATTTCGTGAAATGGCTGAAAATCAATCGATCACAAAGGTGTAGATGTATGCAGTCATTGACATCTAATGAAGTTTCAATACTTGCACTAACCGTCATCTTCAGAGTGTTTATTCTCTCAAACTATTTAATCACTCCTTTTCTATCTGGTTGTTCTTTCTAAAAACTTCCGAAATTGATAATGATTCAATTTTCTACTAGTTTTGACGTCTGATTATTTGAATTTCATAAGTACACTAAGTAAGTTCATCAGAACTTCTCTCAGAAGTGAAGTATTTTCAATTATGTAACATGGAGATAGTGAAAACTGACATCATCAACATAGAATCTCGCACATACAAGCATCGGTTCAAGTTGCCACACTTCACAGAAGTATACAAAAAACAACCAGATAGAAAAGAAGTGATAAAATAGTTTGAGAGAATAAACACTCTGAAGATGACAGTTAGTGCAAGTATTGAAACTTCACTAGATGTCAAGGACTACATACATCTACACCTTTGTGATCGATCGATTTTCAGCCATTTCACGAAATGTCCTCAATCACTGTTTCTTTTCTTATTGAGGACTTCAACAAGGCAGTCTACATTGCACAAAATGGCTCAGAACAACAATGAGAGACTTCATTGACTACTAATATGTCTTGGTCTGGCCACCCTAAACCTTCTTTCAACATATTTCAATTTCCAACTGCATGGCACGAAGAGATGATAGGCAGTGGTTCGGCGTGCGCAGTACATATCTATGCCAACTTAGTCAACCAGGATTCATGACTGCATCATCGACTTGTGTGACTTTCCTAGTTTCCTTCAGTGGACCTCAACATTGTCCACACGGTGATTCCATTACACGCAAGCAACGCTACGAAGGCACAATATACTGGTCCTATGCTGTCACAGATGACACCAGTTGGCAAATGCCAAATGGGTCATCTGTATCAGAGCTGAAAAACCACAGGCTTGCATTTCGGTAGGTGTTTGCTTTCTAATCAATAAACACACTAGAAAAAACATCGGCTAAATGTCCTGATAACTTGATTTCAACATTCATAGTCTTCTTACACACTTGACTACTGATAACAGTAATAGTTAACTACAGTTTTAAGGGAGGTTCACATTTTTCAATGTAAAAACGTAGTTCTCAATAATTATTATAGTTACTAGTACTATCAACTTATCAGTACCCGTTACCGAATCAAAATGAACTCAACAACTCCATGCCCCTTTTCTTTTAGTAAACAATAAGGCCTTATCCTTTATGTGGGAGATAACGTTACAATGTGACTACCATACCCTCAGTGGGTAACGCAGAGTTAGAATCTGTGACCCACTGGTTGGAAGTCAAGCAATGAAACCCTAACCCTAAATAGCTTAGTATACAACAGTTTGACGTTTAAAGTAATGAGTATTAGTCTTGAGTTTCAGTAGGAATCATACGATTAATAAGTAGTATGCATGTACATCGAAATGATAGGTCCTAAATAAGATAAACTATCAATTCTAGATACCACTGCTACCCATCATGAAGCAAATTGCCAGTAGTATCTTCTTCCCTTCAAAAGAATGCCTTCACAAAGTTGACAGTGATTGTTTACTCCCAATACAAGTTGGTTACATACATACGTTAACGTAAGCAGAAAAGAAACCTCTAGACATATAAAAGTAAAATTTGAGCACAGGGGTTGATTGCAATTCTACGTTAGTCTGTTTATTAAAAATATCACACAGTGAACGAACAGTAACATTTACTGGATAACATCGTTTTAGGTACAATTTATTGTTCATATTCATATCACGCAACTAACTCCACTACTTCGAGACAGACTTATATATATTCCTAATTTTATCTCCTTCTCTGTGATGGCAACGGGTAGTAGAATTTTCCATACATCTCGAACACATGCAGAATCATTTCTATCACTGCACGTATTTCGTCTTACTCCGATAAACAAAAATTCAGTCCCTCCCTTATCAATCTCTCCCTCACTCCACCCAACTAACTAAGTTACTTTTCAACATTGTTGCCCTATCCCCCACCATACTGTGGCACTGATTGTGTGTCATCGCATGCACAGATACACTCCAGCTTTTCTCGAAATTTCTTATCTTATTACCTTCTTCTCATCTTGATTTAGCTAAGTTTCTGTGCTCTCTTATCCTAATCGACAATGGCTAGTCAACTGCTTTCACCTATGCACTTCACCTAGCAATCATTCCAAGGGATCTGGTTAACCAGATTATTTTGCTCAATTGCATCGATAGAATCTTTTAACCTACAAAGCTTGTTTCTAAGTGAGTTTGTTGGTTTCAATGCCACTTTAATCCCAACCAGCCTTATTGAGAATTCTTCGTAATGCTTCAAAGGTGCCCTCCTTCTATGGCAACACAGCAGAGACACTGAATTCTCTCTTAACCCTCTCACCATTATTACCATTAGTAGTCAGATTATTATTAATAACATCTGTATTACTACTACTACTACCAACACTGCTAATATTTTTCTTTCGATTCCTCATGAATTAATTCATAAACTTTTGTGGGTAATTATTGAGACGTAGGGTATTCTTGATGTGTCTAATTTCTCGTCGCAGATTTTCCGGTCTACTAGTAGGCTTTTTCGCTCTATCACTTAGGCATTTAACTAGGCCTACTTTAACTGAAATGGGGTGGGACGATTCGAAGTCTAAGCAGCGATTCGAATGGTTAGGTTTCCTATAGACAGTAGTCTCTAAACTTCTGTCTTGTGTTAGTTTAATCTTGAAATCCAACATTGTTAGCTCATGTTCATCAGTTTTTAAGTCACAGGTAAATTGGATTGCATTCATCACTAAATTTATATGAGTCAAGAATCTATTGATGTGTTCCGATTTCAGTACTGTAAACCTGGCGTCTACATATCGGAACCATATCTTTGGAGTAAAACTAAGTAGTTGAAGGGCCTTCTGTTCCCAACTATCTATTAATATGTTTGCGACGATAGGGGATATTGGTGATCCCATGGCAACACCTTCAGTTTGTTTATATATTTTATTGTGAAACTTAAAGACTGCAGATGTTAGGCACAATTGTGCAATTGTAGTATGATTTCTTCGATTGGCACCTTAGTTCGATGCCCAAGTTCCTTGTCATCTTTAAGCCCATTCCTAATTGTCTCTAGAGGCATGTCAATCGGTATATTTGTGTGAACGCTGGTTATGTCAAAACTAACCATTTTTTCACTATCTTCTAAGTGTATGTCATCTACTGTGTGCTTTAAGTCATAAGAGTTGGTGGGTCGAGACTGAGTGATTTCTTATTGGGCCTAACACCATTGCCAAATATTTAGGCAACTCGTAAGTCGGAGTGTTTGTAAAATATACTACAGGCCTGATGGGACAACCTGGCTTATGAATCTTAATAGTAACATACATTATACTGGGATTCTTAGTCTTCGGCATTAAATTAAACCACTTTGACTCACCTAGAAATGGCTTCATCCAGCGTATCAGATCCCCTGTCGACATCATAGACCAATACAATACAATACCGTTTTTCTACTTAATATAAGAGTAAAACTTAAACACCGTGGAAGCTAGAGAAGCCTTCTGCTGACAACAATAGGGGGATGAATTTTACTAACATCGTATCAAAGACCCTGGGATTCATAGTTATCCGACGCCTAACTGGCGATCGAGAATGATATACTCCAGAAAACCAAGCAGATTTCGGACGTAAACGGAGGTGTAATGACTAGATGTTCACCTTTGCATAGATCATGAGACAGAAGGATACTCAACGACTAACGACAGATACTTGCCACATTTACGTAATCTGGAGGTTTGTGAAGATTTATTAATTAATTTCTGGTTGGAATTCACCACGAACTGACATCAGTGAGAAGGATATTAGAAATCTGAGAGCACTGGAAAGCCAGCTATTTCGTCCTAGTATGGGACTCCTCAGAAGTGCGCACTTTCCGACTGATGTCAATCCGTGATGAATTCTAACTTGCCGCATTTGTTGACCTGAAGGTGACATTAATCTTTGCCAACCATGAAGTGTTGTGGCAGTGACTCTCTACTCCCTGGAATTCGTCTGGTTGATCTGGAGTAGGTAGATGACATTGTCCTCCTAGGTGATATCAGTCTTTTTCTATTCACAAGTTCTTCGTAAAGTTTAACAGCTTGAAAACTACTTGTATGTCAGATTCTAAGTTGATTGTGTCTGTTTCTGTCTGTGAGTCTGTCTATCAATTCCACTGCGTACAACACCGAATAAATCAACCACATATTTTTTCTGGTCAATACTAATTTATGAAGCCTAGTGTATCTTTTTGCAGATACACAGTCATTCAATGTTAACTTCATGTTTATGACAATAACACAAAGCAATGGTATGCAACAGTGACAAGTATAAAAGAATATGCTTGAAAAACACAATAACCCTGGTAGCTAACCGATGGATGCACTACAAACTACAATTACCATAGTCAGAGTTAATTATCACTAAACGCTTGAGGTAGAATCGAAATACTTTCAACAGCCTTGTTTACATTCTTACAATGAGCCAAATCAATCATTTTTAGGTGGAACGGGGTTCGAACTTGTGACACATCAGCTGAAAATCAACTATCTGAACCAAAGAGTTATAAACTCCACCTCAAGTTAAAAAAATAGTTCAAAAAAAATGATATTCTTACTTGTGCAATAACTTTGTAGTCGCCTTTTTGCAAATTGAAAGTAAATTTTGGACGTTCTTCTCGACGCTAAAATACAAATAAAACGGGCTTGAAATAAAAACTCTATGTGGAACGGTAAACAATGCTAGTCTGCTTATCTGTTTTTTTTTTATAAAAATGTTACTACATGAAAAATGTAATACTGAGGAGCACAAATCACTTTTACTTAGAATCGTCTTTTGTTATCTTTGTGTAGGAAGATGGAGGGGGTTGAAGGGGGGGGTTTAAACCATCACCTCCTTAAAACAATGAGCCACAGCTGTTATGAGTCAAGTCCAGCACCTTCAAACTTTGAGACGAACATGCTATCATTGATACAATGGGTTGAAATACAATCGTCCACTTTATCAAACTTTTGTCAATACAAGGCATTGAATAATAATCACGCTACGTTGCAAGTTGACAAAAGTGGGAAAATATGAAACATCCAGTCTTAATTCTAGTGGTTCAATTGTAACATGTTCGTCACTGGATCTGATAGTTCTGGAATAGATAGCTCGAAGGGGTCATGGATTTGCACGGCTGAGGTAAACGCTGTTCATTGCTCTATAGTTTTAAACGGTTTCTCAATTGATATCAGTTTATGATGAGAACTACCTCAATATTAATCAGTCAGTCCCTAAAAAGTAATTTGTTTGAAAATTCTCATCACCAGAGTCGATTACTTTAGGCTATATGGAGTACTGCATTTACACTCATAATCCAATTGAGCGGACTAGTCACATCAATTATTTTGAAAAGTAAAATCAAACTGAGTGATTAGTTATTTGACAGAATCTTTGCAGGCTAGAAGAAAGTTAAGGTGACCTTCTCTGTCTACTGTTACCGATTACCGTTGATTTTTCCATTTCTTCAGACTTCGGTACTATCTGACGCATTCAGTCATTAGGTAGACGTCTTGTAAACCTGCATTTGAGTTGCTTCCAGCTTTATAATTGTACTTGAAGTCTGAAGAAATGCGTTCACATGCATCTACAAGAGTCAACTTTGGTCTTCAACACAATTTTTACAGTAGACTGTTGATAGTACCATACATATTTTAGGTGAATAATGTTGTTCTGTTCCAGTAACTAATGAGCAAGTTTCTTGTAGAAAGCAGCTTAAGAACTTTCATGTTGATTTAAGTGCGCCTATATACATGTTCGAACCAATGTATGATTACTATCTAAGCACGTGTTTCAGAAAGAGCGTCAATCTTCCATCGACCCTCTTCAAAGAAAAGTGGTAACTATATGGTCTATGGGTTCACTACTGAGTTGATGACATCCATAAATAATCTTTATGTGAATCATTAAGCCGAATTTCATCATTATTCACAACTTTCCATTACTTATTTATAACTTTCTTTCTTATTTCTCTACCTTTCTGTAATGATTTAGGAAACTGCTAACAATGAGTAGATATCAAGTGTCAGCTACCAACACTCAACAAATTCCTAGTTAATTCTCTACCTGACTAATTATTGGGAAAGTCAGGGACGAACGTGTAGAAACGTTTGCTGGGGTCAGAAGACCGAAGATACAAAAATAATAGAAAATACAGCCAATATCACTTTGATTTTAGTGTCATTTGATGTAATGATATGAAGTGTAGCAACTCATCAAGTATCATCAGTTCCCAAGTTGGTGCCAATTTGCTCCTTTACTGCCACGATGTAAGGTACAAGCTCGAGCTCTGTTTGTAGACGCACTCCTATGCGGATGCCTCGGTGCTACCCGGATGTACATGATATCATAGTAGTTTCGTTCGATGGGTGCTGGGTTCGAGTCTCAGTAGGAGTAACATCACGCCCTAGAGTGCAGGTACATCCAGCTGGCGTGTCGGTCCAAAATAGAACAAAACGTATGGGATGGATCCCACTGTTAGAAAATAAGCAGATTAAAGCAAAATAACGTTTTATTGACGATTTAGAGTTTTAATTTGGTTATGCGGATATTACTCCAGAATTATTACTCAGAATTATGCGCATCCAGCGATTTGGTGATTGGACTCAGTGTGTACAAAAAAAGCGACATGGACTTCACCAGATGGACACATCAAAAATCAGATCGACTTTATTTCAATCTCGAGAAAATGGAGACGCAGCCTACTGGACACAAGATCAAGAAGAGGATCAGATGTAGGTTCAGACCACTCACTATCTAGCGCAAGGAACCTTCAAAATCAAGTTGAAAGCCTTAACAGAAGTTGGCGATAGACCACAGTTCGAGTTCAACACTCAGAAACTGAAGGACGAAACTACAAAGCACATCTTTACGTCAGTCAGCCATCAGAACAAAATGGGAGATATCGAGGAACATCTCTGAAGGAACCTTTGTGGAAAAACACTTGAAGTCTTTGAAAGAGATGTGGAAAGAAACCTACAAAACCGTATTAGGAAGGAAGAAGAAATAAGATAAGGAATGGATCTCGATAGACACATGGAAGCGGGGAGAAGAGAATGGTGAAGCAGAAGATAAGCCAGTGCAAAGATGAACAAAGAGAGGAGGAACTAAGTACAATGTATAAAACACTACACTGGACAAAGAAGTGAAGAAGAGTGCATGGAAAGACAAACGACACTTCCACGACACACTGGCAAGTGAAGCAGAACAGGCTGCAGGTAGGAGAGACAGAGAGACCTGACAACATTATATCAAATAACCAGGTTACTATCTGAAAGGGAAGAGATCAACGCAAACGAAACCAATGAAAGATAGTGAAGGAAACCTAGTTACCAAAGAGGAGAAACAAAGGAAACAATTGGCTGACCACTTCAAAAAGCTCTTGGTGGATTCAAAATTACGACCAGAACCGGCTGGCTGGATTCAAGAGTTACAAATCATGTGCCGATAAAATTGCAACGCTACGCATCATCATAGAACAGAGCATACGATGGCAGTCAACTCAAACCTACCTCAACTTCATCGACTTCGAAAAGGCCTTCGACAGCGTCAACAGAGAAGTAATTTGGCAGTTGCTTCAACACTACGAAGTACCGCAAACTCTTACCAACCGTATTCAACACCTATATGAAGACGCCACATGCCAAGTGAATCACAATGGAAAGCTAAGTGACACCTGAGAAGTGAAGTTAGGAGTAAGACAAAGTTGCTGCCTACTATCACCGATGATCTTCCCGATTGTGGTGGACTGGATGGTGCAAGAAAGTGTGAGGAGTTGTGATAAGATAGGGATACACTGTTTGATCAATGAGAAAACATTAGAATATTTGGATCTCGTCAATGATGATGATTTATGTCTAGTGTCTTGTCGCACAAACTCGAAGATTTGCAGGTAAAGACCAACACGTTGGCAGAATAGGCAAGGCAGCAAAGACAGGACTTCCATCAGATGAACTTGGAAAAGACACAGGTGATGGAGATCCCAACCATCACCAACAACAACAAGCACCAGTCACCATCAACGGGAGTTGTCTCTTTCACCTACCTGCCTACTTAGGCAGCATCGCTTCAACTACAGGTGGTGGCGGCCGCACAGACGAGGATGTCAAATCCAAGACTGAAGGACAGGAAGACAGGCCTTCCTGCATTAATATGAAATAATCACTGTGGAGATCTACTGCACTGTAATGCACTCAGTATAAAGCGTGAACAAGATCCAGATTTTCAACTCTAATTCAGTCAAGTCAGTGCTTCTATGTGATGGTTGGAGACTTGATGCGTTACGGAAAGCATTTCCAACAAACTTCAGACATTTATCAACAGCTGCCATCTACACGCACTTGATAATGAAGATGAGATGGCCAGAAAGAATATGCAGCAAGGAACTCTGGGAACGAATCAACCAAGGACCCCATCGCCCAAAAGATATACAGAAGGAAGCGGATATGGATTGGGCATGCACTGAGAAAACCATTCGGAGACATCACGTGCCAGGCCAGACCACCGACTGTAATGCAAAGGGGAAATGACGAGGTGGGCATCTGAGGCAAGGGCAACATGGAGATAATGTGAGGACGAAATGAAAGGTAATGGGCAGTTGTGGAGCCAGGTTAAAAGGGAAGACTGCAGAGAAGAGAGTGAAATGGAGATGTGCTACTGAAGCCCTATGTTCCACTAGGAACCCAAGGGACAAGTAATAATGATGATAGACATTTAAATTCTATCAAGCAACTACCTACAGTAATTTCAACTGACGTGGAGCACCCACTTCATTCACAGCTCTCTCCTTGTATTTCCTCTCAGGGAGGACAAGAAGAAACTATATGACTACGTTCGTACAGCCAATTACAAGAATTCGACTGCGCCTCACCTAGCACACATATTATGTGAGAGAAAAAGTGTTAGAATAGAACTCGCTTATCATTCCAATAATTTAATTAACAATGTAAAATGTGCTTGTTTTTTCAATATTCTTTACACTACTTAAATTCCTATAGTAACACTTCGAAATGTTATTAAGCAGTGTATACATACGTGTATTTTGTTGCTGCAGTTGTTGTAATACATCATGCTGAGAATTTCAAATTCTACCGAAAATTGTTTGGAATAAAGTGATTATTATTATTATTATTGTTCCACAATCCCAAAGTCAGTATTCCTCTGACCTTACGTCTTACATCTATTGTCGGCTCATCTCCTAGTTTGAGGCCGATTACCTCTTCAACATTCGCTTGATTTTAAGAAAACCCGGTGGGTCAGTCTCCTCGTTGAGTACGAAACATAGAAGTAACCCCTTCAAATGAAAAAGAACGCTCGTGCCAGAGCATTCTATTAACGTTTACCCCGAAAAACCGATCACAACTCACCCAGCTATCAAGTTTCATCCCACTCATGTCCGCCAAGTGATCGGCTCGTTGACGCCACTCGTCTCGTAATCGGAAAACCCGATTGGAATGCGTCTCACTGAATCTTCAAAATCGTTTAGATCCAAGTGCCGCCCACATCTGCGAGGCAGACATTCCCCTAGGAGGCCTGCTCTATGAATCAAAACACCAAAACAATCAGAGCAATGGTTTCTTCGTGGCTAGCGACACCGGGCATTGCCGAATGAATATCGCTCATCGTTTCAAGGTAAAAATACGACAACAGTGACTACTGCAATTCGGAAGGTAGATTTCCTTACTTTTCAGCTGCCGTGCTCGGAGCTCACTGAGTGGAGCTAAACCATCGATGCTTGGAAACCCATACCACCGATATTGTGAAAATGGATCTAGTTGATTGAGATTACCACCAAGTCAACTTTGACAGTGTGTTGGTTGATATCCAGTGACGCCACAAGAAGGCTCATTATCATCACACAGCAAAGCTAGACCCATTTTCACCTGTATACCAACCATCTCCAGTTTTCCAAGTCAGTAGCACACATCTCACACCACCAAGAAAGTCATACTTACCCGAACTCTGTTCTCCGGCAGTCCCCAACCTCGAAGTTTATATTCCCCTGCACATTCCAGAACTAATAATAACTTAGTTGTTATGTTATGCTTGTTATTGTATAAAAATGCAACAAACTTCACTTACGCCATCGTATTCCCAGCACCAATAAACCGTCCACGATTATCATAGACATGAAATATATGAATCAAATAGTCACTGGAATAAAGCATATCTTGCAACCAAGGTAGACAGATGACTGCTGTAACTATCTTGAATGGCTGTAAATAAAAACAATGAAATGTCAGAGAATAACAAAAGATAAATGGTCAGGCAATACTGTAGATAATGGAGGTTATTACTTGTGTGAGCCTTGAGTTCGTGATTGCTGGCACTCGTCAGTACGGCATATATATAATTTGAAAGAAACTGAGTTACCCTAAGAGGTCGAACCTATGTTACTAGTACTACAGTAAGAGACTTTACACTGAGCTATCGGGCCACAATTTACCGTGTGTAGGACTGGATTGGAGAGAGAGATGAACTAGACAAGAAAGACATCTTAAGAGTAAGTTCCTATTAATTCACAAAGATCATCTACTTCATACACATTGCAGATTTTAAAGTGTTCGACAGTATTAAGACTTTCAAGAAAGTACTGGGCAGTAAAATTCTTCATTCCTAAAAATGTCATGGCAGATTTATGGAGCTATGGCTTATTAGTTAAAGGAGACAACTATCGAGCAATGGATAACGATTTCGTACCCCGCTCCACATACGGAATTTCTTGGAAAGCCAGGAAATGCCAATAGCCCTCACAAATAAGTTGTGATTTTTTGCTTATTGCGCATATGTACATACCTCGATTCGACTTCAGCGTCGGTCTAAACACCCTAAAGAAAGAATTACATAAAAAACATTTCAGCTTTTATTCATTCCCAAGCTCACCAATAATCAAGATCAACATAGGAAGATAAGGGTATTACTGCCCAACAGTCTAACTCACCATACCTCATATCACCACATCAAGTAAAAAGATAATAAAACGGAAGATGAAGAAGGAAAGAAACACTAGTCAAATGAAGTAGAAGTAGTAAAAGAAAACAAAGGAGAATGAGGAGATAATGAGATTAAGTATAGCGGTTAAGATGAGGATAACACGTGCATACATTTGCGCCCCTGACATCGCTTCTCAGTATTCTGATCACCTAGAGTCTTCAACCACTGGTCTCTCTTGTCCCGCAAACCCCAACAGGCTAGTCTGCATCGCCCCACATGCCATGTTTCAGTCTCGCCATCCCCAGCCTTTTATCTACCTCAACCTACTTCGGTCAACACTGTGCAATGAGGCAGATGGTGGCTAGACATACGTAGCACATGTTCCAGACATCTCAGTCAATCAATGTTCACAACTACATGAACTGTCTCACATCTCCTGCTTAAAACTCTATGTCTCACTTCTGAGTTACTCACGTGGTGACACCATGAAGCACGATACATGCTACGAAGTCACTGGTGGTCAAACATCTGAAGACTTCTCATGTATTCTACCTTCAGTGGCTATGTTTCACAGCCACACAGTAAGATAGAGCAGACTACAGCACAGTCCACTTAGCCCTCAGTAGAAAATGGGATATCTCGGTGGCGTGAAAGATGGTACTTACAAGGTATTTGAGGTGTTTAACGCATTCAACCACTTCATTCTCTATTGTCAGCCAGAGCACTGTTGAAGGCCGATCCTGTGAGCAACAATTTGCATTTAAGTGGTGAGAAACTCATCCAGAACATTTTCAAATTGCCACTCAAGGTGTCCAAAATACTCTGCATCTTGTCAGTGTCTTCACCTAACAGGACTACATCACCTACGTATTTTAGGTGTCTACCAAAAATTCTCCTGTGATCAGTCCAATCTCTCTATGGTCAGATGACGAGATGGAGACCTCCATAAGAACATCTATGCTAAGATTGAAAATGAATGGAGATAGTGAGCATCTTTGATGGACACCACTGGACCTATACAACTCACCCGTCATCTCGCTACAGGCTATAAGGCATCCATTCGCAAACCAAATATAATCAAAATTATCTTGTGAGTGGTCGACTCTATCTTAGGAAATTCTGTCGGTAAACATTCATTAATTATCATCAGCTTCCATTCATGTGCCATCTTAGTAGGTGTTAATCCCACAATTACTGGGATGATATAAATGCTAAGAATTTTATGTTAACACAGTGGTAACAGGATATGAAAGTCTCGTATTACACGCATATACATACAAACACACAGTCACTAAGTCGAAATCTCCAAAGTAGCTTTCATTACGGATTACCGTCAGACAATGAACCATTAGGAAACAATGAAAACAGCAAGTGAATTCCAGAGAAGAATATTGGAGTCCTGTGGTGCCCGCGTCACCGTCTAAAAAATATTCAACTGTAATCCGACTAGCCATTATTGATAGTATTAGATGATCTTAATGTTTATGATTGATTGACAAAAGATGAAAAATAGGACTGATAAATCCTCAACCAGTGACTGAATGGCAATATTCTCAATGGGGAAACCACCAGTTTTACGCTTGGTAGAGAATAAAATTAACCTGACGTCAGGTTATCATGTAAACCACCTTAACAATACATCGAATAATCACTTCCATTTAGGTTGAAGAAACGCCTTGCTGATGAGTGCTGACAGGGACGAAACTTAAGTCGAGCGGGGCTACCTGTCAATCAAACAATCATCTAACTAGCAGTAGCAGAAAAAAAGACTATACACCCTTGCGATTCATATATCATACAGACGCAAAGAGAGATAACTTACGCAAGTGAATTGATACATTAATCGAAGAGCATACGAACTGTGCTCATCAACAAAGAGTTCATTTGTTCCGTGGCCTAAATAAAATATTTTTGAATCGTATGGTCTAAATAAAAAAACGAAAAGAAAACACAAGTAGAAAAACAGATTGTTAACAAAGCACGTTAAACACCTCAATTACCTTGTAAGTAGGATCGACCCTAGTGGATCAACAGCCGTTGAAATCTTTGCATCGATACAAAAGTCTCAGTTGGCTTTTAAATAACTTACGCCATCTTTCACGCCACCGAGATATCCCATTTTCTACTGAGGGCTAAGTGGACTGTGCTGTAGTCTGCTCTATCTTACTGTGTGGCTGTGAAACATGGCCACTGAAGGTAGAATACATGAGAAGTCTTCAGATGTTTGACCACCAGTGACTTCGTAGCATGTATCGTGCTTCATGGTGTCACCACGTGAGTAACTCAGAAGTGAGACATAGAGTTTTAAGCAGGAGATGTGAGACAGTTCATGTAGTTGTGAACATTGATTGACTGAGATGTCTGGAACATGTGCTACGTATGTCTAGCCATCATCTGCCTCATTGCACAGTGTTGACCGAAGTAGGTTGAGGTAGATAAAAGGCTGGGGATGGCGAGACCGAAAGATGGCATGAATGCATGAAGTTGTTGACTGTCCCTTTGAGTCATATGGGGCGATGCAGACTAGCCTGTTGGGGTTTGCGGGACAAGAGAGACCAGTGGTTGAAGACTCTAGGTGATCAGAATACTGAGAAGCGATGTCAGAGGCACAGATGTATGCACATATTATGATATGAGGTGTGGTGAGTTAGACCGTTGGGCAGTAAAACCTTGTCTTTTTATATGGATCTTGATGAAGGTGAACGAAATAGAGGAAAGTCATTTACGCTGACAATTATTCAATTTATAAGCCTTTTTTTATCGATTCTCATGTTTATCATTCTTGTAAAATATGATGCTTGAAACACAATGGTAGTGGATAATCAAAAGACAAAAATAAACCTGATACTCCAATGTGATTTTGAAAGTAGTTCACGTCATCTAATCACATTGAAAATGCAATCGCCTATTATTATTATTTTATTATTATTAGTCCCTTGGGTTCCTAGTGGAACATAGGGCTTCAGTAGCACGTCTCCAGTGACCTCTGTTCTCTGAGATCTGTCTGCAGTTTATTGGAAATCCTTTTCGTGACGCGCCAAGTCTCTCAACCATACACAAGCACTGACTTCACTGTCGTTGGTGTTGAAAATCCGGATCTTGTTCCACACGCTGAGTGTAGAAGATCTCCACACTGGTTTCAGGCTAATCAACGCCTGTCTTGCTTTTCCGATCCTGGCTGACTTTGACATCCTCGTCTGTGCCTGTGCCACCTGTAGTTGAAACAGTTCTTCCTAGATAGGTGAAGGAGGTTACTTCCTTTAAGTTTCTCCCATTGATGGTGACTGGAATTTGTTGTTGATGGTGGTGGTGCGGTATCTTCATCACCTCTGTCTTCTCTACATTCACTTGAAGTCCCGTCTTCGCTGCCTCTTCTGTCAACTTGTTAGTTTTCGCCTGTAGATCTTCAAGTTTATGTGACATCAGGCACAAGTCATCGTTGGCGAAATCCAAATCTTCTAGGATCGCCTATTATAGTATCACCAAAAGATGTTGAACAATTCTAAAGCATAGTTTTGATAATATTGATTGGTTAAGTATACATCACACACAATAAGGCATATGAACATATCAATGTCAGAGAGGATGAAAAAAAGAGAAAAGTGAATAATGAAATCAGAGTAAGTCATGTCAAGAAAATTTCAAAAGGCTTTGAATATCTTTTTATTATAAGCAAAGGAACTACATAAAGATATAAAATGATTTGAAGTCAGTAGTCGAATGACATCGAAAACTGTATCCAACGGATCATAATTAACTGAATAATCCTAACCCTAACAAAACTATCTTTCATTCCACGATACTATCCCATAGAATGACTATGTCTTCGTATATCCCAGCAGTGTGGAGGCCGATGAATCAAGTTACATAACATTTACACAAGCTACCGATGTCACTGACAAAATCAAAAGAGCAATACAACATATCAACAAACTTTATTACAAGGAATAAAAATAACAGAATTATCAAGAAGTTAAATACTATCTAGAATGAAACTGAACAACTAAAATATAAGCTTATGAAAGTAGTAAACAGCAGAGACTATGAATTCTTGACATAAACATCAGATAAGACAAGATTAGCTGCTTCCAAGAAATTCAGAAACATTCAAACCAAAAGTCCAAGGAAAAAAATATTCCATGGAAAATAATCAAATTACAAATGAAACATCTTTTAAATATCGATAGGGAAAAAAAATTGCGTAATCAACCTCTCCTTGACAACTTTAAGCTCAGATGAGACGAAATTACTCTCCATCATTTCAATATGAAAAAGCCTTTAGACACTGTCGTGAATAAGAAAGAAATTTACAGCCGATCTGATACGCCGACTAAAGCCATCTCCAGGTACATCTAAATGGTTTAATTTAATCCCCTTGAAACTGATAATCCTAGCAGAATTTATGGTAGTATTAGGGTTCATAAACCAGATTATCCCACTAGATGCATATTTGACTTCAGAAATACCCCAACATATGAACTAGCAAAGTACTTAACATGCATATTGTGTCTTTTTAGGAACCATTCATATACCAGACTAGTAAACTCCTACAAGTCAAGACTAAGGCTGAATGACCTACATGTAGAAGAGGGTGACGAAATGGTTAGTTTCGATGTAACAAGTCTTTATACTAAAATATCAATCAATATGGCACCAGAGGCAGTCAGAAATCAATTAAATATTGATTCAGGACTTACAAAACTACGTTATCGGTTGGTGAGATCATATTAGGCGTACAGTTGTGCTTGACCTCCACAATATTCAAGTTTCAGGACAAAATATACAGACAAACAGAAGGAGTAACAATGGGATCGTCAATATCCCCGGTCGTAGCAGATATATTTATGGAGAAAATATGGCCTTACAAACGTTTAATCCTGTACCTAAGATAAGGTGGTGATATGTAGATGACACATTCATAACTGTCTTGAAATCGCAGTATATCGACAATTTCCTCACACATATAAACTCTATAGTAGACACAATCCAATTCACTTACGGGGAGGTAGAAAATGAACAAGGAGAATTACCTATATTGGATTGCAGGATAGAAAGAAGGCCAGAAGGTGGTTAGGGTACTAACATCTGCAGAAAACCGACACATTCTAACAGGTATCTAGACTTCAAGTTATCCCATCCACTGTCAGTTAAAAAAGGTTTTGTCAAATGTCTACATGATAGAGCTGTAAAAGTGACTAGTCACTGCAAGGACCTAAACAAGGAACTGAGGCATATAAAAAAAGTATGAATAGTCAATAATTATCCTCTACAGTTTCTTACGAAATTCGTACGAACACAATAAACGAAACGATAACAACACAAGTAGAAAGTTCACAGCCTCCATTGTAGGATCTTCAACAAAGCTGGAATTAGGGTGGCATTTAAGCCTACAAACTAACTCAAAGATAAGCTTTGTTGGCTGACTTAAAGATCCGATAGAATCAATTGAGCAAAATACTCTTATCTATGAAATTCCAAGTAACGACTGTGAGGACAAGTACATAGGTCAAACTAGCCTGTCAGGGTTAATTAGAATAGTGAGACAACAATGTAGCTAAATATAGAATGACAGACTCTAATAAGATCAATAATCTAGAAGCGAACCTCAGCTATTGCAATGCATGCTTGACACACAAACATATAATTGGGTGGAATGAGACCACTATACTTGACTCCAGCATAATTAGGTGGAGAAAGACAGAGATCGCTCATCGAACCAACCAACACATCTAATAGGAATGACGCAACACCCACACCAGAAATGTGGAAAATATTACTACCGATGAAAATAAAGAATACGAAGTATGAGGATTATAAAAATCAGATGTCGAAAGTAGTATGATCACACTGATATGATTACGGGCTATGGTAGTTTATCCTCGAAACGTCATCAAGCTAATAATACTTTATCACTTACTGCGTGTTATAGATCAAATCAACGATTTTAATATGGAATTAAGTTCTACCAGAGTGCTCAAATTTTACACCTATATTAGTGTTTAAGATGATTTGACCAAATGAATAAGCGTCTCTATCACATCTAAACATATGCTGCCAAATCTCAGAATTACTTCTAACACGATATTTTCTTCAAGGTATCAGTAATCCTTGGGAGAAAATGTTATTTGTACACACAAAGTAATCTGGCAGCTTAAAATCTGAAGGCCAAAATCATACGGACCTAGGCATGTATTACACATGCCAAGCCATGGTCTACATCGACATTTAATGTTAAGAGAAGTTGGGTTAGGTTGAAAGAGGGTTCACCCTGGCAAGATTATACAGTTGCACGAGTCCAGGAATGCTCCAACTGTATATCTGAGCGGTGTGGAGAGATGCAGACTATGTGGCTGGGGTCCATGAGACGATAGGAATCAGTGGTTGATGACTTTTGCTGAAAAGTATGAAATTGGTCACAATGCTTTTACGTTTTGATGTCTTCTGAAGCTTGCATAAGTTGACCAACATTCGTTTTCAAATTCCCACTTCTATTATAAACCTTTGTCAATTTTGATATCACTACTAACCACTTACGCTAAACCGATAAAAAGACCGCAGAAAAAGATTTGGATTTCGCCGATGATTTATGTCTAATGTCTTGTCGCACAAACTCGAAGATCTACAGGTGAAAACTAACAAGTTGACAGAAGAAGCAGAGCAGGACAGGGCAGCGAAGACGGGACTTCAAGTGAACGTAGAGAAGACAGAGGTGATGAAGCTACCCAACCAACAACAGCATCAACAACAAGCACCAATCACCGTCAACAGGAAAAACTTAAATGAAGTAGTCTCTTTCGCTTACATAGGCAGCATCGTTTCAACTACAGGCGGGACAGAAGAGGATATCAAAACCAGGATGGGAAAAAGCAAGATAGGATTTCACTAATCTGAATTCAGTGTGGAGATCTGCTGCATTCAGCACAAGGAACAAGATCCGGATTTTCAACACCAATTCGGTCAGATCAGTGCTGCTAAATGGTTGAGAAACTTGGCGCGTCACGAAAAGCACTTCCAACAAACTAAAGACATTCATCAACAACTGCCTACGCTTGCTCGATACTGAAGATCAGATGGCCAGAAAGAATAAGCAAGGAGGAAGTCTGGGAACGAACCAACCAAGAACCTATCACCCAACAAATATGCAGAAGAGAGTGGAAGTGGGGACGGATCGGGCATAAACTGAGATGGTCGACTGCGAACATCACGTGTCAGGCCAGGCCACTGAGTGGAACCCGAATGGGAAACGACGAGTTGGGCATGCGAGGCTACGGTGACATGGAAGAGATCATGGGAGGAAGAAATGAGAGCTTGAGGGCTGTTGTGGCCCCAGGTTCAAAAGACTGCAGAGAACAGAGTGCAATAGAGGTATGCTACTGAAACCCTATGTTCCACCAGGAACTCAAGGGAATAATAATACTGACCGTGTGTTCTTTGTACCCTGTCGTGAAGTGTCACCCTTTTACACAGTCTAACATCATGAAGACGCTAGATTTCATTTAAACTCGCTGAAACTAGTATAGATTACAAAATACTGTTGAAAATAATCTTTTGTCGTACTTACAAGACCACTATCATACAACTACCCAGATAGATAAACCTTTCGACTACTTCAAACGATTTATCACCAAGAATGAATGAGAATCCCAGTTATCGTTTGTCTTGTATAAGTATTCTACAATTAAGTGGAGCAAAACACTTACTATATTCATGGATACTGAGTATCCACCAATTGTTGAAGTGCGACTTGAGTGGTCTACATGATATCATACTAGAATTTCTCAGGCATGGTTTCATCATTGGTGACACACTGACGGTAAAAATCAACGTAAAAACTCTCATATGGGTGCATCGGCTCAAGTTGCCATACTTTGAAGCCGTAAACAAAGAACGACTAGATCGAAAAGGAGTGATAATCGAAGTAGATAAAGTGGTATGAGACATTAAACAATCTGAAGATAATGGTTGATGCAAATATTCAAGCGATCAAATATATCAAAGCGTGAATGGATCTGCGCCATTGTTATCGAGTTTCAACTATATCATCAAGTGTCCTCAACCAATGATTCTTTTCATCTCCAAGACTCCAACCAGGTAGTCTACATCCAACCACATGACTGAGGCCAACAATAAAAGACTTCATTGGCTGATGCCATGCCTTTGTCTGTCCATCCCGAACGCTCTTCCCACCTACTCCAACTTCCTCTAGCACAGCAAGTCAAGTTAGGCGGTGGCTCAGGATGCACAGTACATGACCAAGCCATCTCAGTCGACTAAGGTTCACAACCTCATCAGTCAACCTGTCTATCTTGCCTAGTACCTTTTTCCGGATCTCAACAGTGCTCACCCAGCGATTCCACCAAATTTGAGCGTTGCTACCAAAACATCTGTCATCAAAACCCTGTAACTGGTTCGTATCTTCTACTTTAAACGATTATGTCTCACAGCCGTACAATAGGACAGAACGGACTCGATAACAGTATAATCTTTCCTTAATAGATAGTTGGATATCTCACCAGACGACTGTGACACGGATGACGCAAGTTGACAAATGCTTAACAGCCCTTCTGTATCCAAGTTGAGATTTCGTCAGCAACCAACTTGTTCTGGATGATGCAACTTTACAAGTAAGTGAAGTAGTCGACAAATTCCACCATATCACTAACCATTAAAATGAGGGTGCTTGAAAAAACCGATCTTGGAGCTTAAGTTTACATTTAACAGATGCGAGACGTATGTCATGACGAATATACTCATATTTATGTCCAACACGTCCAGAAGACCCTGAATTCTGTAAGTATCTTTTCACTTAGCATGACAATATCGTCTGTATACCCTAAGTCAACCAGATGACCTCCAGGGAGTACGTCAATTCACATAAAGTCAGACGTACCTAACGTTATATCCGTTAGTAAGTCTATGACTAAGTTGAATAGGAAGGAGGACATTAGACATCCCTGACGAACACCACTGGTTGTTATCAACTCAATTGGTAATTCCACCTGATACGGCTACGTGATTTCGAGTGAAAAGCTTTGGTTAACGCTATATACTTGCTCGTACTGCCTTCCTGGAGATACACTTTCACAACACCTCACGGTCGACAGAGTCAAATGCCACTTTCGGGTCATCAAACTTATCAAGTGTCGGTTGTTGACCAGTATGTATGCCAGTGCCCCAGAACCCGTTGGAGGGTGAAATATGATCGATGCACTGTGTTTGAAATCTATCTGGTTCCTCGAGGTCCAGTAGGGCGTCGGATAACTACGGACCCTAAGATCTTAGACACAGTATAAGTCAAACTAATTCCACTTTGGTTGTCATAGGACGATTTCTCTCGCTTCTTATAGAATAAGATAATCAGAGAAGTGCACAGTCTGATGGCAGTAACTCTGATTCCTATACACTATCTCGTGCTTCTGTCACTTTATTCACCAATTTCCTACCTCCGTTCTTGTGAACTTCAGGTGGCAAACTGTCAGATCCTGCAGCTTTCCATCGTTTCAGGTAATGTGCTACCAAATAGCTCATAGGAGATCTGCTTGATGCCAGCCACGGATTTTAGCTTTTTGCTTTTGAATCTGACTATGAATTCCTGTTGCAATCATCGGCATTCTGCGAGGGTTTAGGGAGTGTTATTTTGGGGACCGACCATTACTAACCCTCACTTCCCGTTGAGAAGGCGGCATCGATAAGGAACTGCCGGTTATACAAAGGAAACACCTTATTGTTGTTACACTTCATCCAGTACATCTTCGCCATCAGACCCTTTTACCATAGTGTAGTAATTGACTCTACAACGGTAACTGCTTTCCGTCTTAACTTTAACCAAAAGACCTCAAAGGAGTAAGGCTTTAAATGGCGATCAAAAGGTGACAGCTGATAAATAGGAGACCAAGTTGTTGTTTTTAGATGCCGCATCGTATCGAGCAAACTGTAACCGGGGAAAGGAGGTGTGCAGAAAACTAAAACAAAAAAATATTGCCATGTTATTTTAAAGTTTATAACTATAAACTAGTCAATAATTGAACAATTCAAGAAAACGTTTACTTACTTGACAGGTAGACACCAATGAGTTAGCCAAATATCTGGCTGTATAGCTTCATTAGCAAAATTTGAACGTAGACCAATACGACAATAACGATCACTTGTATTCTATCGGAAGAGTAAATGATAAACAAGAAACAGTGTTGACAGCAGTGACCCTATGTATTAGAATGACAAGAGTTCACACTGAACAGAATTACTTTCATTGGAAATTACTGCTCACCTAGTAGCCCAGTGGCAACGTGCAGGCAACAGGACCTGAAGGTCCAGGGTTCTAATCCAGACGAGGTCAAGGGTGCGTACTGATGTGTCCCATACTGGGACGAAAGATTTACTCAATGCTCCCAGGCTTCCAATGTTTCTCAAAACGATGTAAGTTCACAATGAGTACTAACCTTTAACTCTTGACGCTGGTGACACAGCAGTTCTGGAAATTTGAGATTCAAGTCCCACTTAATGCAAATGGATCTCTTGAAACACAAATCGTGTGGCACGAAAATGTAAGCTGTTTTCAAAACTCAACGTTTGTCATCCCCACCCCCATTTCAAAAGAAAGCGAACATCAGCATAGACTGCTGATCATCAGCAGGAAATATCTTACTGTTGTCACACATCTATCCAACCAACAGTACTTCTTCGTCGGAATCCCATCGTAGTGTAGCAAATCTATTTTATAACGGTAACTAGTTATAGTTTATCTGCTATCCAGGAGACCTTCCTTGCATGACAGAACCTCAAAGAACCATTGTTTGTGATGTATCGCATCTATCAGTCCATGTCATCGATGAGTATCTTTCTTCATGTCTGACTAAGTTAACTCCATTGCTTCAACTTTCATATCTCTTAATGTCAATCGAATCCAGCTACACTAGAGATTTTCATTTATACTTCAATCATATATCATCATCCATCACATCGAAATATTCTTTATCAAATAAGTGATGTATTAATGCAGTTGAAGATGGTTGAGCATCTACCCTAGATGGCTTCAACGGATCCCATAAGTGCAAATGATAAATACCCATTTTCATTTAATTGCTAAGCAGGTAATATAAACTAATCATAGAGTGGACATGTAAACAGCCTTTAATGTATTACATAAAAGTAGTTCAGAGTTAAGTGCTTACGTTTATCGAAGCAGACGTCATCCGTAAGCTTAAACCCTCCTTTATGTGTGCAAAAATAAGTTGTACTTACGTTGAATCTACCTTCACGGCCTTGGTTTTAGTCTTTTTCCTTCTGCTCTCCCCTATTTTTATGTTTCTCTATTGGCTTAATTGACCTCTTTCATAAACGTTTATAAAAAGAATTCGCCAAGTCTATATGTGATCAGATTGTTCAAAATGTATATCGCTAATACATCACAAATGTTTCAGGTAATCTTCATGTTCTCAATGTGATGTTCAGATTTAGGTAAAGATAGAATAAAACAGCTATCCAATACCTTCTGGATTTAAGTGATAATGAAAGCCATCTTCCTTCACACTACAGATCATCATGAATATCTACTTAAGACTGCGCATTACTGCGCAACGATCCAACGTAAGAAGAAAACTATCTCGTACAACAACAACTACAAAGTCATCCACAGGAACCAACAAACGTATCATCCTACCATAAATAAAGAATGTACGAGAGATCACGACAAGATTGCTGAGATCACTTGGAATTGGTGTGGCTGGCTCACAAACCAACAAATTCTCTCCAAACACTATTATGCAGACCACAGGATGCAACAAGCAAAGAAGACAAATCGAATATCATTTAGAAAATCAACTGCAATAACTGTGGCCCAACGCTACATTGGACAAAGTGTTCGCCCTCTTCGCTTTCGTCTACATGAACACCACTTGGCTACTAAATGTCATGACATTTCATCACTCATTTCAATTCATGTGGATAACAACTGTGGACATGAATTCAATTTTGACAAAGTAGAAGTCTTGGACAGAGAGAGAGGAAACATTAAGAATATCAGAGAACTTCTAGGAGCTTAGCAATCAGTAGATGTACAGAGATAGACCCAACCTATCAACCAGTGATTAAAATGGTAAACGACAGAAAGGTCAGAGGTCAGGTGGGCGAATGGCCAACAGGAAAATCTATATAGTTAATGACACAATAATCAAAGGAAACAACTAATCACAAACCAGTTGGTCAGGGCAAGCTACTAAACCACTCATGGAGAGATATTGACAGCCCACTTCATATTGAAGTTAGTGTTTTTGATATCGTCTAGAAAGATGATGAAAGCTCCACGACTAAACAACCCAGCACAGAGAACACAATACAACCAAAACGATCCAATGCAGCATACAACAAATCAGCACATCAGGAAACAAAGTAATCAGATGAAGATGAAGAAATAAAGAAGAGTCGGTCGAATGCAGTAGAAAGGAATGACGGATGAGAAAATGATGATTACGATAAAATGATAGGGTGTGGATCCTTATGTGCTCCACTGACATCGATTCCGAGCCATATCACCTAGAAATTCCATCTACTGGTTTCTGTTGTTATACGAATCCCAATCCTGGAGATCTACATTCCTCTGTCCTGTTGTATGGCTCTAGTACATATGGCTGTTAACAGTAGAAGACAAAAAGCGATTAATGAGTTTTGATTCGATAGCACTTTTCACGTTGAGGAATGTTGAAACAGGCAAAAGGTATCTTGTTTGACTGAGATGGCGTGGAAATGCCTTGCGCATGCTCGGTCATGGACTACCTCGATGCGCCATCCCACGGGAAGTTGGATTAGGATAGAAGAGGGTTCAGGATGGCTAGATCAAGGTCTGGCACCACTAGATAAAGTACTTGACTGCTGGTCTGAGTCGTGTGGGGAGATGTAAACTACCTGGTTGGGGTCGTCGAGACGATAGGAATCAGTGGTTGAGGTCTCCTAGTGAAATGCATAAAAATAGGTGACAATGGCACAGATCCAATCATTCCTTGACATCTTTTCAGGTTTGAATATTTGCACCTAGCGTTATCTTCAGATTTTTTATTCTTTCACACACCTATGAGACAGTCTACGTTGATTTCATCAGTCTGTTAGTCAGTTACAATTCCCTACACCTCCTACTTATGAAATGATTAAAAAAAAACATACAAACGAAGAGACGACTCACTAATACAATACACCTTGAACTCGGTTCAAGTCCACGAAAATATAATTCACCAACAACAATAGCTGGTAATTCTAAGCCCCAATTCTGAGCTATCGTCAATTCTAGATAGTCAGTTTCCCATTGAATTGGAAAGGCAAATTGTGATGCACAGTCGAAATCATCTGAGTTATAAGCTGGTAAAGTTTTATAGTTACCTATAAAAGCAAAATGAATGTAATCATGTTAACAGTCTAGTTATTATTTACTTGCTAGTTATGTTTGTTTGAACACGTAAATGAGCTTACATACGTTTTAAGCCTGATTTTGACTGACCACATTTATTCAATTCAATAGATGACCATCTAATTTCTTGTTTTTCTGAACTCATACCAATCCATGATGAATTGATAGTGATGGTAAATTCACAACATTTATCACCATCATTGTCCAAACGTGCTAAACGTAAGACTGAAAGAGAAAAAAGTGTAAACATTATTGTGTGAGTGTAACCTGCCTAGCTTAAACGTTATCAAGTAACCCCAGCTTCTCTTGAGAATGAAAAGGTTTGTAAGCATTAAAGCGAGTACCAAATCAATCAACCAACAATCAGGTTAGAGACACATTTAACATTCACATCATAAGTTGTAATATGCCATACAATTGTGAATATGATGAGATGCTAATTATTATTTTTATTATTTGTCCCTTGGGTTCCTAATGGAACATACGGCTTCAAAAGCACATCTCCATTCCACTCTCTTCTCTGCAGTCTCTTGAACCTGGTTCCACGACAGCCCACAAGCTCTCATTTATTCCTCACACCATCTCCTCTATATCATCCTCACCTTGGACACCCAACTCGTCGCTTCCCATCTGGGTTCCACGTGAGGACCTGATGTGTGATATCCCCAATCGGCCTTCTCAGTGTATGCCCAATCCATCTCCACTTCCACTCTCTTTTTCTGCATATTACTTGAACGATAGGTTCTTGGTTGGTTCGTGGCTAGCCAGCCAGCCAGCCAACCAGCCAACCAGAGTTCCTTGTTGCTTATTCTTATATTATTCTCGCCATCTGATCTGAGCTTGAGTAACGAGCCAGTGTAGGCGGCAGTTGTTGATGAATGTCTTTAGTTTGTTGGAAACGCTTTTCGTAACGTGCCAAGTCTCTCAACCATCACATGGAAGCACTGACTTGACTGTCATTGGTGTTGAAAATCCGGATGTTGTTCCACATTCTGAGTGCAGATCTCCACACTGGTTTCTGGCTAATTAAGAAAGGCCTGTCTTGCTTTTCCGATCCTGGCTTTGATGTCCTTGACTGTGCCGCCGCCACCTGTAGTTGAAATAGTGCTGCCTAGATAGATGAGATCCTAAGCCTTCATTGAATTAGATGGCCAAGCCTGACAAAATCTCGGCAGGGATACAAATAACTCGACTGATACTCATGAACTTACACCATTCATGATATCGTTGGAATATTAGATTGCCTACAAAAAACCGAGCATACACCATGCAGCAGTTCAATCTGTTCTACTATAGGACTGTCAAACATGGCTATCAAAAGTAAAGGATAAGAAAAGGTGTTCAACCACCGCTACATTATCAGTATAAACGGCGGTGTGAAACCATCACGTCAGTAACCCAGAAGTCAGTTTTCGGTAGAATAGAAACGTTAGTTTATGCGATTGCATACCTTCATTAATTCATGCGAATGAGGAACGTGTTATGAATACGTAATGAAGCTTAGTCGACTGAGATGACCCTCTACCTCGACGCGACATGCTACGGGGAAACTAAATTAGGTTGGAATAAGGTTCAGGGCGTCCAGACCAAGATATGGCATCAGTTGATCACAATGATGCAGATGTATTCACTCCATGACATCTTCTAAAACTTGAATCATTTATTCTCTCACATAACTTTGTCCGCTTTGATATCACTCCTCTTCTATCCACTTGTTCGTTGCATACTACTGTGAAGTGTAGCAACTTGAGCCGATGCACCTGTGTGCAAGATTCTACGTTCATTTTGTCAGCTAGTCAGTTAATGATGTTAGACATTGTAGGTTCAGGCTGATAACATTAAAAACGGTATCTGTACGTGAAGTCTTCGAATGTTGGTCGAAGATGCTGATTGGAATCTGTATGGTAACTGAAAACGCTGGTTTGAGACTCTACGTGATAGGATTGAGAATCTTGCTAAGCAGCGAAGATCCACCTAAACAGTATCCCCATTTTATCTTTCTACGGCTACCTTAAATTACTATTTTCATGATTTTTCCATTTTATATCTTGTCACCTTCTGGCTTGATGTACTAATATAAAATATGTCAACTTGTACCATTACACAGTGATGCCATATCCAATGTTTTTAATGACTAACACTGACTAACTGCCACGTACATCGACACCTATTTATGAAAACGCATGAAACTCGAAGAACTCATATGAATTAGTGCTACATTCATGAAAGCTCCATTTCACAAAATTTCAAAAATTCTAGGAAATTCCATTTTAGTCTGTTTATTAAAAATATCACACAGTGAACGAACAGTAACATTTACTGGATAACATCGTTTTAGGTACAATTTATTGTTCATATTCATATCACGCAACTAACTCCACTACTTCGAGACAGACTTATATATATTCCTAATTTTATCTCCTTCTCTGTGATGGCAACGGGTAGCAGAATTTTCCATGTATCTCGAACACATGCAGAATCATTTCTATCACTGCATGTATTTCGTCTTACTCCGATAAACAAAAATTCAGTCCCTCCCTTATCAATCTCTCCCTCACTCCACCCAACTAACTAAGTTACTTCTCAACATTGTTGCCCTATCCCCCACCATACTGTGGCACTGATTGTGTGTCATCGCATGCACAGATACACTCCAGCTTTTCTCGAAATTTCTTATCTTATCACCTTCTTCTCATCTTGATTTAGCTAAGTTTCTGTGCTCTCTTATCCTAATCGACAATGGCTAGTCAACTGCTTTCACCTAGCAATCATTCCAGGGGATCTAGTTAACCAGATTATTTTGCTCAATTGCATCGATAGGATCTTTTAACCTACAAAGCCTATTTCTAAGTGAGTTTGTTGGCTTCAATGCCACTTTAATCCCAGCCAGCCTTATTGAAACTTCTTCGTAATGCTTCTCAGGTGTCCTCCTTCTATGGCAACACAGCAGAGACACTGAATTCTCCATTAACCCTCTCACCATTATTACCATTAGTAGTCAGATTATTATTAACATCTGTATTACTACTACTACTACCACCACTGCTAATATTTTTATTTCGATTTCTCATGAATTAATTCATAAACTTTCGTGGGTAATTATTGAGACGTAGGGTATTCTTGATGTGTCTAATTTCTTGTCTCAGATTTTCCGGTCTACTAGTAGGCTTTTTCGCTCTATCACTTAGGCATTTAACTAGGCCTACTTTAACTGAAATGGGGTGGGACGATTCGAAGTCTAAGCAGCGATTCGAATGGTTAGGTTTCCTATAGACAGTAGTCTCTAAACTTCTGTCTTGTGTTCGTTTAATCTTCCAGTCTAATATTGCTGGCTTACCTTCATCACTTTCTAAGTCACAGATGAATTGGACTGCACTCACTACTGAATTTATATGTGCCAAGAACCTTTATTCATGTGTGCCGATTTCAGTACTGTACTGAAGTTGTGGAGTTGCCTAATATGAATACGGACAATAAATTGTGCTCGAAACGTTGTTATCCAGTGAATGATATGGTTTTATTGTGTGATATTTCTAATAAAAAGACTAGAATGGAATTACAATCGACCACAGTGGCCAAGTTTTACTCTTATATTCTAGGAAATTGTTCTATTTTGAGACTAATTTCTTACTTCCTAAGCATAAATTGTTCTTTAAAGACTGGTGCATATTAATACTTTGTCTGAAAACAGGGAGTGAAGTAATTGAGAATTAAAATTAACCTGTAACATTTGTGCCGATGTTGTAAATACATCTCCTTGTCGGTTAAAAAATTTATGAGATGACTTGGCGTCTTCTCAACACTGCTTCACAAGTTGGAAATGACACCAAGACACCAAGAGTAACAGATATGGTAAGCGTTTGCATATTCACGCAGTAGGCGATGAGCCATACCTATAGTGTAAGGGTTAATGATACAATCTGGTTTCCGAGACCTCCGTAGGTGGAACGACGTTTGAACTCGCCACCTATTGGTCTATTAGTTAAACCAATGAGTCACAGCTCCAAGAGAAAGAGAACAGACGTCAGGTGTGGTCCTAACTAAAGAGACTAGTATTTATAATGAGTGATGATTGAAGGTAAAATGAAAATTTAGACCGTGACCGGATTCGAACCACCAACCACCGATTTTTCAGCCCGACGCTCTACCAACTGAGCTACGATACGATGCTATCCTATCTCTGATTCAGTTAGATTTAAATATGGACGAGAAGTCCTGACTAGGCAGTCAGTGTGTGTACGCTCAAACAATAGTAATGCATCACGAATTCACATGGTAGTCGGGCGAAAATCCGCCTTTTGAATGAAGTGGAATAAAAATCTAGTCAGTAGTCAGACCTTGGTAGAACATTGGGCCGGAAACCCGGTGGTCGCTGGTTCGAATCTACCAATGGACCAAGTTCTCATTCCACTTCCAATCATTGCCCAGTATAAAAGAGATTAGTCAATTGATGAGGTGATGTATCTTTAAGGGAAATGTGTTGCACATACCTTTCAATCATACATTCCAATGACCTTTGTTAGATGAATAACACGATAAGATTGAAAAAAAATTAAGGGGGTTCGAACAAGAAGTAACATATAAATCCGTTACGTTTTTCAATGCTGATATCAGTTGGCTGAGATGTAGGGAGATGACGTCGAAAATAAATCGTAATGTGTACCTTGTTATGCGGTTATATCAGGTCCCGTGTTCACCATAACCAACGTCCTTAAATGAAAAAACTGAGTTTTTCGTAGACATTTCATTGAAAAATCTTATTCATTTGTTTAATTGGTGATTTGTGAAGATTTACTAATTACAATGGAGTTCACAATACCAACTGATATCAGCAATGAGCACCTGTGACTTCATGGTATGATGATAGAATGAGGCAGGATCGTGGGTGCAGACTGTTGAAGAGTTCAGAACTAGGACAAAACAGATGTCCATTGCTTTATGCTACAACCTAGAACTCTGATATGGTCGGTTTTGAGTAAGTCACCGAGAAGCAAAAACACTTTCTGCTGAGGAGTGATAACAAGTACGAAACTTTTTTTTGGTCATGATGGATTCATAACATCTAACACTTATATTGGAGATGTGTCTGATCGAATCAGACGCTTAGGTTTCAACTAGTCGGTCGTAAGTTCGAACTCTACTGCACCTATTGAGGTTTAGGCAGTCAGGTAGGATCAACAGACTTCATCTAACGAGTGTAAGTCATTGTCTAGTGCGTAAATGTGAGGGAGTTTAGTTTAGTTTTTTCCAACACCTATCGAAACACCTATCAGAACAAAAGTGTTCCTCAAGCAACAAAGAAGGAACTAATTAACAAATTTCCCAATCAACTTAGAACCTCACGCATAAAAACATTGATCCAAGTTGCCACACTTTACAGAAGTACACAAAGAACAGCTGGGTAGAAGAGGAATGGTCTGCAACATTGTTGCCGGTTTTCCTTCATTTCATCAGGAGTTTTTAATCTTTAGGCGTGTCATGAAAAGCATTTCCAAGAAAATACAGACATTCATGAACAGCTACCTACGCTAGATAATGAAGATCAGAAGGCCAGAAAGAATAAGCACGAACCTATCGCCCAATAAATATGCAGAAGAAGGAAGTGGAGATGGATTGAGCATACATTGAGAAGACCATTCGGAGACCACGCGCCAGGCAGTCGAGTGGAATCTGAAAGGGAAGCGATGACTTGGGCATCCAGGATGAGGGTGACATGGAGGAGATCATATGAGGAAGAAGTGAAAGCTTATGGGCAATCGTGGATCTAGGTTAAAAGAGAAAACTTCAGAGAACAGAGTGGGATGGCAACATCCTACTGAAGCCCTATGTTCCACTAGGAACCCTGAATCCTCTTTCAACAAAATCCGAATTCTCTAAAACTAGCACGTCGAGGTAGGTGGTGATTCAGCATGCGCATCATATGTCCAAGCCATATCACAGTCAACTAGAGTTCACAAGCTTATCAATCGACTTATCCTTCTTTCCGGTTATCCTTAACATGGTCTCAAGATTACTGAAATGGTGATTCCACAAAATGTGAGCAATGCTATCAAAATATATGTGATAAAAAACATGTAAACCCTCCATGTTGTCTACTTTCAATGGCTGTTATCTAACATAACAGAAAAGAACGAAAAAATAAGAACGCTTCATTAAGTAAAAGTTCAACAATAACCTACTTCCAGCTGTAGCTCCATAAGGTACTTCAATAAACCATCGTCTCACTTTATTTTTGGCATCAAATCTATCTGAAAACAAGAAATGCGGCTGATCCAAATCACGACTTCTGTTCAATCTGAATGTAATACGAAGAAACAATGAGAAACATATATAAACACAATAAAGGATGATAGAAAACAAAGGAAAACATGAAATAAGCAGAAAATATCAACCAAAAAAGGGAGTTTACTGATCATGACACACTCTTGAATCGGTTAATGTTTCGTACTGTTATCAAGTCCCTCAGTAGTACACATGCATGGTCCATATGGTGTAGAACCCGAGACCTCAGCTGAATTCCGGCTTGAACTTGATCTCATATAAAGTCTTGGGTGTACACTGCACAGAAAACCAGAAGTAATATGAAACAGCTATCCAGTGCTCCCAGACGTTCGTCGGTTGAGAATCCCACTTGAAGACAAATCAATTCCTCAAAAACCTGCATATTAGATCACATGTAACGTTAGTTTTATTTGTCCTAAACTGATGAGACACGGTGGCCTACTATCACTGATCATCTTCCTGATTCTGGTCGAATCGACTGGAGTGGGTGATGAAAAAAACCGTGAGGAGTAAGAAGATGGCTAAACGCTATTTGACCAGTGAAAACACCTCAGAGCAAGATTTGGATTTCCCCAACGATGACAATTTATGTCTAATATCCAGTCGCGAAAAATCGAAGATCTACTGCCGGAAACTAACAAGTTGGCAGAACAGGCAGAGAACGGCAGCCAACACTGAACTTCCTTCACCTGGACGTAGACATCACACAGGTGATGAAGATACCCAACCAACAACCACGACAGGAACCAATCACCAGCAATGGGAGAAATCTAAACAAAGTTGACACCTTCACCTATCTATCTACCTACCTACCTACCAAGGAGGCCAACATCCTTCCAACTACAAGTGGCACAAGCACAAATGACCATGTCATATCTAAAATCAGAAAGACACCAAAGACAGACCTTCATCAATATGAAATCATCAGTGTACAGATCTACTGCACTACAATACACTGAACCGCATCGCCTTCAACATAAAGAACAATATCCACATTTTAAACACCTATTCAGACAGTATTTCTATGTGATGGCTAACAGACTTCACACCTCACGAACAGCATTTACAACAAACTAAAGACATACATCACATCAACGGATGCCGCCTACACTCACTCGACACTGACACTGAAGATCAGATCAGATGGCCAGAATAATAAGTAAGGATAAGCAACAAACAACTCTGGTTGGCTACCTAGAAACCAACCAACCAACCAACCAAGAATTCATCGACCAACAAATATCCCGAAGAACAGGTTGCACATGGATTGGATTGAATTGGACATACACTGGGAAGGCCATCTCGGGACAACACACATCAGGTCAGGCCATCGAGTCGAACCGAAGTGGGAAAACGACGTGTTGGGTGTCCAAAGCAAGGGTGACATGGAGAAAATCGTATGAAGAAGAAATGAAATCACATGGGCAGTCGTGAAGCCAGGTTCAAAGAGAATACTACAGAGAATAGAGTGAAATGGCGACGTGCTACTTAAGCCGTATGTTCCACTAGGAACCTAAATGACAAATAATAATGATAATAACGAAATGATTTGTATGATATTCACATGGGTGATTATGATAATGATCACGAGTAAAAAGAGAACACTCGCATTGCATTAAGACTCCTATTAATGATGCATTCAATTATAAATTGTGTTCCAGACGAAAACACAAACAGAAAAATATTTGATTGGTCGACTAAGCCTATGTCAAAACCCTGGGTTGGATTTACCTTCCTGCTGATGTACTCCCTACAACAATTTCCTTTTTTATTTTAATGTTCAGTTAGGCAACAGCAAAAAGAAGATTAAACGTGTGCATAACATACCAACAAGTAATTTGTTTGGTAATGGCTAACAGAGGAGTCCAAGACACGCGTTTCGTCCTATTTGGGACTTGTCAGCTGGATATGCCTGCAACCCAGAGAGTGATGTTATTCCGGTTGAGACCCGAGCCCAGCACTCATTGCTTCAAACGTCAAAGCCTTATTAACCGGGCCACCCTCTTCTGCAACGAATATCAGTTATTATTATTGATTGACACTAGTAATTTCTCGTTGTTATTCGACATTGAAATGATTCACATCTGTTGGCGTATAGGCTCCTATGCGGACGTCTCGATATAAACCACCATTTCATAAGTTATGTGTCTTTCATCGCAATCTTTTCTATTATATGTGAACCTATGGTTCAGTGATTTAAGTAGTCAGTTCTTAACAAGTAGGTCACAAGTCTCAGGATCCAGGTAGCCTATAATAAGTGTAACCAATCGTGCCAATGTGTACATGCTCAGTGCATCTGTTATTTGATGAAATGCTTATTAATTCAATTTTGAGGTTTGCGGGGATTTATTGATTTAAGATTGGTTATTCAAGGTGAACTGGCATCACTTAGAGGAATTTTGGAAACCTAGGGACACTGGACAGTTGTTTCGTCTTAGTATGTAACTCCTCAGCAGTACACACTCATGGGCCCGTCAGAAATAGGACCCATGACCCTGGCCGGGTCACGGGTGAGCACTGCTGAGGAGTCCCACACTAGGTTGAAACAGTCGTCCAGTGCTTCCAAGTTTCTAATATTCCGCTAAGTGATATCAGTCCATCTTGAATAACCAACCTGAAATTCTCGTTAATGATGATAAAGTTCATCAGTTATACGTATGAGTTCATATGTCAATCTGCAACAATACCACTCGAATGGACGGTCCTCATTATTATGTACTAGACTGTGAGTTACACTTGCTTAGAGAGGAGTTATACTGCTAGGCGTTTACTAAGGCCAAGAGCACTAACCTAACCTACGTCTACATAATGGTATTCGAACCCATAACCTGCAGAGATTTCAAGTTAAAGGATTGAATCAGTCAATCACAGATTTCATAACTATTGCAATCAAGACTAATACATTCTGACCATTAATAAATTAATACTTCATTATGTAATCATCTTAAAAGATATGAATGATTTATTAGTTTCGTTGATAATACATAGTATAACTTACCTATGTGGAATATGTACAATAATTGGTAGACAGGCTAAAATACCCATCTCAGGATAATCAGTAGCCCTAAATCCAATCATCATAACATATGGTTTCTGTGATTTTATTGGTAGATTATCACTATTATTATTATTATTATTATTATTATTCCCGTAATGACCAACTTTAGGTGTTGCTAAATTCGATGGCCAACAGAAATCTGACAATTGACTTCGATGTTGTTCTTGTTGTATCACAGATGATGATGATGATGATGATGATGGAGGTAGTTGTGGTTGTAATCCACCTTCTTGTAACAATGATGATTCATATAGATGTTGTCGATTACAAGGTGTATTTTGTTCATTTAACAATTGTGTTATTGTTGTTACTTTCATCTTATCATCTTTTGATAAAGCATTTAACAGTTCAGAACATCGAATTGGATCGATAACAAAGTGAATATCTCTAGATGTATTTGTCACAGTAATAATTGATGCTATTTGTAACCAATTATTAGAATTTGTAAGACCATTGAATTCAGACAACAGTTCAGTAGTTAAATGTAACTCTAAACTTCGTCTAACATTTATGGGTACATACTAAAATTAGAAGAAATTTATGCATGGCGAAAGAAAAGAAAAAAAAAAGCGTAATTATCATCAATAAAAGTTTGCATAAAAATATCAAGATATTGTTTTACTACTATCAGGTATTCAACTGAACAGTTGTACACTTTGAAAGAGTCTATTATTCCTGACTGCTTCTTTTCTTGGAATATTAAAATATTAAAATACCATCAGTTAAGTATTTCTCTGAAGTAGATAACTAGTAGTGACTTAATTACACAAATCTACGTGGAGATGTAGTTTATTGGTTGCGGAACCTGAGTTTTTTTTTGTAATCGTTCTCAGATTTCAATATCCCTCTAACACAAAACAAAAAGCAGAGACTTTACACACTGGCGCCAACAACAACCAACAATCACCAGCAATGGGAGAAATCTAAACAAAGTTGTCACCTTCACCTATCTACCTAGGAGGCCAACATCCTTCCAACTACAAGTGGCACAAACACAGATGACCATGTCATATCTAAAATCAGAAAGACACCAAAGACAGACCTTCATCAATTTGAAATCATCAGTGTACAGATCTACTGCACTACAATACACTGAACCGCATCGCCTTCAACATAAAGAACAATATCCAGATTTTAAACACCTATTCAGACAGTACTTCTATGTGATGGCTAACAAACTTGACACCTCACGAACAGCATTTACAACAAACTAAAGGCATACATCACATCAACGGCTGACGCCTACACTCACTCGACACTGACACTGAAGATCAGATCAGATCACATCACATCAGATCAGATGGCCAGAATAATAAGTAAGGATAAGCAACAAACAACTCTGGGTGGCTACCTGGAAACCAACCAACCAACCGAGAATTCATCGACTAACAAATATCCCGAAGAACAGGTTGCAGATGGATTGGATTGAATTGGACATACACTGGGAAGGCCATCTCGGGACATCACACATCAGGTCAGGCCATCGAGTCGAACCGAAGTGGGAAAACGACATGTTGGGGGTCCGACGCGAGGGTGACATGGAGAAAATCGTGTGAAGAAGAAATGAAATGACATGGGCAGTCGTGGAGCCAGGTTCAAAGAGAATACTACAGAGAATATAGTGAAATGGCGACGTGCTACTTAAGCCGTATGTTCTACTGGGAACCAAAGCGACAAAAATAATAATAAATAGTGGTAGATCGAGTCAGGCGGTGGTACAACATGCTTAGCACATGTACACGGCACCTCAGTCTATAATGGCTCACAACGTCAACAAATGACTTAGTTTCGTTGCTTAGTACCGTTCGCCTGACCTTGACACTTCTCACAGGGCGATTCTATCATTCGCAAGCAATGCTACGAAGACATCTGTGACAGAAAACTTGTTACCGCTTCATATCTTCCAATTTTAGCGCCTATGTCGTTTGCATGTTTTTACCACTATACAGCTGCATTTCGAGTAGGTGATCGCCTACCTCCATGTGGCAAGCTACAGGGAAGTTAGCACAGGTTGGAAGACGGTTCATGGTGACCAGATCAAGAGGTTCAGTTAGTCAATGTAATCCTTAGCTGTCGGTCTGAGCGGTGTGAGGAAATGTAGACTATCAGTCTGGGATCAGGAAGATGATAGGAATCAGGGTTTGAGTATGTTTGATGATATGACTGAAAATCGGTCACAATGGCACAGATGTATTCACTCCTTGACGTCTAAATATTGAATATATTCGCACTAGCCAGCATCTTCAAATTGTTTACCTACTTTGATATCACTTCATTTCTATGCACCTTTACTTTGTATAGTACTATGAAGTGTGGCAACTTGGACCATCACACCTATATGCGAATATTTACGTTGATTTTGTAAGTCAATCTAAAGAGACTTTTCCACTGGAGTTAACTTAACACCAATATTAGCGAAAATTCTAGTGCTGAATCATAGAAAGACGAATGCACAAAGCCTTCCTAGTATGCGTAACGTTGGATCAGAGGATCTCTGGTTTCCCGCCTTTACTGGATACTTAATTTTGACAATAAATCACCATAACCGCATCATTTCGTAGAAAGTTGAACTGAAGTCCCACAAAAAAACGATGTCCAATAACAGATAATTGGCACGGTAATCGTGATAAAACTTTCTAATTCATTCAATCACACTACCTGAACTGAATTACGCCGTGTGAGAGATACAGTGAATTATGTGTCACTATAATCCTCGCTTAGGTAACTAGTTCACTAGTTACTAGCCGGTCCTAAGTCCGGACAGAGAGGGAACGTGGGGCATACGGCTAGCAGCCCTACCCCGGAAAACCAATCCAACTGCTACAGAAACTTAAAAGCATAAACAAAATATAAAAAATAAAAACAAACTTATTCCTCGCTGGAATCGGAGAGGCAAAACGACGCCAGTTGGTGAAAGCCTTCGAAAGCCAACTGGCCGATAAATCTTCTCTCTCTCGAAGAAAGCGACAGTAAGCATGGGGACAAGGAATGTCTCAACAATGTTTGAAGCTGGCTGACTGGCAAGGTTGCCCAGAATGCCGAAGAGATGAGGAGGTATAGCATAGAAGTGCCAGTAATCTGCAGATGGTCCAAGCAGATGAAATGTAAGTGGACTCTCGTACCTGTTAACCGGAGAGTCAATAATCTACTCCGATATTGTCACCCGGGCGACAACCACGAGTACACTGAGTTATTCATCACGGACTGACATCAGTGAGAGGAACACTGGAAACCTGGGAGCACTGGAGAGCTGTTTTTCCTAATATGCGACTCGTCAGCAGTGCTTACCCATGACCTCGTCAAGAATCGAACTCAGGACCTACAGTTCCCGTAGGTTATCACTGAGCCATTGGGTCGAAATTTACTCCTCATTAGGGATTTGCTTCTAGATAAGATTTCCAACGATCTGGTGGTAAGTCATGACTGGTGCCGCAAAATAAGTCGGATGTGAAAACAGGTACTCAACGACTGCATGAACTAACAGGCGTAAGAAATGTACATCATTGGATTTCTGGCGAGGCCATGGGTGCGGACTACTGAGGAGCCCCAAAGTAAGATGAAACGGCTGTCCAGTGTCTCCATGTTTACAATAGTTCTCCGATTGATATCAGTCCATGATGAATAGCAAACTGAAATATATATGTAAGTACTTACCTCATCAAATTCAATGCACATATTCAGTGTGTAACGTAGTAAAGGCAATGATGTTGTGTTAGTCACTGCTCGTGGACTTAATAACCAACCGCGTCTTAACCAAATACCACGATTTTGTGGTGTACATCCAGGTCCAGACACAGTTAGTCTGATATGCCAACCATAGGTCATACACGGATCTGGAATACCCAACGACTGACACAGTGAACTGAAATTGCATACAAAGGAAACAATAAAAAAGGGATTAGAATGAGAAGGGAAACAAATAAGTGGAACCACCACGTGACCAATGTGGAGGTCATGCAAAAGAGTACTAAGCAAGATAAGCAAGTCGGCTAAGATGGTTTGAACATGTATTGCACATGTCAAGCTACCGCCTATGTCGACGGGCAATGCTAGGGGGAAATGGGATTAGGTTGGAATAGGGTCCATAATAGACAATAAAAAGATGTGGCACCAGCCCATGAATTCTTCTACTGTTAGTCTGAGCTATATGGGGAGGTCCGGATTGTCTGGTTTAGGTCCAAAAGACGAAAGAAATCGGTGGTTGAAGACTGTCGGTGACATGGCTGAAAATCGGTCACAAGGGCATATATGTATTCACTCCTTAATATCTTTTAAAGCTTCAGTATTCCCAATAACCGTTATCTTCAGACTGTTTATTCTCTCACACAACTCTGTCTACTTTGATGTCAGTCTTTTCTATTCATCTGTTCTTTGCGCACTACTGTGAATTGTGGCAACTCCAGCCAATGCACCAGTGAGCGAAGTCCTATGTTGATTTTATCAGCTGTGACTACTCCCTATGATTTACCATGAAATTCCGTAAGACGCTTCCTTTTATGTTTAGCCTGAGCCTGGTGCTGGCTCTCTGACGTACCACTCTGATGAAGTTCCTAAGTAGCGACCTCCATGTTGCAAGAAAGGTTAGCTTGTTCCTTCGACTTGCCTGACGGATCATCTCGTAGGCCAGCATACGGCCAACCTGTTTTTGTGAGTCCTTAAAGTGAATTATATGCTTGCGATCTGTGAAATTAATCGAGTTGCGATTAGGGAGAGATATTAACCGATGATGGTGGAGAGTAGTATGAATCACAACATTCTGACTGAATATGAATGAATAAATTTGCGTATTTGTAACCGATTTTTAGCATTGGCATCAAAGTCTCCAAGCACAGATTCTTGTTGTCTTGATAAACCCTGACTAGGTAGTCGATATGCGACATTCTCATCAAAAATGCATTGAGCCTTATTCACATGTTTATATACCAGTTTACTTGCTACTGTGAAAATGACTACATTAACTATTCATCTGCTTGTAGAATGTGCTTGAAAAACGTCTGGTTAGAAAAATGAGATCAACAATGCATTTTCAGCCTAATAACAGAATATTTTTGTGAGAATTTTTGAGGACTCTTTCAAAATCCTCTACAAGACTAGAACAAGCCTAGAAAATCGGACCAGTAATGTGTCTAAAAAAGCACATTCAACATTTGTCTTAGCCCCAGTCAACAGCAAAGCATGAACAACTTTAAAAAAAATCCTGTATTATGTGTATAAATTTATTGAGTTTTCAAGTAACTAAAGATACCCATAATATTTATAGAAACCAACAATCTAAACGATGAACATTGTGAAGCTATCAAAAGACCAAGAAAGGATCAGAACATCATCTTCACTAGACTTGATATTCAAACTGAAGTCGTAATTATGAACACATTTGATTATGTAACGAAAATCAATTCAGTATTGCAAGATAAAAGCAAATTTCAGAAACTACAGTCAACGAAAGACCTAACCGGAAGAGCAGAAAAGGAACTGATCGTCTCATTAAATAAATTGAAAGATGACGAATACATTTCATAAACCTTATTTAGATTTCGCCGATGACTTGCGTCTAGTATCGCACATACTCGAAGATTTATAGGCAAAACCTAACAAGTTAACAGAGGAGGCAGGGCAGGACAGCGAAAACAGGACTTCAAGAGAACGTAGAGAAGACGGAGGTGATGATGATACCCAACCAAGGTCACCATCGCCACCACCACCACCAAAAACAACAACAAGCTCCAATCACCATCAACAGAAGAAACTTAAACTAAGTAGCCTCCTTCACCTACTTAAGTAACATCGCTCAACTACAGGCGCCACAGACGACGACATCAAAACCGAGATCAGAAAGACAGCAAGACAGGCCTTCCTTCATTAACCTTAAACTGGTATGGAGATCTACTGCACTCAACATTGAGCGTGAACAATATCCGGATTTTCAACACCAACGACAGTAAAGTCATTGCTTCCATATGGTTCAGAGACTTGACGCATTACAAAAAGCTTGTTGTTAGTTGGGTAGCTTCATCACCTGTCTTCTCTACGTTCACTTGAAGTCCCGTCTTCGCTGTCCTGTCCTGCCTGCCCTGCTTCTTCTGTCAACTTGTTAATTTTCACCTGTACATCTTCAAGTTTGTGTGACATTAGACACAAGTCATCATCGGCGAAATAAAAATCTTCTAGGTTCTTTTCCCCTGTCCAGCCAGCGTATTCTCCTCTTCTCCCTCTTCACTGTTTTTTGCATGATCCAGTCGAACACAATCAGGAATATCATGGGTGATAGTAGACAGCCTTGTTTCACTCCTTCCTATCTTCACTTCAAATGCATCACTGAGCTTTCCATTGTGAATTACTTGTCATGAGAAGTCTTCATATAGTTGTTGAATGAGATTGATAAAGGTCTGTGGCATATGTCACCATGTTACCAGACCGAAACACATTGGATGAATTATAGTCTTTATATGAAAATCAACTGTCTAGTCTGATAAGCCAGAGGTCTACAAAATAAACCATCAAGTATGCATATAAATCAAACTCTTGGTCAAACAACAGCGTATTTACTGCGAATGTAAAGCCTGACGATAGCATCCTACTATGCAGATCGAAGTGAGCAGAATAAGCTGATGCCTGTAACTCAACAATTCTCAACAGAAAATCCACATCACTGAATTCTACCCTTAAGTAAAGCTATGCCTTATTGGTCATGCATTTAAAACTCCGTCTATCTAACAAGGTTTCGACAACCAAGTAGTAGAATTAGCCTACACATAATTAGTCACGGTCTATTTGTTACCTAATGCACGAAGGTATATGCAGTTACTGAAGAAGTGTAATACCTGCACGATTTTTAACATGTCCATGTATTTTAGGCAATATATTACCCAATCTAAATCGTATCCATGGCAAAGGGTTAGTGTGAAGTAACAACAGGCAATATCTACTCTAAAATCGAAGTATAAGATGATATCATCATCATCATCATCATCATCATCATCATGTATAGAGTAAAACTTTTTTTCAAAATACCACCAAACATTAACTTACTCTCTAGAGTTCAATGATGATGAAGGTTGAACATTATACAATGAATCATAACTGACACCACCGTCGACACAACTGCTATGAGCACGATTATCAACATCATCATGGGAATCAACATGAGTATCATTTTCAATATTCCCGATTATTCTGTAATCATTACGTTTATACAATGTGTAGAGTATGTGATTTAAATATTGAAATGCTGTGTCAATCTGCATTAGACCATAACCTTGATCCAGATATGATAAATGTTCAATTCGCTTAGAAGTATTCATTAAGCTTAAATAGATAAGCGATGGTGGGATTTTCAGTAGACCATTATCATTAGTACAATTGTAACAATGGCGTAAACCAGACAGTATGAGACCTGTAAAACAAAAACATTATGAGCAGAAACGGAAAGGTGATGAACGAATAAGCAGTCAAACTGGAGGTACGTGAAGATTTTTTAACTGGTTTCAAACTGATATTCAATGTTTGGTTAGTAAATACATCTGCGTGTTGAACTACGGTATGGGATTCCCGACGTTTTAATAAGAAGTGGTAGTCGACGTAGCGAAGCAAGTCAGACGTAAGGACGGTTACTTAATGACGGCAATTGATGATGGTAGAGCAATATCGCGAACTGAGAGAAGTAAGAAAATGCTAATCGTTAGATTCCAATACAGTGGCTCAATGGCAAGGTTTTAGCCGCTATATCTGAAGGTCCTAGGTTCGATTCTTGGCGAGGTCATGTCTGTGCATTATTGAGGAATCCACAAAACGACGGAACAGCTATAAAGTATTCCCGTTGCACAAGAGGTGGCTATAGGGACTCAGTAACCTAGTGTAAAATGCTCTGAATGGCTCTAGGTTTGCGTCTCAACGGGAACAAAAACATTACTCACTGAAGTAGATTTGTCCAGCTGAAGAGTCATAAATGGGACGAAACTTGAATCTTGCATTCTACTACAAGCAATTATCCACCACTACTGTAACTAGAATAGTTATTAATTGACACATTTGGTTTTCTTGTTGGTATACTGTATCGAAATTAATCGTCCTCTGTTGGAAGATTGACTTCTATGAGGATGATTCGTTCGATACTGCCTAAATAAAGTAAACTGTAATATAACCGGAGTAGGCTTAACTCGAAACAACGCCAAGAATGGTCAAATCAAGAAATGGTAGGAATCCATAAGATTTCTCACCAGTTTCGTGATATAGAAGGGAGCTTAAACATTTTATTACCCCAGTATATCGTAAAACGCAACCCCAACATACAATCTTTCAAAAGAACTTTTCAAACAGATTAAAACATCTGGTAGAATCATGCGACCACCCCAGCAACTCTTCGACAAAATGTTTGGAAAAGATCAAGCATATTCATATTGGCAACGACGAACTGATGCTGTCTTCGATGTTGCAGCTCGTTACACCTTAAATGAACCGAAATTGGTCAGGGATACAATGACTCTTCTTTTCAACACCTCTCGGAACACACATAACTACAATGTTCAAGTTGGATAGGACCAATTGATCTACGCCTTACAACCTACTTTCAATTCAACGGCAAACTCTTCAAACAGACGAAGAGAACATGAATGGGATCACGTAAATTAGGACTAACTGCAGAACTAGTAATGCAGAGACTGAAAACTGTGGTATTGCCGTTGATCGAACCAAAACTTCGGATCCAATATGTAGATAACCCGTTCATCATCATTTAAAGAAACGAATTAAAAAAACGCCTACAAGTTAATCAACAAAATTTTCGACAACATCAAGTTCTCAAATTAAGAGGAATCAAATAATAAAATTGCATTACTAGATGCTTTGATCATTAGAACGGATTCAGGGAAAATTGAAATATACAGAAAACTAACTCATACGGATGAAATCCTCCTCTACAACAGTAACAACTCAACAGTATAAGGTGTAATTTCACTTGTGTAATCCCGGCGTGATGTATTACAATGAATAACAAAATAAACAAACATTTTTTGAGGGGGTTGTGGAGATTTGGAAATATTTCAAGTTGTTATTCATCGAAGACTGACATCAGTTGGAGGAACAAAGGAAACCTGGGAGCACTGGACAGCTGTTTCGTCCTAGTATGGGACTCCTCAACCCTCTCAAAATTTAATTGAACTAGTGCTCGTTGGCGACTAGCTTCGAGAAGTATTCACGAAGTTCCAATGACAAGTCGTGACCGGTGGAGTCAAAGCCTGATGGTCGTGAGGACAAATACTTAAAGATGACATTGGGTGGCGGTTTGCGCTATATCGTGATCTAACAGAAGTTGGAAATATGGAGCATTGGATTCTGACCCAGTGGCTCAATGGTAACGCGCTGGTCGCGGAACCTGAAGGTCGTGGGTTCAATCCCCGCTGGTGGGGTCGTGGGTGCGCAGTGCTGAGGAGTCCCATACTAGGACGAAACAGCTGTCCAGTGCTCCCAGGTTTCCTTTGTTCCTCCAACTGATGTCAGTCTTCGATGAATAACAACTTGAAACATTTTTTGTATTATTCCGCAACGTTTCGATCTTGCTTGGAGGATCCTTCTCCATAAAGTATGAATCTGACATTAAATTTTCAGATTGATGTTCAAGTTTTGGTACAGAAGGTGATGGTGACCTTCACAATCATCCAATTACACCATGATATGGAAGAAAGATCGATGTAATACAGGTGAGGGAATAAGCAACTCGGTCAGAGAGGCTTTTGTTTTTCAGTTGTGCGAATAAGGTGGAATAAAAATGGGGTGAGGGAAATTCTTTTAGTTCGTCTATGAAAAGTACAATGGCATTGTAAGTCATCAACAGTGAGAAAGAATAGATTACTAGAAGTAGTATTCATCATGAACTGACATCAGTTGGGAAACCATTGGAAATCTAGGAGCACAAGACAGCTGTTTCGTGATGAATACTACTTCTAAATTAAAAGAGTCCCTATTCATCTCAAAAATAGATTACTAGTTTAAAAGGATGAATATTTAAACAACAGACAATCTTATTATTATTATTATTTGTCCCTTGGGTTCCTAATGGAACATACGGCTTCAGTAGCACATCTCCATTCCACTCTCTTCTCTGCAGTCTCTTGAACCTGGTTCCACGACAGCCCACAAGCTCTCATTTATTCCTCACACCATCTCCTCCATATCATCCTCACCTCGGACACCCAACTCGTCGCTTCCCACCTGGGTTCCACTTGAGGGCATGATGCGTGATATCCCCAGTCGGCCTTCTCAGTGTATGCACAATCCATCTCCACTTCCACTCTCTTTTGCATATTACTTCAATGATAGGTTCTTGGTTGGTTCGTTGCCAGCCAGCCAACCAGAGTTCCTTGTTTCTTATTGTTATTATTCTCGCCATCTGATCTGAGCTTGAGTAACGAGCCAGTGTAGGCGGCAGTTGTTGATGAATGTCTTTAGTTTGTTGGAAATGCTTTTCGTAACGTGCCAAGTCTCTCAACCATCACATGGAAGCACTGACTTGACTGAATTGGTGTTGAAAATCCGGATGTTGTTCCACATGCTGAGTGCAGATCTCCACACTGGTTTCAGGCTAATGAAGAAAGGCCTGTCTTGCTGTGTTTCCGATCCTGGCTTTGACGTCCTCGTCTGTGCCGCTGCGATCTGTAGTTGAAACAGTGCTTGCACTGACCAGGTAAGGTGAAAGACGCTACTTCCTTTAATTTTCTCCCATTGATGGTGACTGGAGCTTGTTGTTGATGCTGTTGTTGGTTGGGTAGCTTCATCACTGTCTTCTCTACGTTCACTTGAAGTCCTGTCTTCGCTGTCCTGTCCTGTCCTGCCTCTTCTGTCAACTTGTTATTTTCACCTGTACATCTTCAAGTTTGTGTGACATTAGACACAAGTCATCATCGGCGAAATCCAAATCTTCTAGATTCCTTTCCCCTGTCCAGCCAGCGTATTCTCCTCTTCTCCCTCCTCACTGTTTGTTGTATGATCCAGTCGACTAGAATCAGGAATATCATGGGTGATAGTAGACAGCCTTGCTCCACTTTTTCCTGTCTTCACTTCAAAGGCATTACTGAGCTTTCCATTGTGAATTACTTGTCATGAGAAGTCTTCATATAGTTGCTGAAAGAGGCTGATGAAGGTTTTTGGTATTTCGTAGTATTGAAGCAGTTTCCAAATTACTTCTTGGTCGACGCTGTCGAAGACCTTCTCAAGGTCGATGAAGTTGACTTGACTGCCATTCTATACTGTGTTCAATGATGATGCGTGGTGTAGCGTTGCAATTTGGTCTGCACATGATTTGTACTTCCAGAATCCAGCCAGCCAGCCTATGCCGGTCGTAGTTTTGAATCCAGTGCATCCTTTAGCCTCTCCAGGATGATGCGGTTTAATGTTTTGCTTGCTCCTGGTGGACAGGAGATGATTCCGCGCCAGTTCCTGCAAACACTGAGGTCTCATTTCTTCGGCAGTTTGACAAGGTAACCCTTCTTCCAATCGCCAGGTACCTTCTCTTCCTTCCACACCTTCTGCAATAGTGGTGTGAGCATGTCCGCTGTTGTCTCTGCGTCTGTTCTCAGTGTTTCTGGTGGGATCCCATCTAGTCCTGTTGCTTTCCCACATTTCAGTAGCTTTGTGGCATTCAGGACTTCCATTTTTGTTGGAGGATTTATGTTCACTTGTAGTTCAGCGGCTGTAGGTGGTATTTCTGGACGAAGTGCAGGTGGTGGTCGATTCAAGAGTTTTTGAAGTGGTCGGCCCATCGTTTCCTTTGTTTCTCTTCTTTCGTAATTAAATTTCCTTCTTCATCTTTTATTGGTTTCGTATGCGTTGATCTCTTCCCAGATAGTAACTTGGTTATTTGATACAATGTTGTCAGGCCTCTCCTACCAGCAGTCTGCCGCCTGTTCTGCTTCACTTGTTAGTTTGTCGTAGAAGTGTCTTATGTCTTTGCGTGCGCTCTTCACTTCTTTGTCCAGTGTTTTATACATTGTACTCAGTTCCTCTTGTCGTTGTGCATCCTTGCACTGGTTTATCTTCTGCCTCACCATCCTCATTTCCTCCATCAGCTTCCATGTGTCTATCGAGATCCATTCCTTGTCTTCTTTCTTCTTCCTCCGTAATACGGTTGTGTAGGTTTCTTCCCACATCTCTTTCAAAGACTTCAAGTGTTTTTCACGAAGGTTCCTTCAGGGATGTTCCTCGATATCTCCTATTTTGTATTGATGGCTGACATGAAGATATCCCTTGTAGTTTCATCCTTAAGTTTCTGAGTGTTGTACTTGAACTTGATTTGGAAGTTAGGTTTCCTGCACTAGATAGTGAGTGGTGTGAACCTACATCTGCTCCTCTTCTTGATCTTGTGTCCAGTAGGCTGCGTCTCCACTTTCTTGAGATTGAGATAAAGTCGGTCTGATTTCTAGTGTGTCCATCTGGTGAAATCCATGCCGCTTTGTGGGTATCCTTGTACTTGAACACAGTGGCTGACTCCAATCACCAAATCGTTGAATGCACAGAATTCTGCAAACAATTCTTCATTCTCGTTCATTTCATAAAGCGCTTCTCGGCCTATGGTTAATTCTCTTTCTGTGTTGTCCGCTTTCAGTTCGGCATTCATGTCACTCAACCAATTAGAATTTTAATATCGCTAACTGAGGTCTTGTCTAATGTTGATTGCAGTTGTCTGCAGAATTCCTCTTTCTTCTCCTGGTCTGCATTATTTGTAGGTGCGTAGCGTTGTGTGATTGTGACTTTCCTTTCTTTTGAGTTGAACCTTGCTGTCATGATCATCAGACAATATATGATAAATAATTAATAATAATGATAACGATCGAGGTACTTTTAATAACAGTTGAAGTATGAGAGATAACAAAATGGATTATGTAATGTATAGAATAGTTCATAGAATGTGTATAACTCAGATAGATGCATAAAAATAATGAAAATATTAGATCAGTAAAGCATTACGTAATGGGACTAGACAAGTTGTTAGAATACAACCGATATCTTTTAATGTGATTAAGAAGATGAAGCGAAATAACACCGGAAGCTATTCAAGCAAGAGTAAATCCTGAATAAATCATATGGAATGAAATTGTGTTCTACCTTCTCTTCACATATATTATTTACAACTGCCAAGGCGAGTCATTAATGTTTTGCCATATTAGTGAGATGTCTAATCCATCTTTTGTGTTGATCGAAGAAGGATACGAACAGTTGTTCAAAGCTTCTGTAATGGTCCGTTCTTTGTATGAAAGAAAACTCTTTTGCAGAACTTTTGTCTGTTCGAATGATAATTTATGATCGGAATACAGGACATGAGTCACAATGGTAGAACTTTTTTCAAGTTTTTCTAGATCATAGGAATTTTTTGTTGGTTTTTTGGAACTTCTACCATGTTCGGCTAGATGTGTTAGTACTTGACGTGATGTCTCTCCAATGTATGTGGCATCGTATTCACTACTCTCTACCTTATAAACACAGTTTTGTTGTTCGAAATGAGGAATCGAATCTTTTAATTTCCACAGGTGTGAGTGTAATATATTCGTCACCTTAAAGAATACTCTGATGTTGTAACTATTATGGATACATCTTAATTCATCTGAAGTGGATGTTCGATAAGGAAGTATTATAGTACTTATCCAATCTTAATGGCTTAGCTTTTTCGTATTTTTATTCCAAAATAGTAATCTATTCTTTCTCACCCTTGATGACTTACAACGCTATTGTACTTTTCATAGACGAACTAAAAGAATTTCCCTCACCCCATTTTTATTCCACCTTATTCGCACAACTGAAAAACAAAAGCCTCTCTGACCGAGTTGCTTATTCCCTCACCTGTATTACATCGATCTTTCCTCCATATCACGGTGTAATTGGATGATTGTAAAGGTCACCACCACCTTCTGTACCAAAACTTGAACATCAATCTGAAAATTTAATGTCAGATTCATACTTTATGGAGAAGGATCCTCCAAGCAAGATCGAAACGTTGCGGAATAATACAAAAAATGTTTGTTTATTTTGTTATTCATTGTAACACATCACGCCTGGATTACAAAAGTGAAATTACACCTTATACAATGAATCATACTAACATGGTGCCCAGGTTTTTTCAAACTATTCAGTCCATTGTTGGTCAAGATACCTTCAAACTCAACAGTACATAAAGTAAGTTGTATAAAAGGGTTTGTTCAGAAGAACGAATACACACTGTAGTACATCAACACTATGGAGAAAAGTAGGAAACTATTTTATGATTAATTTCCAGAGGAATACCTGTCCACACAACTTCATCAAAAGATATTTACCTAATTCGTCATCAACCAAAAAATCAATCTCGAAAACTAACCAACCAATTATCCTATCCTACATGAAGAACGTCTTCGATATTTCAACTAGATGATTATTGAAATCTCTTGGAATCGTTGTATCTAACACTTCCATAAAGGAAGATGAACCAAATATTATCTTCAAAATGAACTTCAGAGGCTGAGAAAAACGCTATGTCGATAAGATGGGTCACCGTCGTTGTATCTGTCTACATGACCATTAACTTGCAATGAAGCATCCTGATATATCTCTCATATTAATGCATACAGACAACTGTGAACATAAATTTGACTGGAAGAAGGTGAATGTCAGAGAATTGTTAGAAGCTTGATATTCAGGTCAGTCAGTGATCAAGAAATATACTGGTAATGGTTTAATCTACCAATCAATAATAAACAATAAGAAAAGGTCAAATTTCAGGTCATCATGACATCGAAGATAAATCGAAACTTGATAAAAAGTTTACTCATCATACGTACTATAATACTAAAAGTAACAGGAAATGTTTAAGTATAATTGCATATGATACTTACTGATCCCTCCAGTAACCATAGGTGCACTCATTGAACTACCACTCAGTAGACCAGTTGGCTTTAATTGCCAACTAGCGATCGAGGTATTTGCACCACCTGGAGCAGCAACACACAAGCCGAAGGCACCATCAAATGCTGGACCTCGACTTCCCCAATTATAGTTAGTTGGATGAGCATTTTTCCTTGTCGGTGAAGTGGTACTGACATTTCTGGAAACTGAATCCACCCTGTCATTTCGACATTTCGTCTCATTATCAATGTTGAAAGAATCTTCAAGCAGAGACTGATGGTGTAAAGAAGAATCATCTGGTTGACAGTATAGATTACGCATCATATCAGGAAACACTAAAGGTGCAACACCTAAATTAAAGAGATAAGAGTGACAAAAGCTATATGTTAGAATAGATAGAAACAACTTTAGAGACCTAAAGGTCACTGGTTCGAATACTCACGCAACCCAGATTCTTATCTCACCTTCAAACACCAGCCAACATCTCAGATAATCAAACTGATAACCAATATCAAGCTCCCCTTCTCAGTTTAATTTTAATTGGGCTGAGAAGTCATGGGTGGGCAGTTAGTGTAAGATCAAGCGATAGTAACGCATTACAAATTAACATGGTAATCGAACTCTCTTAGTGATTAGAGGGTAATAAGGATCTGGATAGTAGCCGGATCTCGTAGCACAGTTGGTAAAGAACAGGGTCGGTAATGCAGAGGTCTCTGATTCGACTGCGACTGTTTGAGTAGTTCCCTTCTCACTTTTAAGTTAGTTTTTACCACAGACTGAAATCAGTTGGACAACTATTGAAAACCTGGAAGCACAAAACAGCTGTCTCATCCTAGTATGAGGTTATTTAGCAATACATACATACCCACAACTCCACTAGAAATCGAACTCAGTACCCTCGGGTATCACGGCGAAAGTGTTAACCATTCAACCATTGGATCGGATCTCAATAGTTCGTGATATGCATATTATATGAATAACTAGGGAGAGATTTGTCACAATCCCTCGTCTTGTAATCTACTGAATAAATACAAGACATTGTGTGTAGAAGTATTTCTATTCAGTTAGGTCTTTGCCATCGGCTAGCTTTACGCTAATATGTAAAGGTTTTACGTTTGATAACATGATACCATTCAGAGGTGGTGGATTAATTAATTGAAACTAAAACAACAAGTAACACAAAATTTAGGATACACTTTTCATCCCATTTAGGCCACGTCAGCCGAACATATCTGCACCCCGGTGAGCGATATTGCTTCCACGGAGACTCGAATCCAGTACACATCGCATCAAACACCAAAACGTTGTCCATTAGGCCACTGGGGTAAGACAGCAGTTGTCGTTTATTAATATCTGTGATTTTCCACTGCCTTTAGTAGGTGGAATTCCTCCATTTATGCTGGAAGATAGAATGCGATGCGGATGTCTCGATACTGCCTCGATATCTTCCGTTCAGATGACCATTCCCAAATACGATGAAGTGTGAGTCCTGAATTCCACTGCCCCCCCCCATAAAATAGACAATAGTATAATGAATATCCAAGCAGCATTGAGGCATCCGCATACGAGTCCAAGTGCTAATAGATATTCAGTAATTCAACCCAGGAGGGGTGAGAATATGGGCAAACACTGTTTGACCGATGAAAAGACCTTAGAAGAGTTGAATCTCGCCAATTATGATGAGTTATATCAAATGTCTTGCTCCAAAGGCCAACAAGTTGATGGAAGAGGCAGGGCAGCGAAGAAGGGACTTCCATCAAGTGAACGTCGAGAAGACAGAGAGAAGAAAGTGGAATAGAAACGCGCTCAGAGCATTTTCTAATCTCTCTAGAATGACTCAACTTAATATTTTGCTTGAGGTGGACAAGAGGATGATTCCGCACCAGTTTTTGTTCTCCCAAAAACTTAGGTCTCCCTTCGTTGGAAGTTTGACAAGGTAGCTCTTCTTCCAATCTTCAGATACCTTTCCTTCCTTCCAAATTTGCACAATGAACCAAGCATTTAATCAGATTACATCTATATCTACTAAGTAAGAATACTGTCCAGTTAATGCTATGTGATAAGATATGACTTTAAAAGCCATCGGAACAACTGTTGAGTTAACCAATTACATTTCTCTATTTTTTGATGAAAAATTCTCTCATTCAAAATATACAAACCTGATTGGTTATTTCAGTAATTGCTTTGGCGACCATTAAAGTCACTCTTCATAAGCATAGAAATCTCAGTTCATTAAACGTGACAATTATAGACGCAAAGTTTAAGAAATAATGGTTATACAAAAATGTTCCATTCATACATCTAATTCTATATGAACTCTTAAAGAGATATATCGTTTAAGTCGATCATATACTCACCGATTACACCTTGAACTGTACCACCTGGGCAACTAAGTGATCCTAAACTTGGACCATTGTTTCCACCGCTTGCAACCATGATTATACCATATTTGTGAATCATTCTGTTCAAGTATTTAGAGATTCGTCTATTGTTAAAGATATATGAAAAAGAAAAGAAAGAATGGAAGAAAATTCGATTTGTCTTAAAGAGGGAAATATGATTCAAAAAGATTATATTACCAGTGAATATTCTGTTTATTGTTAATACTCTCAATACAATTATGGCTCATTGGTCTACATTCTTGATTATTAACCAAACAGTTGTAGGTTAAAATCAACTCCCATCTGCAGAAATTTTGGTAGCCAGCTAATGTTATCGGGTGGTCTCAGCCCTACTCTACTGAAAAGTACATATAGATTGCATTTTGACTGAACAGCTTTTCTGCAAAATAGCACTTATATGAATACTATGCAATACAGCTTGTATATCATAATACATTAACGAATTCTATCTCATCAAGTTAAGCTGTCAGTTCGTATTTTTGAGATTAAACAGTTAAACCCCCTAAGATAGTATTCATTGAAGAATAAAGCAGCTCAGAAATTGTGTACAGATGCCTAAGTTCTTATAACACTACCCCCTTCTGATCGATAACTATTACCATTGACACGGTTGTCAGGGTTGCATATCACAATGACTCAATGAGTTATGCTGGTCGAACGCTCGTTCCATCGAAATCCTACCATGCCCAATAGGTTTGTTTAATAATGGTAGGGCGATAAGCAGTTATAATTGTAATATATATTCCCACACTATGATACGGGTCTGATAGTGAAGTCGTACTGCTGCTAGCCGGATGTGGCGTGACAGTAGTTAAGTATTTTCCCTTGGATGACCAGCATTTCCACACTGAAAGTGACTTCCCAAAGGGAAAAAGGGTTAGAAAAACTCAGTTTAAAAAAAAATAACATCATTCCTCTGCCCCGCGGTCTTCCGGTGGCAGTGGTATGGGTTTTCTCTATCCAAAGTTGGAATAACCAAACCTTGAAACAATAACTCACAAAAAGCTGTGTTGTGGGCCTAAAGCACACATTCCTTGGAGTCTGCGATCATATCAGTCTTTTCCTCTTTCAGGAAGTTCAAGAAGAACTAACCTTCCATGGTGTGGGCAGTCAGGAAGTGTCAACCACCCACAAGTCTCCAGCAGTAGTCAAGACCCAATCAAACATAACCTATTCTCCTCAACACTGTCCCCATCGTGACCATTCAGGTAATATCTATAAGCCCATATACAATGTAGATAAATCGATGTCTAATACATAAACATATATTGGGGTTGAGTTGCATTTTGTGTAGATCTGGTCAATAGGTCTCGATGTAGGATTGAGTTATTTTTAAACAATGACACAGTAAGTGGCAGCCGAATGTCCAAGTACATGACTTAAAGTTACATAGAAAATTATCAAGAATCTAGAATACAATCATATTTATTTCAACGCCAACAGTGGCTGATTAACTCCACCCAATCGACAATGAAGATTTACAAGCTATAACTAATAACTGTGGAAATGAATTTGCGTATATTAATATGAAGTTTACCAATGACAGTAAACTGAACTATCAGTACAATTTAGAGGTTGGCTCAAAACTGAATGAATTCAGAAAAGGATTTTATCACAAATCGATATGTTGGGGGGTTTGTGAGGATTTAATGATTTTCCAAGTTGGTATTTCATCATGGATCGACATCTGTTGGAGGAACATTGGAAATCCGAGAACACTGAACAGCTATTTCATCCTAGTATGGGACTCTTTAGCAGTGCGCACCTACGACCCTACCAGGGGTCGAACCCATGGTCTTCAGGTTCCTTGGCCACCACGTTACTACTGAGCCACAGGAAGCTTGCCATGGAATCTGAAAGTCGCGGGTTCGATCCCTGATGAGGTCTTAGGTGTACACTGCTGAAGCATTCCAAACTAGGACGAAACAGTTGTCCAGTGCTAATACATTTTCGATGTTCCTTCAACTTGAAAAATCACTAAATCCCTAAAAACTCCCGAATTCAGCTGAACTAGGGCTCATTGGTAATTAGCTTCCAGAGGTGATTCCCAAAGTCCCAATGAAAAGTAGTGACCCGTGGGGCAAACTTGATGGTTGTGAGGATAAAAACTTAAGATGACATGGGGTGGTGGTCGCGCCATGTCGTGAACTGACAGAAGTTGAAAATACAGCCCATTGGATTCGGACTCACTGGCTCAATGGTAACGTGGTGGCCACCAAACTTCAAGGTTGTGGGTTAGATCCCTGGTAAGGTCATGGATGCGCACTGTTGAGGAGTCCCATGCTGGGATGAAACAGTTGTAGAATGCTCCCAGGTTCCCAATGTTCCTTCAACTAATATCAGTCCATGATGAATACCAACTTGAAAGGTCGATATATGCCAGAGAACCAGTGAGAGATCGGCAACACTTGATAACCAGATTTTTCTAGTTTGGGACTCTTTGGCGGTGCGCATACGGAGTCCTAATTGATCATTGGAGATGGAGGCGAAAGAAAGCTTCAGGTGTTGAACCAAAGTTTTCCTCGAAACAAAGGCTGAGTACCATGAAAACAGCGAAGTCAGTACTGTAAAAGTCAAGCGTAAGGTTTTCAGTAAAAAAAAAAAGGTAACCCAGTTGTAATGAAACTGTTGACTTTCATCGATTCAGACGGTTAGGGCAATCGCTGCGCATGTCAAGGCACCGTCTACTCCGTCTCGAAATATCAGCCATTGTAGATCCGGGTGGGAAAAAAGCAATAGGCAAGTAGACTGAAACATGTCACATCAGTTCATGAAGACTTTGACTGTATTTTTGAATTTTGTAGGGGAATGTAGACTTCTGGATTGTAGTCGGGGTGACAACTTAAACCGGTGGTGTGACTGAGAATCGGTCCTAATCACCATATGACATTTTTTAATTGTCTTACCCTTCTTATAAATTTTCCCTACCTTCCTGTCTTTTATCATGATGCCTTCTTTATTGATGTGCTGTGTGACCGATAACTTGAACTGTTCCCGGTCAGATTGGCTAAGGTCAAACCCATGACAGTTGGTTCTCATGGTGAACACGTTAACACTGAGTAACTATAATCACTTCAGAAGCCAACTTTATCGGGTATTTTTAGACTTCAAACTCGCTAATTAAAAGCTTTTCGGAGAATTCGACTTGAACAACTAATGCACGAGAAAACTATACTGTCAGTGAAATTGTTTTTTAAAGTATAAGTTTGTGGAGACTTCAACAGATTTCTACAACCGGGTGCCAATCATGAGAAAGAGAAACCTTACTCACTCATTGTGTACATCGAATACGTAATATTTGTAGCACGGAATGTGTCTAACTTGAACTTGACTTTCTAAGTGGGATGCTCGCGGAAAACGGCTATCCTAGCCGATTTATCGATAAAAATATGCAGGAAACACATGCGAAACTAGTCACCAGCTCAGCAAAACTTCACTTGATCTTTACCAGTTGTAAATTGTTCTCCGTTTGTATAAAAGACAATATCCCTCGACATGCCACATCTATGTGTATCTACCAGTTCACCTGCTCCTGTGGAGCAAGGTAGATCGGCCATATTCAGAGGTTTCTGTCATCAACAAGTATTATTCTTATTATTATTAGTCCCTTGGGTTCCTAGTGGAACATACCGCTTCAGTAGCACGTCTCCAGTGACCTCTCTTCTCTGAGATCTTTTGAACCTGGTTCCACGACAGCCCACAAGCTCGCATTTCCTCCTCGCACGATCTCCTCCATGTCACCCTCATCTCGGACGTCCAATTCGTCGCTTCCCATGGGGATTCCACTCGAGGGCCAGTCGGCCTTCTCAGTGTATGCCCAATCCATCTCCACTTCCTCCTGCATATTTGTTGCGTGATAGGTTCTTGGTTGCTTCGTTCCCAGAGCTCCTTGTTGCTTATTCTTGTTACCCTGGCCATCTGATCTTCAGTAGCGAGCATAAGTAGTTGTTGATAAATGTCTGTAGTTTATTGGAAATCCCTGTCGTGACGCGCCAAGTCTCTCAACCATCAAACAGAAGCACTGACTTGACTGACGTTGGTGTTGAAAATCCGTATCTTGTTCCACATGCTGAGTGCAGAAGATCTCCACACTGGTTTCAGGCTAATGAACACCTGTCTTGCTTTTCCGATCCTGGCTGACTTTGACATCCTCGTCTGTCCCGCCTGTAGTTGAAACGGTGCTGCCTAGATAAGTGAAGAAGGTTACTTCCTTTAAGTTTCTCCCGTTGATGGTGATTGGAGTTTGTTGTTGGTGGTGGTGGTGTGGTATCTTCATCACTTCTGTCTTCTCTATATTCACTTGAAGTCCTGCCTTCGCTGTCCTGCCCTGCCCTGCCTCTTCTGTCAACTTGTTAGTTTTCGCCTGTAGATCTTCAAGTTTATGTGACATCAGGCACAAGTCATCACTGGCGAAATCCAAGTCTTCTAGGTTCTTTTCCGTCGTCCAGTGTATCCCCCTCTTCTCCCCCCCCCCACTGTTGTCTGCTGCATGATCCAGTCGACCACAATCAGGAATATCATGGGGGATAGTAGGCAACCTTGTTTCACTCCTGTCTTCACTTCAAAAGCATCACTGAGCTTCCCATTGTGAATTACTTGGCATGTGACATCTTCATACAGTTGTTGAATGAGGCGGATAAAGGTTTGTGGTACTCCGTAGTAATGAAGCAGTTTCCAAATTACTTCTTGGTCGACGCTGTCAAAGGTCTTCTCAAAGTCGATGAAGTTGAGGTAGAGAGCTGATTGCCATTCTATGCTCTGTTCTATGATGATGCGAAGCGTTGCAATTTGGTCTGCACATGATTGGTACTTCCTGAAGCCTGCCTATTCCGGTCGTAGTTTTGAGTCCAGTGCATCCTTAAGCCTCTCCAGGATGATGCGGCTTAATATTTTGCTTGGGGTGGACAGGAGAGTGATTCCGTCCCAGTTCTTGCAAACACTGAGGTCTCCCTTCTTTGGCAGTTTGACAAGGTAACCCTTCTTCCAATCGCCAGGTACCTTCATCAACAAGTATACGAGAACATATTCCAGACTGGTTTTATAAGGGTGAAAGGAAATGTATGTAAACGATTCCAACCATTCAATCGACCTAAACAAAAATTTTAAGGTTATCTATCGAATCCATTCAAACACCTCACGTTTCCTGCGTGTTCAGCTGCAAAAACAACACAGGTCTTGGTTATCCATGAACTAAAGCTCGACAATTCAATGTAAATGAAGTTTGTATAGCCATTATCTCTACCTTGGCCTTAGCTTATTTTGGTCTGGGTATGCTTCGTTCTATTTTGAATTTTCAACCCCCTTCTTTCGTTAGGTAAATCTTTGTAGTCTTATATCGTCATTATCACTTTTTTTTATATTTAATTGTTATCGGTGTTTTTGATTTGATCTTCCTAATAATCGCAACTTTTGACAATTTCAGCTTAGTTCAAGTAACCTGTTGTCTTATTCATATTACAAGTTGTTATTCATCATAGACTGACATCAGTTGGAGAGGAACAAAGTGAACCTGGGAGCACTGGATAGCTGTTTCGTCCTAGTATGGGACCCCTCAGCAGTGCGCACCCACGACCCCGCACCACCAAGGGTCGAACCCGTGACCTTCAGGCTCCGTTGCCAGCACGTCACCACTGAGGCACTGGGTCAGAATCCAATGGTTCATATTTCCAACTTCTGTTAGCTCACGATATAGCGCAACCGCCACCCAATGTCATATTATCTAATCCTTTCACTGTTTATTAACGTAATCACCCTTCATAATCTATAGGCACCTTACGGACGATTTAAAATCTTACGTAACTCTTTTTGTTATCATTCAACCTCTACGTCATCAACTAGCAATATTATAATTATAACGAACATTATTATTGTCGCAACCCCCCCCCTCCATTATTCAAGCTAAATGTTCCTCACTAAATACAGTCCTTAGATATCATATATGTATACGAATGTATGGCTTGAGAATAAATTCGTTGAAAAGAGTCCTCTTCGCTGAATATCTTGTTTTCAAGTTGGAGAACCCTTAAGAACCTGGGAGTACTAGACATATGTTTCATCCTAAAACGAGATTCCTCAGCAGTTCGCACCCATGACCCTATAAGGGATAGAATCCTGGATCTTTATGTCAACATTGAGCCACCTAATCAGGATCTAACAACTTCCTGTGAGAGAATATTTTGTAAATTATCGATGAAATTGTATCACTGAGACCTCCACCTGTATACCATCGATTTTAATGTCATAACAACTTTATTCGTTTGATATAACTGAGTTAAAAGAGTACACAAAAAATGCTGAAAATTATTTTTGATTCCAATACCAATAAAAAGTTCTCTTCTATCTTCCTTTAAGTGAAAGGATTAATATATCTCCATAAATTATCAAAAAGTACTCATTAGTTAATACTGTTTGTCACTCACCCTACATTTGGCCAAATCACCTGTTCACCAAAACTATAATTGACAATATCACACTTCAATTCAACTGTCCATTTAATCTAAACAAAAAATAAATGAAAAAGAAATTTTCAAAATCCGAAACAAATAAGATGAAGGAAGGTATTTATACTTGATGATGAGTGAAGGTGAAATAAAAATTTGGACCTCGAGTGGACTCGAAACAGCAACCACTAGGTTTCCGACTCGATGCTCTAACAATTGAGCTACGAGGTCCGACTGCTGACCAGAATTTTATTTCACTTCAATCACCATAGATCTTGCCTGACAGCAGTCAGACTTCGTAGCTCAGTTGGTAGAGCGTCGGGTCGAGAACCTGGTGATCACTATTTAAAGTCCGACCTCGGTCCAAATTTTCATTTCACCTTCAATTACTATCCAATATAAATACTAGTTTGCCAAACTACAGCTATCTCAGATAGTCATATAATAAAAAGAAGGTAGCTGGTAGAAAACAACCCAACAAAGAATATGATAGTTCACTACATAACACATCAACCAACTTCTCAATCATCCTGTCATCTACTTGGTGGCTAATGGTAGAAACTAAGATCTGTGTTTCATCCTATTCAGGACTCATCAAACGTAGGGTTTACCTGCATCGCTGTGAATAATGTTGTTTCCACTGAATCTAGAATCTAGTACACATCATCTCAAATGTGAGTGGGACACGAAAGCCAATTCTTGTTCATTGACACTCGTAATTTTTCGTTGCTTTTAGTGAGTCCAAATCCTCAACCTCTGTTGGCAGCAGACTGCAAAATAGTGAATATCTGGGCAATATCAAAGCATCGACGTAGGAGCCCATCTGTCAAAAAAGGTCAAGAAATTCCACGCAGTAAAAACAACAGGAAATTACAAGTATCAATGAGCAACAACTGTCAGTGAATTTAATTGAGGGTTTTTGGGGATTTAATGACTTTTGAAGTTGGTATTCATCATGAACTGACATCACTTGGAGGAATATTGGAAACCTGTGAGCACTGGACTACCGTTATGTCCTAGTATGGGACCCCTTAGCAGTGCGCACTCACGACCCCGCCTCGCCAGGGGTCGAACCCAGCACCTAATCATTGAGCTACTGGGTCGGAACCCAATGGTCCATATTTCCAAATTCTATCAGTTCACGACTGCTGACGAGTCCCATACTAAGGCGAAACAGTTGTTCAGTGCTCCCACGTTTCCAATGTTGCTCAAACTGATGTCAGTCCATGATGAATACCAACCTGGAGAACTGTCAGCCAGCCTAAAGGGTATTCTACCAGTTGACTACTAGCAGGTAGCACCAAAATACAGTGCATCGCACTGTCGCACTATTAAGTTTAGTGGCCAGATTGCTAACTAAGTCTACATATAGGCTGCGTTCAGTTCTGAGTACTAAAAATGAAGCAACTAAATCGGTTATCTAATGGTGACCACTTCGTGTATTCAAAACAGTCCTATAGGAGATCAGTCATGGACTAAATAGCTAAGTAGTTAGTCCTCTGACTCCAGCAAGGAGTGAAAACGGCTTAAATAACCGACGGAACGTCAGTTGCATCATGGTTTCAGATACGCCTTATAAATGAGTGGCAATCGGCAGGAAACGTAGGTCGAACAAAGCCTCCTGCCAATTAACTCTCAGCATGTAACGCCGAAATGCAATACACCGTACTCTAATATCGCTTAGCTTAGTGGTAACACTGCAAAAGTGATCAGTAAAGTTCAGTTAAGGCTGCAAGGACAGACAGACAGGTAAAATTAGCGTAGAACTTCGCACAGTCAACTAGCCAGTCCCTGTTAAGTTAGAAGTACCTACGATTTGATTCATTAGCATGCCTAGCGAACAGCACCGATTATCACTACTACAAATGATAGATCTCTATAAGCCCCTAACATGGCTAAGCAATTTCAAAAAGACAACCTTGATCAGTATAAACACTTGCTCTATACTTCCTTCGCAATCAAGCTGTCGCAACATCTCTCGGTCGATACAATCAAGGTCAAGGTTTGAGTACTGTTAGCTCTTTCTACACCTACTGTGATTTCAGTCAATATTGTGTATCAAGGTGGACGGTTGTTGGATATACGTACCACGTTTCAGCTACCTCAATCACCAAGATCAAATAAGGGTATCTGTGGAAGTTAGTCTAGTACCCACTTTTGAAAGGCACAAAACTCTTAATAAACCTATCCATATTTCGGATAAAAAACTCAAGAAAACTCTATACCTTGTCACTATTTTCGTTTAACCGGTATGACTTGTTAGTCAACCGACTAGATTCAGGGGAACAAACTAATCCTGTGTAAGCTGGAAGTAAGCAGGCTCACCTCGATCACAGCAACTATAGCACAGTTAAACAGAAATGGCTAGAATAGGCAGACGACATAGTGCTGTTAAATGAAGAAGCTGACAAAAATGCAGTCTTCTGAACACTGAGTGGCAATTTGAGAATGTTTGGGATACATTTCTCACCACCCAAAATGCAAATTTTTGCTCCACGATTGTTCTTCAACGGTGCCATGGCCAACAATAGAGAGTAAAGTGGTTGAGTGGGTCGACCACTTCATTTACCTGGGAAGTAGAATCAGCCCCGCTCTGCTGGCTCAGTGGCCGATGAAATCTATGCACGGATACAAAGCGCTCGGTTGGCTTTTGACAATTTACGCCACCTATGGTGCCGCCATGATATTCGTTTCTCTATTAAGGGTCGCGTGTACTGCACAGTTGTTCGCTCTGTTCTACTCTATGGCTGTGAAACGTGGCCACTGAAGGTGAAAGACTTGAGAAGGCTTCAAGTGTTTGATCACCGTTGCCTTCGTAGTATAAGCCGTATTCCATGGTGTCACCACACAGAAGTCAGGCTCATGTGTAGAGTTATAGGGAGAAGAGGTAAATCAGTTGACGAGGTTGTCAACCTTCATCAAATGAGATGGTTGAGACACGTGTTACGCATGTCTATTCGCCGTCTGCCTCGTCACAGAATGTTGGCCGAAGTAGGTTCAGACTGAAAAAAGACCCGAGGTGGCCAGACCAAAACATGGCATCAATGTATGAAGTCGTTGACTGTTAGTTTGAGCTATGTGGGCTATGGGCTATGGGCTATGCAGGCTAGGTGGTTGGGGTTCACGGAACAAGAGGAACTAGTGGCTAGAGACTGACTCTAGGGGATATGGCTCAGAACCGATGTCAGTGGCTCATATGTATACACGCAGACATTATCCTCATCTTAACATCATACCGATTCTCACAATTTTCTCAGTCTTTCTTTTTTCTCGTTTCATATTTTATATTTCTTTTGACTGAATTTTCCTATCTTCATCTTTCACCTCACTACCTTTCTACTTGATGTACTGATATGAGGTATGGCAAGTTGGACGGTTACGCGGTAATGCCTGGTCATATGTTGATATTGATGATGATAAACAGAAATGGAGAAAGTTGAGTTGAAGAGTTTAAAAATGGAAGTACATACATTTTTAAAATGTAAAAATTAAACCGCTATCAACATTGTTCTGGTGTGTACATTTATACGTGAACAGTATATACAATAAAACAGAATCGGATCATTTTTGTATAGAACTCAAACACTGATTTCACTCCAATCAAAAGAAAGCCCAACAGACCCACGTTTTATGCCTTTTGGCACTCATCATCAAGCCATATTTGCCTCTAGGAATAGAAAACATAAAGTTGGTTACCCTTCAGTGACACAGGTCCTAATCTCAGCCAGGACATCAATTCCATCGAGATTGTAGATCCACTTTGATGATGAATGAGCAAGAAACAAAAGTCGGGCAGGCCTTCTTAGCGATTGCCTCTATTCAACTAAAAAGAACGCCTTAAAGGAAATCAACTACTGGAACACTGAATTATTATTCAGTGGAAGGTTATTACCAATAGCGCTTTCTGAAAGTTATAATCACGATGTGAAGTAAATTCAGTTGAAGTTTGCAGATCAGTGACCCCTAAACCAGTGGTTAAATCATAAAGTACTTTAAACAAAACATAGTAGCCTTGAAGTGAATCCAGGAAATTTAGACAAACGAAATGAAATAATTGACTAATGCTTCTTCATTTTTAAAGTTTCATCAGATTACAAAGTTAGTCTTTGATGAGAACTATCTTCAAATGAAGTAATTACAAAAGAAACTAAACAAGCGTTAACACTACTTATAATGATAGATAGTGGCTAGCAGTGGAATCCAGGATATACATTTCGTCCTATTTTGGACTCGTCAGCTGGATGAAGCGATCGGTTCCGAGTTCGAATCCCAGTAGGAACAATATCACTCACTAAGAGGCAGGTACATCCAGCTAATGAGTTCCTAATATGACGGAATGTGCATGCTGGAGTCCACTGCCAGCCACTATATATCCTTACTATATAGAATTAAAACACCGGCAATATCGAGGCATTTAGGCAGGAGCCCTTCTGCCAAGAGAGACTGATCACTTCGGTCCAATCAACGACAGTATAACACAAGAAATAATACTATTAACATTAGTATTATTATTTCATGACATTAGTACAAACAACTTACAGCACGCGGTAGACTGATGCCTGTTTCCATTGTACCTAATCGACCATCTGAAATCTTGATGCTTACAATTTGTGCACCTGGAGCAACTCCATTCCGGTCATATGTATTATAATTGGATTTGGTTCCAGAAGCGTTAGCGGAACTTGAAGTAACATCGTTAGGAAAATAAGCTGCAGCTATTGCAGCAACATGAGTTCCATGACTACTGTTGTTTGTGACAATCTGTAATAATTTACCATTGTCAAAAACCTTCACAGTATAGTAAAGTTGGGCTGTAAGATAGTTGATAAGCATATGTCAAAGAAATTATTATATTTTACAGCAATAGTTAAAAGGGGAAAATTGGAATTATCCCAAATATTATCTAGAAGTGCATCACTATGACTACTGTCGTATTGAATACTTTGAAGTGGTCAACTTCGATTATCTTGTAAGTCTTAACCGATACCTTTGTACAGCCTAACCTGATAGTCAGAGACTTCATCAACGTTAGATGGTTGGAGAGAGTTGGTAAAACGTCCTGTATGACCTAGGTTTTGTGGTTCTTGGCAATCGTCAGTCAGGCATATCTATAACCTAAAGAGACAGTTGATGTCCCCTTAGATATTCGAACTAATGTCACCCATGGCTGCAGTTACAGACGTTTCCACTGACCTAATCGGACAGTGACTGACCTCCTTAAAAATGGATACGCTTCACTGATTAATCATTGGTGATTCAATTGTTCCATGACATCATCGACTGATGCGATGTCTTGATTCAAACATAATGAGATTTTTCCCCTTTTCTGTAACAGAAAGTTAAGATATCCAGTGGTTAAGACTGTTCAATGAATGCCTTAATCATCTCAGTAGACAGAATACCATCCATCAACTGATCTCTGTCCTTAGTCAGAAATCAACGTTACTCATACCCAAATCTCCACCAAAAGCGAGAGATACTTTGAAAGTGTTGATGATTAAACACTTCCTATCTCTGTACACCTTAAGGTATATGATCAAACAAAATACTATCGGGTTTTTATTACAAATTCAATTATGGAGAACGTTTTTACGTTAAAGTGTGGAATGTTGATAGTAAGCTGATTGCTGAGCTAGACTTTTAGCTGACAAAACCTTCAATAGTATATCATAACTAAAATTCTAAGACAAAAAACAGTCCACCCTGAGTAAGATTTCAATTACTTGCTCTTGATTACAGGGTGAGTAAGCTTCCCAAAAAAAGCAAAACAGGCGTTCGTCAACCTGAAACCAGTGTGGAGATATTTTGCACTCAGCATAAAGCGTGAACAGTATCCGGATTTTAAACACCAACTCATACAAGTCAGTGCTTCTATATGGTTCACAGACTTGGCGTATTACAAAAAGCATTTCCAACAAACTACAGATATTCATCAACAAATGCCCCCTATGCTCGATACTGAAGCTCAGATGGCCAGAATGAATAAGCAGCAAGGAACTCTGGCTGTCTGGCAACGAACTAACCAACAACCTATCACTCAACAAATAAACAGAAGAAAGTGGAGATGCATTGGGCGTTTATTGAGAAGACCATTAGGGGACATCACGTGCCAGGCACTCGAGTCGAACCCGGACGGGAAACGAAGAGTTGGGTGTCCAAGGCGACGGTGACATGGAGGTTCCTAGTGGAAGATACGGATTCATCAGCATATCTCCATTTCACTCTCTTCTCTGCAGTCTTCTCTTTTAACCAGGCTACGTGACCGTTTACAAGCTTTCATTTCTTCCTCACACCATCTACTCCATGTCACCCTCAGAGGCCAAACTCATCGTTTCTCATTTGGCTTCCACTCGATGGCCTCACCTGACGCGTGATGTTCCCACACCATCTTCTCGGCGTATGTCTAATCCAATCCAGTCCATCTCCACTCTCTTCCTATGCATATTTGTTGAGCGATACGTTCTTGGTTGGTTGGTTAGTTGCCACGCAGCCAGAGTCCCTTGTTGCTCATTCTTTCTCGCCATCTAATCTGATTTCCAGTATCTTGTGAGTCTAGGCAGCTGTTGATGAATGTCTGCAAATTGTTGAAAATGCTTTTCGTAACGCCCCAACTCTCTCAATCATCACATACAAGCACTGACTGACTTCAAAATCCGGATATTGTTCACGCTTTATGTTGAGTGCAGTTCAGTGCAGTGCATTGCAGTTTAGTGTAGTAGTTCTCCACACTGATTATTTCAGATTAATCAAGGAAGGCCTTTCTTACTGTCTTTCCAATCCTGGATTTGACATCTTCATCTGCGTCGCCACCGCCATCTATAGTTGAAACGATACTGCCTGCCTAGGTAGGCAGGTAGGTAAGTGAAAGAGACTACTTCCTTTAAACTTTCCCCCTTGATGGTGACTGGTGCTTGTTGGTGGTGGTGATGGTGGTTGGGTATCTTCATCACCTCTACCTCTGTCTTCTCGACGTTCACTTGATGGAAGTCCCATCTTCGCTGCCCTGCCTCTTCCATCAACTTGTTAGTCTTTGCGACAAGATATTAGACATAAACCATCATAATTGGAGAAATCCAAATCTTATAAGGTCTTCTCATCGGTCAAACAGTGTATCCACATCTTTTCACAGCTCCTCACACTTTCTTGCATCATCCAGTCGAGTCCAGTCAACCAGTCCACAATCACGAAGATCATCGGTGATAGTAGGCAGCAATCTTGTCTTATTCCCGTCTTCACTTCAAAGGCATCACTGAGCCTTTCATTATCAATCACTTGGCAGGTACCATCACATAGTATATAGCTACTGTTGGATGGGGTTGATAAAAGATTGTGGCACCAAAACCATAGTGCTGAACCAGCTGCCTGCCAAATTACTTCTCATTCAACACTATAGAAGCAAGGCCTTTTCGAAATCGATGAAGTTGAGGTAGAGTTGAGTTAACTGCCATTCTATGTTTTGTTCTATGATGATCCGTAGCGTAGCGTCACAGTTTGATTAGTCCTTCCTGAAGCCAGCAGACTTCTCCGGTAGTAATTTTGCACCCACAGCATATTTTAGTCTCTCCAGGATGACGCAGATTAATATTTCGTCTGCTTGGGGTCGACAGCAGCATGATTCCACGTCAGTTCCTGCAAAGACTCAGGTCTTCCTTCTTTGCAACTTTGTCAAGGTAGCCCTTCTTCCAACCAATGGCTAGGTACCTTTCCTTTATTCCTTCATTCCTTCCTTCCTTACGAACATTCTGCAGTAGTGGTATGAGCATGTCCGCCGTCATCTCTGCATGTTTTCAGTGCTTCTGTTCCGATTCCATCTGGTCCTGCTGCTTTCCCGATTTCAGTAGCTTCATGTCGTTCAGGACTTCCCTTCTGATTTTGTCGGACGGCTTGTGTTCACTGGTAGTTCTGCAGTTGCTGGTGGTATTTCCGGACAAGTTGCAGGTGGTGGTGGTGTGGTGGTGGTGGTCGATTCAAGAGTTTTCTGAAGTGCTCAGACCATCGTTTCGCTTCCTTTGTTTCTCCTCTTTGGTATCTAGGTTTCCTTCACTATCTTTCTTTGGTTTCATCTGTGTTGATCTCTTCTCAGGTAGTATTTCGGTTTTTTCATATAATGTTGTCAGGTCTCTGTCTCTCCTACCTGCAGTCTGTTCTGCTTCGGTTGCAAGTGTGTCGTAGAAGTGTCTTTTGTCTTTCCGCGCACTCTTTTTCACTTCTTCATCCAGTGTTGCGCTTTATAGGTTGTACTCAGTTCGTCTATTCGTTGTTCGTCCCTGCAATGTACTGCAGTGGTTCTTCTGCTTCGCTAATGGGGTCCCCCATAGGGACCTCCAATGGTAGATTGTTTTATGCCAAAATTGGATCATTCTAATCTCAAGCAATCTGTAGGTTAATCTGACATCGACAAAATATACATGGGTGTGTTTGTTATTTTTTAACGCAGATACCGATCTAGATAAAATCTCCAGCGCGTTCAACAATTGCCACTGAGCTTTGGAGTTCACCAAACAGACGGAATCGGAATCAGGTGTTTTTTTTCTTCACGAGTTAATTACCTGACGTAGTAATGGAACGCTAAGAAAATCCATCTACAGAAAATTCAAGTAGTACGGACAGCTGACTAATTTCTACGCTTGCGTGCCACCTTTGAAGAAAAGAAACCTTATTCACTTACCATGCTATTGAATACAAAATTTTCTTAGCACAGATAATGTGCAAGTGGAACCTATCATTTCGAGAAATACACTTACAAAAAGTAGCTATCTTAGCCGATTACTTGATAAAAATATGACAGAAAGACATGTGAAACCAGCCATCATTTCAGTTTCAGAAAAGACTTTGTTGGTGAATCTAGGATTCAAGGGTGGTGTTGAATTAGATATCCTGAAAAATCGTCTTTCGAGATCAATTAGCGGGGTATTTTTAGCAGTTAAACTTCATTTGATCTATACTAGCCCTCAGTTGTTCTCTGTAAGTGTAAAAGACAATATCCCTCGACAAGCAGTTACCTCCATGTCCATTTACCAGTTAGTTCACCTGTTCCTATGGGGCAAATTACATCGACCGTAGCCTGAGATTGCTATCAACACGTATACGAGAAAATATTCCAGTCTGTTTTAATAAAAGTGAAGGGAAATGGACTAGAGGCTCTATCCTTCAACATTTAATCGACTCCAACCATTCAGTTGATCTGAACCATGATTTAAAGGTTGCCTATCAAATTCGCTTAAACACTTCACATTTCCTCCATCCTCAGCTATTCACAAAACAAACTAGGACGTTTGTATGCAAAAAAGAAGGCTAAACAGTCTTTTTCTTCAATCTTAACCCTCGCTTTTTTCTAACTTAATTTCTTTCATTTCGCTCCTTAGTCATGCTTTTGTAATCTGTTTGCACTTTATGAACAAATAAAATGTCTGAAGTAACCCCTTTTTTCAAGTTAGTATTCATCACAGGTTGATATCAGTTGGAGGAAGACTGGAAACCTAGAAGCGCTGAACAGCTGTTTCAGTCCATGATGAATACAAACTTGCGGAATTACAGAATCCCCACAAACTCCGAAATGCAGTTGATCTAATGCACATTGGTGGCTAGCTTCGAGAGAAGATTCTTGAAGTTCCAATCAAAAGTCATGACCAGTGCGATAAACCTGATCGCCATTAGAACAAATACTCAACAAAGACATTGGGTGATAGTCACGCTATATCGTGAACTGATAGAAGTAGGAAATATGGACCATAGGATTTTGAACCACTACCTCAATGATTATGTGCTGGCTACGGAACCTGAAGGGACTGGGTTCGATCCTTGGTGGGTGCGTCATGGGTGCGTACTGCTGAGGAGTCGCATACTAGGACGAAACAACTGTCCAGTGCTTCCAAGTTTCCAACATTTCCCCAACATGTCAGTCCGTGATGAATTCCAACTGAAAAAATCATTAAACCCCTACAAACCACTAAAATCCAATTAACCTCTTTTTGTTTTCATTCAACCGTTATGTCATCAAGTAGTAACATTGTCATAACTATAATCTGACTGATAGATATCTCACCTTCTATTATCTAGGCTTATTTTTATTATTCACAGATTGTAGCCTTAAAATATTATATATATATATATATATATATATATATATATATATATATATATATATATATATATATATATATATATATATATATTCACGAGGGAACGTTGGGCATAGAGCTAGCAACCCTACTCCGGAAAACCAATCCAACCGCTAAAAAAACTTCAAAGCACAGACAAAATATCAAAGATAAAAACGAAATTATTCCTCGCTGGAATCGAAGAGGCGAAATGACGCCGGTTGGTGAAAGCCTGCCTTCGGGAAGCCAATTGGCCGATGTGTCTTCTCTCGATGAAAGCGAAAGTAAACATGGGACATGGAGTGTCCGCACTATGTTTAAACCTAGCAAGGTTGCCCAGATTGCAAAGGAGATGAGAAGGTATAGCACTGAAATGCTAGGAATCTGCGAAGGATCAACAACTGCCTACGCTGGCTAGTTACTCAAGCTCAGATCAGGTGGCCAGAATAATAAGAATAACCAACAAGGAACTCATTCCGGCAACAAACCAACCAACAACCCATCACCCAACAAATATGCAGAAGGAAGTGGAGATGGATTGGGTATGCACTGAGAAGACCATTCGGGGACATCACGCGACAGGCTGTAGAGTGGAACCCTGGTAGGAAACGACAAGTTGGGCATCCGAGGTGAGGGTGATATGGAGGAGATCATGTAAAGAAGAAATGAGAGCTTTTGGGCAGTCATGGAACCAGGTTGAAAAGATTGCAGAGAAGAGAGTGGAATGGAGACGTGCTAGTGAAGCCCTATGTTCCACTAGGAACCCAAGGGATAAATAATAATAGAATTATATATATATATATATATATATATATATATATATATATATATATATATATATATATATATATATATATATATATATATATATATATATATGAAAGTAAAGCTTGAGAACAGATACGTCAGAAAGAGTTGTCTGTGCCGAACATATTTTGCTTTTGACGTCACAATGGGAATAATGAATTTGCCTGGCATATAAACGTGTACAAAGCTGGCTTAAATGGTATCACTATTGATTTCACTACGTGTTTTGTGATTGACATTGATAACAGTATTATCAAATACTTTTGCATAGACAGATGAGAATAAAGAATACAAGTCATTCAGTAAAGACTTGACAGTTCAAGATCTACGGTATAAAGCCATAAATAATCTCTCTATGAAAACCAACTTGACTAGGTGGGGAAGTTTAGCTGGAACTAGTTATCTTGACAGCAGACTGCTTAATAACGCCAAGTATGAAACGTAAATAAGTATACCGTTAAAGTTAAAATAACTTACTTTGTTCACCAAATGATGCATATTCACGATTAACTGTATAATCTCTTAATAACGGCAGATCAGATAATGTTTTGTTTGGATCATATGGGCTTGTATCTACGCATGCACTGGAATGTAATGAAAGAATTAATAAGTGAATGTAAGGCGAAGGGGATGAGAATAGATAATGACACATAAATACACACGAATTAGCATTCGTTTCAATCAGATCAACCTATTGAGATGGATTAAATAGAAGAAAGTGAATGGATATAACACACAAGGATTCGCTGGATGTAGTTATAAATACAAATGGGTAAAACACGCGAAAGATGACTGTAGTATAAAGTAATCTAATGGCGCAATGGAATTTCAGCATTAGGAATGCCAAATGTCTCAGCCATACAACAGGAAAGAACGAACTGCAGAGCAGTATACTCTTCCTTCGATGGGCAGCTGGATATCTCGCCAGCCGGAGCCAGAGATGACTCGAACTGGTGAGTTCCGAATGGGTCTTCTGTATCCGAGCTAAGATTTTGTCAGCAACCAGCCCGTTAGGGCTGATACAACACTCCAAGTAAGTGCACTGGTCGACACATTCCACCACTTCACTCCCTATCTTTGTAAAAAGGAATGGCTACACATCAGTCCTGCAGCATCATTTAACATTTCATAGATGAGAGAGAAACGTATGCCAAACGTACTCAGATTTCTGCTCAACGCGTTTAGAAGACTGCAATTTGTCAGAGTGTCCACCCAACAAAACAAATTAACCAGATGATCTTCAGTGAGTAGGTCCATTCCTATGAAGTCAGACATATCTTATATCCATTACTAACGTCTATAATGAAGTTAAGTAAAAACAGTGACAACGTCACCACTAGTTGTTTTCAAATATGATGGAAATTGTCACGGTGGCATGGGTTCGAGTAGATGTATGTAGTTTGTTGGAAATGCTTTTCTTAACGCTCTAACTCTCTCAACCACCGCATAGAAGCATTGACCTCACTGAAGTAGTCTTGAAAATCTGGATCTTTTTCTTTAAGCTGAGTGCATGCAGTGCAGTAGATCTCTACACTGATTTCAAGTTAATTAAGGTTTGTCTTGCTGCCTTTCCGGTCCTGGCTTCGATGTCCTCATCTGTGCGGCCGCCATCTGTAGTTGAAACGATGCTGACTAGGTAGGTGGAAGAAACTACTTCCTTTGGGTTTCTCCTGTTGGTGGTAATTGGTGTTTATTATTGGCGATGGCGGTTGGGTATCTTCATCACCTCTGTCTCCTCGACGTTCACTTGAATTCCTGTCTTTGCTGTCCTATCTATTCTGCCAACTTGTTGGTTTTCGCCCTATACAGTTTGGGACTACTCAAATTTATGAGAAATACATCTTTGTGAGATGAAACAGGGCGAGTTAGAGGATATGAACTTCTGAAAAAAAGTACTGAATAGTGAGTACACCGAATCATGAACTGGCAGCAGAGGAGAGTGTAGACGGGAGGAAAGTCTGGTTAAAAACGACAGCAATAATAATAATTTTGTTTTAGAAAGAAAGAAAAGAGAACGGGAACGAAAACAGAGGAGAAGAAGAAAGATTCAAAACGAAAGAAAAGGGTTTAAGGGAGGCTAAAGGAGGGATAGGGCTTGGACATGTTGTCTTTGAATACAAAGGTCAGGCTTATTTGATCTTATAGCTACAGCTTTCGCTATATGGAGAATGAGTTTTAAACGAATGACCGGTGGCAAAGTCTATGGAACGAGGTGTATCACAGTAAAATCTGTGCTAGAATCTATCTAGTTTCCTTTATCTATTAGATATGCTAGTATACAACTTCCAATGGACTTCACTTGACCCTTTACAAATCATGTTGGTATATATTCTCGTATCCCGAGACGGATGTGTCTAGTGGTGCGCCGCATATAACTTGTTCCACAGGAATAGATGAATTGGTAAATACATGATGATGAGTTCAAACTAGGTAAGGTGTCCTTAAATTTCCGGTTGAGCAACGGTTGGCTATTAAACCACAGGCAGAAACGTTGTGACATGATTTTACTCAGTATATCTTCTTCGGGTTTCAGACCCAAAAAACAAAGGTTTTATCAGAACGCTTGACTATTCATGTTTTTGAGCACTATGAGCGATATTTGCTTTTTAGGTTGGAATTCATCATGTACTAACATCAGTTGAAGGAATATTAGGAACCTGGGAGCAGTGGACAACTGTTTCATCCTGGTATACTACTCCTCAGCAGTGCGCACCTATGACCCCACCCACCCCACAAGGGATCGAACTCAGGAACTTCAGGTTTCGTGGCCAGCACGTTACCATTCAGCCAGTGGATCAGAATCTGATGATTCATATTTCCTATTTTCGTCAGTTCACGACATAGCGCGATCTTCATCCAATGTCATCGACAAGTAACTGCCCTCATGTTCGACCTGTTTGACTTCACTGGCCACAACTTCTCACTGGAACCTCAGGAATCACCACACTCACCAATGAGCACCAGACGAATTGTCTGGAGGTTTGTGGAGATTTATTAACTGACTTCAGGTTGGCAATAATCTGGCGTTCATTGGTGACTAGCTTCGAGAGGTGATTCCCAAAGTTTCAAAAAGAAGTCATGGCCAGTAGAGTCAAACAAGTCGAAAATGAGGACAATCCCTCGACGACCACATTGGATGAAGGTCGCGCTATATCACGAACTGATAGAAGCAGGAGATATAAACCACTGGATTTCAATCCAGTGGCTCAATGGCAACATGCTGGTGATGGAACCTGAAGGTTCTGGGTTCGGTCCCTGGTAGGGTGGGCAGGGTCATGGGTGCGCACTGCTGAAATGTAGTATACCAGAACGAAACAGATGTCCGCTGCTCCCAGATTTCTAATGTTTCTCTAACTGGTGTCTGTCTATGGTGAATTCCAACTTAAAATCAAATAATAAAAGTCTCTACAAACTTCCAGATACAATAAGGATTAATTACAACAATATCATTATTATATAATTATACAGTTTTACACAATTCGACTTACACCCATTCATTGCCATTATGAAAAACAAAACAATCATAAACAATCTCCATTGGTGAATAATGCTGATCCAGAAGGAATAAACTATCCTCTAGACTTCGAGCAGCCGCTTTCAGTTGAACCTTTAGTTTATGGATAAATAATAAAGAAAAATATAATTTTGAAGAGAATCAAATCAAATCTGTTCCACTATTAAAAGTGAATTGATATGTGTAGTACGTTTAAAAAACTGATTTATATCAGAAAATTCCATGGAAAGTTTAAAATGAAATTGTCTATTAAGTCCTTGAATATTGAATGACCTTCAACACTTACTGGAAGGCAGGCATATCTAACTGAAGAGTCATGAATGGGACGAAACATGCATCCAGCATTCCACCACTAGTCTTTCTTCTTTGCAACTTTGTCAAGGTAGCCCTTCTTCCAACCAATGGCTAGGTACCTTTCCTTTATTCCTTCATTCCTTCCTTCCTTACGAACATTCTGCAGTAGTGGTATGAGCATGTCCGCCGTCATCTCTGCATGTTTTCAGTGCTTCTGTTCCGATTCCATCTGGTCCTGCTGCTTTCCCGATTTCAGTAGCTTCATGTCGTTCAGGACTTCCCTTCTGATTTTGTCGGACGGCTTGTGTTCACTGGTAGTTCTGCAGTTGCTGGTGGTATTTCCGGACGAGTTGCAGGTGGTGGTGGTGTGGTGGTGGTGGTCGATTCAAGAGTTTTCTGAAGTGCTCAGACCATCGTTTCGCTTCCTTTGTTTCTCCTCTTTGGTATCTAGGTTTCCTTCACTATCTTTCTTTGGTTTCATCTGTGTTGATCTCTTCTCAGGTAGTATTTCGGTTTTTTCATATAATGTTGTCAGGTCTCTGTCTCTCCTACCTGCAGTCTGTTCTGCTTCGGTTGCAAGTGTGTCGTAGAAGTGTCTTTTGTCTTTCTGCGCACTTCTAAGAATTTTGATGTCGCCGAGTGCAGTCTTGTCTAGTACAGATTGCAATTGTCTATAGAATTCCTCCTTCTTCTCTTGATCTGCATTATTTGTTGGCGCTTAGCGTCGAATGATTGTGACTTTCTTTCCTTTTGATTTGAACTTTGCTGTGATGATCCTGATCGTGGAGGAGGAGATTGGTTCCCTTTGCCTGAGAGCCTTCAATGCTGTTGCGGACATCATGATAGCCACTCTAAAACTCAGTGTGCTCGTGGTTGTCGTTTGGGTGACAATATCGGAGTAGATTATTGACTGCTCTGCAGTTGACAGTTTGGAGAGTCCACTGCCATTCCATCTGCTTATCCCTCCCAGATTCCTTGCACTTCTATGCTTCACCTTCTCATCTCTTTGGCAATCTAGGCAGCCTTGCCAGTCAGCCAGTTTCAAACATTGTTCGGACATTCCATGTCCCCATTCTTACTTTCGCTTTCTTCGAGAGAGAGAGAGAGAGAGAGAGAGAAGATACATTGGTCAATTGGCTTCCCGAAGGCTTTTACCAACTGGCGTCATTTCAACTCTCCAATTCCAGCGAGGAATAAATTTAATTTTATGTGTTATATTTTCTTTGTGCTTCAAAGTTTGTTTATCGGTTAGATTGGTTTTCCGGGGTAGGGTTGCTAGCCGTATGCCCATCCTTCTCTGTTTATCGGGGCTTAGGACGGGTTAGTCAACTAGTGAACTAGTTAAGTCAAATATAATTGGGTGGAGAGAGAGAGAGAGAGAGAGCGTGATAACTGAGTATTTGTCCATCGAATCAACCAATACCCAGGACATGCAATATGAATAGTTCAACACATATACTAGGGACATGGGATGTTTTACCACTAATAAAAGCAGAGAATATAAAGTGGGTGATAAAATTATAAAAGAAGCAGATGTTGGAAGGAGTTTGATTACATTGTAATGATTATAAGCAATTATAATTTATGCTCGAAACCTCACCAACACTGCACCCTATATATCAAATAAACAAGTCTATTGGGGAATTTAATCCCACTACAGTCTTAGTGGGAATAACATCACTCACTGAGATGCACATACATTCGGCTGAAGAGTCAGATAGAACAAAACCTGTATCGTGAATTCCATTACTAGCCACTATGCATTATCAATATCAACTACCCGCTAACTATGGTGTCAACGGTGTTTCCTATAGGAAACAATCCAAACGAGATCAAGAATGTCATCTTTGCTACAAAAGTATCATGAAGTAACTAAATATACTACTGAATAACATAAGTAGTTAGAAAACACTCATGCTGGGCATAACCTGAGTTCAGTCCCTGGAGAGGTCATGTATGTACTGCTGAGGAGTCCCATACTAGGACGAAATAACTGCCAGATTTTCAATTCTCTTCCAACTAATATCAGTCCATAACCAATACTATCTTGATAATAATAAAAAAAAGTACAACATAAATAAAAGTGTAATATTAATCTGTGAAAAGTTATTTCTTACCTTTGCAGCAGATGGTGTTAAACCAGACTTGTCTAGATGACGCTTTGATGAATTTTTATCTTTTAACTGTTTAGAAAGATTAGACTTTGTTTGAGATGAAAAAGTCTCAATCTTTTGTTCCATGCGAGAGTTTTCCTGGTCATTTAACGTTTTATTTATATTAGTTTGAATAGTTTCCCTAAGATTATCTAAAATATTAGGAAGATATAAAAATGTAATGATAACTCTTTTCCCTACAATTAATTTAAATATACTTCTGATCATTAAATGTGAATCCTCAGAAGTGAAAACCCATGACCCCTCCCATCCCGCCAAGAATCCAACTCATGGCCTTTAGGTTCCGTGGTCATCAAGTTTTCGTTGAGCCACTGGATTGGAAATCAATGGTCTATATTTGCTACTAATGTCAGTTCACGATGTAGCGCGACCTATATCCAATATCTTTATTGACTAACTGTCCTTATGTTCCACTTGTTTACCTCCAGTGGTCACGACTTTTTATTGGAACTTTAAAATTTCGACGAATTTCTTTAAATAACGAAAATGTACTTAACAGTATCGTGTGAGGAATAAATGAGAGGTTGTAGGCAGTCGTGGAGCCAGGTTAAAAGGATTGCAGAGAAGAGAGTGGAATGAAGACGTGCTAGTGAAGCTCTATGTTCCACTAGGAACCCAAAGGATAAATAATAATAATATAATAATTTAAAATTTTGAAGCCTATAGGCAGCATGATTCCACGGGTCTATGGTCTACCAAAAATACACAAACAAACCTCAGGTGCCTCTTCGCTCTATACTAGACACGACCAACTCTCCTTACCATGCCATCGTTGAATGGTTAGTACAATCATTTCAACCTTTGCCGGATCAGTTAGCAAAGTATACCATGAAAAAAACCTTCCAGTTTGTAGACAGAATTAAAAATTTGAATGTTTTCAACAAATGCATGGGATCCCTACATGTCACATCTTTGTTCACTAACGTCCCTATATGAACGTGAAGGAACTATTTCTAAAATGTACAATGAATGTCCAGTTCATCTAGGCCACAGGGACATGGAAGCAACTTCACCGAGCATATCAACAGGAAATAAAAAGTAGCAATAAACAACAACTGATACCCTTTGCACATGAGATGGCTATCGTGCCGCAGTGGCTTAATGAAGTGATGAGTACTAGATTCGATTTTGACGAGTTCCAAGACAAGACGAAGCATATATTCTGAATTTAACCGCTAGCCACTAAGTAAACTATTACATAATGAGTATTAAGGCAATATCGAAGCATCCACAGAGGAGCCCATCTAGTATTGCAACGAGAAATCATAAATATCCATAAATAAGACGAAAATAAACGAAATACATACTTCACCAAAATGCTTAACACTGCATAAATGATTACGTCATGTCCCATTGTGTGTGTGTGTGGACACACATACATAAGGAGGAGTAATCGAGTCATGCAGTTGAGGTCGAGAGAACATATACACATATAAATGGCTTCAAAAATAAGTGAAGTGTGAAATTGTGATAAACGCTGGAGTGAGATGACCATCTTCATCTATAGCTAAACATATCATAGAGACAGATCACAAAATTAATGTTCAAACATCTTTCAAAGCTTTCAAGCAGAAACAGTCATGGACACATACTGAGATTCTTAGAGGTGATAGCCGCCACCTTCATGTGTATAGAAACAGTTTGTTCTGACACTACATCTACCTACCTTAAGTAAACTCTGTTTTCTTACTAAGACTGGGATCAACTATGTTACTCTTTCTGTTTCTTCTCATCTTTCTTAATTTTAATCCCCTACTTGTGTTAATTGTTGTATTGTCCCCCTCCCCCCCTCCATGCACTTCTCGGTTTAATATATATTGATTAGAGACAAGTAAATGTGTGAGAGATGAAATTATTCGAAATGTTGTACTGCACAAATGCATTATACAAACACATTGTTCAGATAAACTTCATCTTCTAATTACGCTATCGAAATAAATTTATATAAATATTCACCTTCATCTGTGCTTAAGTTTGACATATATTTATAATTTTGTGTTATCTCACTTATATACTCTTCAGCTTCATCCATATCACAAGCTAAGTTAGCCATTAAACGTTTAATGCTTGGCCGCCAGAAATTATCTCGATTTTCATTACGTAGTCTTTGCATTAAAGGTTTGGGAAAGAGTTCTGAGGCAAGTTTCACGCCAACTCTTATTGTATTATCCGATGGATTCCAATGACTTGGTATCTACAATACAGAATGTACAGAAAACAGTTTATCTTTTCAGTTGTATAGAAACTTTAAGAGAAATACCAACATACTGTCTTACATATACATATATACACACATTGGAATTGATGATATCACATATATAGACGAGATCAAAGGAAGCATACTTGGTTAGCAACTAAGTAGTTAGTTTCAAAGATAGAATAATGAAGAGAATACAGAATTGGAGCGAAGAATAATTGAACAAGACTTGTCTAACTATAAAAGAAAGCGTCGGTTAGATAAACTACATGATAAATGAGTGATTAAATGATGCGAGAATGGACCAAACTAGAAAGATGAGAATGAAATCATATGATGCTCGTTCTAGTATTTATTTAGCTTTAGCTTAATGATGAAATGTTCACTATAAAATATCAAAGCTCAGAGAACACTAACACCACCCATGTAAGTCCTCCCCAGTGCTTCCTTTAATCAATAATTATAATAATCTAAGCAGAAAAATAAAGGTATTAGATGTCAACCGACAAGTAATTTGGCAGCTGCTTCAACACTACGGTTTTATTACCACAAACATTTATCAACCTCATTCAACAACTATATGAAGACGCCACATGCCAAGTGATTGACAATGGGAAGCTCAATGACGCCTTTGAAGTGAAGACAAGAGTAAAACAAGGCTGTCTACTATCACCCATCATCCTGATTGTGGTCGACTGGATCATGCAGCAAACCGTGAGGAGCGAGAAGAGAGGCATACACTGTTTGACCTATGAAAAGACCCCAGAACAAGATTCGGATTTCGCCGATAATGATATATGTCTAGTGTCTTGTAGCTCAAGCTCGAAGATCTACAGGCAAAAAGCAACAAGTTGACAGGAGAGGCAGCGAAGACGAAACTTCCTTCAAGTGAACGTCGAGAAGATAGAAGTGATGAACATACCCAACTAATAACAACAAGCACCAATCACCATCAATGAGAGAAATCTAAACGAAGTTATCTCTTCCACCTACCTACCTACATAGGCAGCATCGTTTCAACTACTGGCTGCGGCCGCACAAATGAGAACGTCGAAGCCAGGATCGGGAAAGCGAGACAGGCTTTCATGAATCTGAAATAATTAGTGTGCAAATCTACTACACTGCACTCAGCGTAAAGCGTGAACAACATCCGAATTTTCAACACCAATCCAGTCAAGTCAGTGCTTCTATATGGTTCAGAAACTTGGTTCATTACGAAAAGCATTTCCAACAAACTACAGACATTCGTCAACAGCTGCCTGCACTCGTTACTGAAGCTTAGATGGCCAGAAAGAGTAAGTAACAAGGATCTCTGGCTGGCTGGCAACAAACCAACCAACAGCCTTTCGCCTAACAAATATGCGGAAGAAAGTGGAGATGGATTGGATCGGATATACACTGAGAAGACGGTTTGGGGATATCATGAATCAAGCCAGGACGTCGAGTTGGGCGTCCGAGAGGAGGGTAACATGGAGGAGAGCGTGTGAGGAAGAAATGAAAGGTAATGGGCAGTTGTGGGGCTAGGTTAAGAAGACTGGAGAGAAGAGAGTGGAATGGCGACGTGGTACTGAAACCGTATCTCCTACTAGGAACCCAAGAGATAAACAATAATAATGGATGTCAGGAGTCAACTGTCACGAAATCCTCTTCAATCTAGGTTTCATCTTTGTTGGCAGTGGGTTTGTGCCTCATTGGTCTAGGCAGTTAACTTTTAACCGACAAGTCACGGGTTCGAAACCAGCTACACCCACCATGGCTCCAATACGATTTGTATAAATCAACTTCGATATTTCGTAACAGCTATGTATCGGATTACTTTAATGAAGTCTTCCCTGTAGATCACAATGATACAGTACTTAATAGTGGTGTCAGCAATGCCAAACCAATGGATACAGTATTCATAACAAAAGAAACAGTCTCACAGTTCCTCATTAATCTTAAACTTGGAAAATCCGAGGGACTCTATGAGTTACACTCTATATTGATATCTTTGCTGGCGGATATTATATCTGGGCCAGTCGCTGGTCTTTTCATTATGTCCCTATCTTAGTGTTATGGGTTCGATGCGCTTATAGTATATGTATATATTCCGAAACGAATATAATACGCGCGCTTAGCTGATAGCTAACTTGGTACGCAAGAGACACTGGCTGCAACCCCGGGACGAATAGAGAGAAGATCGAAGCTGGTAGGTGGGAGAGTGGTTTTACTCCGAGAATATAATATAGTAACAATGAATCAATCCAAAACACGTGAATAAGTATACACATGAAAACTGACTTTGTCCGCAATTGGAGAAATTCGCATAGTAAAAGTTAACCAATCAGCGAATTACATTACAATGGAGACAGAAATAGACTATTAGTCATACCGTAAAAATAATGTGGGAATGATATGTTAAAATGTTCGGATCGATAACAATGTTTTATACAAAACTGGGGCATCACAACACTTAGAACCGCCACTCTAGAGACTGGAAAGATGCCATAATCAGCCGAGTTTTTAAGGCAAGTAGTCGCCAGTTGGTGGCTAACTATCGCCCTATGAGTCTAACTAGTATAGTTATCAAGGTTTTAGAAAAAATTATTCGTGATAAGGTACTTAAACATGTTGAATCAACTAGTCTGTTGGTACCATAGCAACATGCTTTTCGCACTAGACGCACCTGTTTAACAAACTTCCTTATGGCAAGGAGGGAATGGATTGTAGCCCGTGGTTGCAAGCTGCCAATAAATACCGTATTTATAGACTTCAGTAAGGTATTCGACAAAGTGTCGCATGTGAAATTACCAGGATAGCTCTCCTCTTTTGGGTTTGGTGCTTCATTACAAGCCTGGATTAGGGACTATCTGTACGATAGAAGGCAAAGAGTGAGGGTTAATGGGATACTGTTCGAATGGAAACCTATGATGAATGGATTTCCTCAAGTAAGAATCCTAGGTCCACTACTTTACTTGCTACATGTCAACGAATTACCAAAACTACTCAACTCATTAGTGTTGATATTCGCCGATGATGTAAAGGTTTGGAGAGCTATACGTAATGATGCTGATAGGCATACACTACAAGTGGATTTGGATGAACTGGTAGGCTGATCCAAACGTTGGTGCCTGGAAATCAACTCTAATAAAAGTGCAATAATCCACACTGGTCATAACAATTGTTTCCGGTATACCGTTGATGGTACACCAATACTCCCAGTCTTTGAACTGAAAGATTTAAATGTCATCATAAGTCATGATTTGAAAAACCTCGGAGAGATGTAATGCAGCTGCAGCAAAGGGCTTCCACGTATTATGCTCCACCCGCAAAGCTTTCAAAAGTTTCGATCAAGACATGTTCAGAATACTCTATTCTACTTACGTTAGACCTCACTAGGAATACTGCATTCAGACTGCCAGTCCATGTCTAAAAAGGATACTGACGTACTCAAACGTGTTCATAGGGTAGATACTAAGCTTATGGTAGGACTTTAGAATCTGTCCCCTGAGGAAGGACGAGATCGGCTAAACTTATTTCCACTATCTTACCATAAAAAACGGGGTGATCTTAAACTGGCATTTCGTATCCTTAGTAATGACTTCGGTAATGATATATGCTATCTTTTCTCCCCTGCTAGGATTGACTATCTATGAGGGCATCACAAGAAAATTCGAAAAACTGCAATCGGATCAACTTAGAGTAAATCTGTGTTTCTCCGATAGTGTAGTCAACGCCTGAAACTCCTTACCTCAGCAAGTATTATCACCATCTTTTGTCAACGCATTCAAGGAGAAACTAGATTTTCACAGGGATATCTTCTGCAAGAATTACCACAGGTCAACTGGCCTACTATCCTTATAACTAATAACTGAAAACTTTATGTCAAAACTCTATTCTTGGCGAAACTATCCATGACATAACAAATTCATAGTGTTTCGTACCTTCACTTTACGCCCCGTCAGTGTTTCAATAATACGATTTTCTCCGTCTATGTATCGTTTACACTTCATTTTCACATCACCAGAACCTGAAGCATCGATCATATCCACAATTTTCGGTCTTCCATCCGGTGTAATCTAAATATTAGAGCAAAATGAATTACAAATAACTTCTATTTGCTTGAATATATATAAACTAGAAATGTTTTGTAGGGCGAAATTCAAGGAATGGGTAATACATTTCTGAAGGAATGAAATAACGCTATGAAAAGAGGACTTGTCTAGTGATTTAAACTTAATTGTTGAGTTAAAAAGTAATTTTTTTGGAGGCCACCAATTTTTTATAGCCCAGTCCAACAGAGAGACATTCACAAGTTGAATAAGAATGGAGAGAATGAACATGCTTGACGCATACAATTCACGTGGTAATTCACTACAGACTCCAACATCCCTACGGGGGTTCGATTATAGAGACTTCAACAGAGTTATATACTTACTCCGCACTCTGTAGGTGGAGTTTAATGCCGTTTAATGTCATCTGACCTTACAGGGATTGACCTGGTCACAGAAGAAATTTCGGTAGTCCCAGAATATGCAGATGACGTAGTTCTGTTAGGTGAAGACACTGACAAGATGCAGAGTTCTTTAGACACCTTGAGAGGCAATCTGAGAATGTTTAGAATGCGTTTCTCGTCACACAAATGCAAACCGCTGCTCCAAGATTGGTCTTCAACGGTGCCCCGGTTAACAATAGAGAAGGAAGTGGTTGAGTGCGTTGAACAGTTCACTTACCTGGGAAGTCAGATCATTTCTGGTGGCTCAATGGCCGACAAAATCTATGCACGGATACAAACGTTTCAGCTGGCTTTCACCAACTTACACCATATATAACGCTGCTGAGATATCCGATTGCCTATAAAGGGCCAGGTGCACTGTGCAGCAGTCCACTCTGTTCTGCTCTGTGGCTGTGAAACAAAGCCATTAAAAGGGAGAAGACATGAGAAGTCTTCAAGTGTTTGACCACCGTTGCCTTTGTAGCATAGGCTGTATTCCGTGGTGTCACCACGTGAGTAACGCAGAAGTCAGGTGTAGAGTTTTAGGCAGGGGAGGTAAGGCAGTTCATGTATTCGTGAACCTCGATCGACTGAGATGTCCAGGACATGTGTTACGTATGCCTGACCACCGTCTGCCTCATCGCACAATGTTAACCGAAGTAGGTTCAAGCTGGAAGAAGACTGAGGGTGGCCAGGCTAAAACATGGTATAAATGCATGAAGTCCTTGACTGCTCGTTTGAGCCATGCAGGGTGATGCAGACTAGACGGCAGGGGTCCGTAGGATAAGAGAAACGAATGGTTGGTCCTCATTCCTCCTCCCTCTCTTTTACTACTTTCTACTCCTTTAGAACAATTTTTCTTCCGTTCTTCATTTTATCATCTTATTACTTGATATGCTGTTGAGATGTGGCTACTTGGACCGTTATGCAGTAATGCCTGGTCCAATGTTGATTTTGATGACCATGATGATGTCTATGCCAGAAGTTGAAGCTGACTAGAAACGAGTTTTGAACTGAGGAAGACTGAAGACGTTCTCCATTATCTGACCCGCAACCAACTAATCTCTACTTATCACCAAAACACCCTCCTTTAAGTCTAGACGCCCAACCTGTACATTCAAGTCCCCAGCTAGCATTACGCCACTGCCGAACGCACCTGGTAGAGATTAATCAGTTGATGGTAGAACTCATCCTTAAGTGCATCTGACTCGTAGTCAGTCAGGGTTTAGGCAGGGATGAGAAAAGAAAATCGTTTGCTTCTCCAGTTACTTCTCAATTTAATCGCACTGTCTAGTCTAGCAGCACGTGAACAACTGCCAACGGGGATCGGGTTGACAAATGCATACATGACTCTAGCAATTGGTGCAACATCAAGAAGGCTGGTTGACGATGTTGGAGTCTCTGGATAGATGTACTGTGATTTGAGGGTATTCGCACAAAGTTATGGAACAACACTTACCTAATTCTGTGGGAAGACTAATTTTGATGGTGTTGTGATTTCTGAGTTGGACGTTGTAAACAGGCAGCTTTCATTGTCATTCTAGACGACGTTATCAGCAAAAACTTATGAAAGAAATCTTGTAGCTTTTCCTGATGTCATTAGGTATAATTTGTTGTTGCTGTTATAATGTTGTTGTTGTCTGCACATGTATTTCGGTTGACTGTCTTGCTGACCTGAACTTTAAGGTCTTTGTTGCTTCTTATGATTCATATTGGTCGGTCAACCAGGTCAATGCCAACTGCCTACTGATCGCTGCCTAACCTCACTACCGAACTTTTAAAAGTTTTCTAGCATTCTATGTATTTCTTCTATTAAAGATTTCGTTATTTTCCCCGTCAAATTAATGTCCACAATAGTCTACATGCATTGATATAAGCTAGGGTACACCATCATGCTTCAGTGTTAGTCACGCACTGTTCTGAGGGAGAAACGCTCCTATTCTTATTCAGTCCAAGTGTCTCATCGCGTTATTATCCTTCGCATATCCAGTATTATTCATTCGCTTGCTTCAAGAATTGACGGCAACTAGTGGTGTCAGCCAGGAATACCCCCTATCGCTGTTCCTACTTACCTACGTTATATATATCCTAATGTAAACAGCCTCGGGTATGTCCGACTTCACAGAGATTGATCTACTCCACGGAATGCATCTGAATGAATAGGAGTGTGCGAATGGCACTGTCTTGCCACGTGAAGATGCTGAAAAAATGCAGCGCGTTGAACACAAATCTAAGTATGTTTCCCCAGCATCATTTTACACCTGTCAAATGTAAGCTGGTGCTAGAGGATTGGTCTGCAACCACTCCAATATCAAGGATAAGGAGTAGTACGGTGGATTCCGTTGACTGCTTCACTTACTTGAGGAGTTGCACTAGCTGCTGAAGAAATCTCAGCTCAGATTTAGAAAGCCCGCTTCGCACTTGCTAACTTATATCATATATGTTTTCGACTGGCAAGCTATTCAACTATCTATAAAGGGACAATTGCACTGAACTGCATTTCCTTCTGACCCGTTATGCGGTTGATGCATGGCCATTAAAAGTAGGACATGAAGCGATTACAGGGTTGTATACCACAGATGTCTTCGCACTATTGCCTCGGTTTGGTGGAACCAATATGTCAGCAATGTTCAGGTTAGGGGAAGGGTACTAGGTGGGACAAACAATCCAACTGGCGAGGTCGTGAACCTCAAAGGGCGGTGGCCCGGCACGCACAATACATATCCAAGCCACCACCACCACTGAGTGTATTCATATTGAAACCCTGACTTTCATGGCTTCAGTAGGCTACAAATATCCCCTAAAAGGCTCCCACACCGCTCACAGTTAACTCGCCCTGGGAGCAGCTGCAAGACGTGGAGAGGTAGCCAGTCTATGGCGTGGTACCGCGGGACAAAGGATAGTATTGTTGGATTAGTGTCCGTCGTTACCTTACAACTCTCTATATTATGTAACTCAGCGATGATAGCATACATGCTTCAGCGTCGAGACTAGTGGCGATCGTGCTCCACCTTTTTTCTTCCATCATGAAGGAAAGTAGTGAATCCTTCCCTGAATGTTTTCTTGAGACTGCCGCCTCATCAACCCGTTTCGGTCTTCATTCCCATTCTTTGCTCCGTTGTTTGTATCTTCTTTTTGTTGCTTTATTACTTTGTATGGTGCATCTCTTGATGCCTATGTTCTACCAAGTTTGTGTCCCGAATAGTGACAACAATATTAATTGCACTGAGGAAAAACCTCAAGGACGATTCCGTGTTTTCACTACTGAATATGGCTTATAGGCAAGAGCAATAGACTTTGAAGCAAAACGTCATGGGTGCAAATCTCATCCCATCCACTTCACCCTGGTTAACTGGGTAGTATCATAAACCCTCACACAGTTAGTGTGGCTTATATTCTAGTTAATAAACCCGCACCAGGTTGAGTTACATTACAGCTTACCACTTGGTGAACTGGAAGTTCATGAAAACCATCTCCCTGTCCCATTTAAGCGCTATGTTGTTTCTATATGTCAACTGTCCCATTTAGTACTGATATATATTTTACTTTCGCGCTAAATGCTTTGCTGGACAATGCTTGCGTGAATATGTAGGAGGACCAGTAGAATTGCCAAGTTTTATTACGTGGGTCTGAAGCGATTATCAAAATAAACATGCGCGTCATTTCGACATAAAAGTGTACATATCAGTGACCCTTTATGCTAGACTTCAGAGACACAAACAAAGCATTTTTGCTCACTGTACGGACCATTCGACTTTAACAATTTAATTGTTCATGCCCTGGAAGACATTTCGTAAGATAACAAGTAAATTGAGTGGTGCAAAAAAGTTCAAAGTCTGCTATTTGTAATTACCCAGAGAAAAGTTAAGACCACAAAAGTTTAACTAAAACTCTCTGCCTATTTCAGCCAAAAATCACTCCAGACCAACTTTAGACGCCAAGAAGTTTGTTTTCAGCTACATACCTGAAACAGTATTTTCGTTCGGAGAACGTCATGTAACAAAGTAACAAAACTTAGAGAAAAGTCGCTTTACTGTACATTACAGGCGTTCTAATGGGGTCAAAATTTGAGTACAACTAAAAACGAATGTCTGCTACCCACTATCTTATAAGCAGAGAAGACATTTTCTCTTTCAAGAGTCACGTTTTGGATGTGGCTTCGCGTCAATGAGGCGCATTCGGTGGTATGATGACAATACATGGTGAACTCACAATATTTTCTAACGATAAATATAACCTTTACTGCACAACCTTATCTTTCGAAAAGCCAGCGGCAGCAAACGTTGCGTTGCACATATGCGTAAGCTAGTTTCGCTATACCGAGATGGTAGTGTACGCAACATGAAAAAAACATTTCCTATTTTATAACACAAAATAGATCCGTACAAGTTTATATTATACGTTGTAACGTGAAAGTATACCTTTGCTGATGATAGATTGAAATAGATAGAATTCAGACTTCTAGTGTATATTCGGTTCTGTTTCCCACACCCTGGTCTTTCCATACGTTACTAAGACCAATAAAAGCTCTACAACTCAAGACTACAGTGGGATAATCTATTTTTTAATATATTACTCAGTAAGAAGCGCAGTGGTATTCAGTAGCAAATGATCGCGAACAGGTGGATAAGTAAACTTTTACCATATGATTAAGCGTGAGGTTTAAGCCTGACGTGGTACCACCCGTGCATTCAGTTAGAAACTAGGGTGAATTTGGTCAGCAGTAAATTACTCAAATATCACGAATAGGTGTCCGAAAAATAATGAGGTACAGGTGTTTGTAGCCAATTACGAAAAATTAGCGCCAAGAACCGAAAATAGCGTTACGAAAATGAAAATATTTTGTATGGTTATCGACGCCGAAAAATCTCACATTTTTAAGTAATAAGGTTTCTAACCTGTAGGCCAGCAGCAGTTGGATCAATACCTGTATCCCACACTGCAATCTTAGTTAGAGATCCATCCCATTTTCTATGGTCGTTCAGAAAGAGATCCGCATTAATCTGCTTCTTAGGCAGTAAACTTGAAAAATCATGAGACATCTTAAGTAACGAAGAACTTGAAAAAGTACGAAAACGTATATGCTCTTACCCGACCTTGTAGGAAACATGCCTTGGACATTCAATACTCAATGCCAGAATTAGATTCAGATTTGTTGGTTGCGAATAGGAGGCTGGGAGCCTATATTTACCCTTTTCTGGTAGACTTCTATGTGGTTGTCCAATCCTTTTTGGACGAGTCAGTTGATAATGCAGGCAGCAATTCTTCCAGGAGTCGATTCCAGGCGCTGGCTACTCGATGTGAGAACAAGTACTCTGCGGAGACTACGTCCGTTCTTTTCTTTTGTAGCCTCGTGCTATTTCCTCTGAGGTGGTCTGACCTGGTGGGGAGCAAAAGAGGAGATAGATCAGGTCCAAAGTCATTTCGTAAGATCCTGTATAGCATGATTAGGTCTCCTCTCTGTCTGTGATTGGACAAGGTGAAGAGGCTCAGCTCCTTAGGTCATTCTTCATGGGTGAGGCCAGCCGTCACAGGTATCTTACAAGTGGCTGCCCTCTGAACTTGTTCCAGAAGGTCTGCATCACCTTTCAGGCAAGGATATGCCACCTATGTACAGTTTTCTAATTTAGACCTAACTAAGGATGTGTATAGGATGGGGAACATATCACCGCTTATTTTCTTAAACGTTCTACGCGATGGCTCAACTGACAATGAGCCATGGTTTTCAAGTCATAACTGACTGTGGGTCAGTACTGACGGTAAAGGAGTCCCATAAACATTGTAGGTGTTGCTGTGTGCCCAAGTGCAAGTGAAGAGTTGTGAGTTGATCCTAACTCTTTGTCTCCTATCAACAAGAAAGTCTTATCCATGCAAGCAGATTACCAGTGGTTCTGAAACTTTCCAGTTTCCCGAGTCACCTGGAATGAGGTACTTTGTCGAACGCCTTACTAAAGTCAATGGAAATGACATCTACAGGTATCCTGTCACCTTTAGACTTAACCCAACTTTCTCTGGCTGTAACAAGGTCTGTCATGCAAAAGAAATCTCTACGAAAACCGTGCCGTGAATGGGACAGCAGAGTGTTGGTCTCTAGGTGGACTATGGAGGCCTTTTTGGCTACTCTTTCTAGGATTTTCACCACGGTGCTAGTCAAATTTATTGGTCTGTAATTTGATGAGAGCTGCCTGGTACTTACCTTGTGGATAGGTGTTACCGTGGCATTCTTCCAGTCATAGCGGAGTGTGCCCTTACTGTGAGAGTATGAACGTGTAAGTCACTGTGCCCGCCACATATGGTGCAAGCTTTCTGAACAGCTCACCCGGTCCCGTTGATTTTCCTACATCGAAAGTACTCAATGTCCGAAATGCATCACTACGACCGTCATCCACAGAGTTTATTCTGTTGGATATCAATACTTTAGGATTTGTCCTGCTGCGAACTTTACAGACGCAAAGACCAATCACTAATTATTCGGACTTGTTATATACCCACGAATACGAGACCAAGGAAGAACACAATAGCGTAGTCGGATGGAATAGTATATTTGGATGGTTGTGCCAAAATACCGATGCGTTCCAACTAACTGGCTGGAGAGTCGAATACGAGCAGTGCAACGTAACACGACAGCGCGCCAGGATGGTTGACCGGGTGCCTTCGGCTTAGCGAGTCCAGTTAAACTATCAAAGTCAGCATCAATGTTGAAGGTCGTCAAACCCTATGCTATTGATTTTGGGGAAGTGTGTGACGCTACAATACTTCTATCGTTGGATTAGTGTCCACAGAAGATTCCTGTGTGAAGACCTCAGCAAAATATCCAGTCATGGCCTCTGCTTTTTCCCTAGAATCTTCAATCAAACAGTCATTTTTTGTCTCATTGATTGTGGCGGGTATACCACGACAAGTCTTATTTCTATGTTTCAAACGGGAAAATGACTTCTTCGGATGCTGTAATGCAGCCTGGGCAAGACGTCTTTCAAAGCATATAGCAGAAATACGTTTGCTGTGGGCTTCTTTGTAGTGCTTCACCACTTTAGGTGTACCCAGGTGGGTCGTAAGACTCCAACACTTTTTCCTACGTTGTCGCAAGATTTGGACTTCTTGGTTTATCCACGGAGGACGGTGCTTCCATCCCCTCGGGACAGTCCACGGAATGAACGGTTTGGTCACTCGTGCATATAACTGTTTGACGGCTTACCGCGCACCTTCAAATGAGGCTTCTGAAATGACCGTACAGTCATTCGAAAGGGTTACCAGGTTAATAGCTTCCATATTCACTTCCCGTATGTTGGGTCTACCTGGGGCATCAGCCTCGTACAAGACATCTACTGTGAAGCTGATGATCACAGCGTGATCACTTTTGCCAGGGGGTGTAGGCGCCGGATAAAGTATGTATCATCGGTATATGAAAATACCAAGTCTAGAACTGATGGAGCATGCTGATGATCATATCCGATTGGTGTCCTAATGTGCTGTGTGAGGGCTAAGGGAATTGATGTCTTCATTGGTCAAACGAATTACATGGTTCTTTTGTTGTTGGTCTACCCCAGTCAACTGATGGAGCGTTGGAGCCCCCTACAACTGGACGTCGGCATTCGTCTGTCCGGAGGGTCAGCTTATTCAGGAGGAAGTCTGCTACCTTACATTCAGGACTTCAATATATTACGGTTACGTTAACATCTTGCCCCTTGCATTTTAGTCGGATCCAAGAAGAGAGCCAGGTTTTCGAGACGGCAATAATGTCAGAGCTCGCGTTGCTTATCACATTACTAAACTCAGTCCACTGGTTTAAAAGAATACGTGTACTTGCGTACAGGTCAATGAAACTACGTGGATGAGTCTCCATCCTATCCATAGAGGCTTTGGCATCATTTGCTGCCAAAACCTCACTACATGAAAACCCACTACTTTCAGATCTTGCTCTCTAGCTGCTAATCTAGATTTTAGTTCTCCTCCTCGTCTTTTGACTTGATCAGCAAGAGCCAGATCCTTTCGCACGAAAGCCCTGGATCCTTGAAGTCTGTGAGCATTCTTCGGAATCTGATTCCTCCCACCTGCTGGCCTGAGGACGAATTTAAGTAGCTGAAACTTATTTTCAGTAATGACTGTTTCCTGTTTTTCTACTCTATATGTCTCGAGTAGGGTGACTCCTGGCACTTTTTTGGCAAAAGCTGGTTTGCCAAACTTTGTACCTTGCCAAGATCATGTTCGAAACGTTTACGTGGTTCTGGGTCTACTTGCTTCTACTCCGTGGAAGATTACGGACCTGTCAGGGAGCTCTACTTTTTCTTTGCCCTGTGAAGTGATGATAGCTGGTTCGGTGACCGTTACTGGCTTCTTAGCATGCCGTTTATACCCAGTTACTTGCTATTTCTCAGGATCGGGCATGCAAGGTTTACTAAAGCCCAATACAGTGACTCTGACGCTGACAGCCTCATAACGGACTTGCATCCTATTCTGTTTCGCGCCTGTCAATGTCTGGGTTGCCGAATTGGGTATGACCTGTGTCCTATATGGTTCCGTGATTGAAACTGTGAGCGCTTCACTCCTGTTTCTTCCACCTGAAGTAGACCGATTCTTACGGTCAGCATTTTCCGGACTGGGTCTGCCAGCTCCGGGAATGCGAGATCCAGAAGGTGCTCGCTCCACGCCGCTTGGTGTAGTTTTTTCTACGTCGCTGTCAGCAAACCAAGTTCCTAAACGTTTGCACAGCAATCCGCGTGTCAGTGGATCGTGTCGTCGCCACTGTCACAGTTGTCGGCTTTGGCTTCCGACGGCAGTTTCTTAGTTACCGTATTTAGTAGTTTCTTTGCTTCTCCTACTGGAGTGAGGATATCCTAGCGGCACAACATACAAAGCCAGATACCTTCTGCGTTGTTGTACCTCTTACATGCTGAGGGTGTGGGGCTTGTGCAGTTACCGAGAAACCAGCCCCTACATTCGCTACACTGCATATCAGAGGCCACTGTGTAGTAGCACCCGGCCTTACCACACGCATTTTACGACACTTTTAGCTCACTATGGGGCAGAAACTACAACAATTCACCCTGTAAAAGTTCCTATCTCACGTTGCTTGAATAGTATTCCTATTAGAGCAAAAATACATTGATTTTTGATGTGCAACCACAAAAAATGACAAGAACCTAGCTTAATGTGGAAGGTCACCCTCCTCTTCAAACAGTGGTGTGTGCAAAGAAAATCAATATTTTCCACCTCAACACTTGATTCTTATATCTTATTCAAGCTTGTCCCTATTGTATGCAGGTCAACTTCCAACATTATTCTGGTTGTCAAATGGTTTTCAACTGTTCGGAAAAGGAATAGAAAAAGCCTTCGCTTAAATAGCGATCCTCTGGTTTTGATCTCTGTTGGAATTAAACTGGGATGATAGGAAACTTGTTGAATCGGAAGAGGAAGTTGGCTGTAGTTGAGCCAACGCACATGACATAAATAGGCATTAATTCGGAGTTCAAAAGATTCAGACAAAGTAGTCCGAATATCTACAGCACTGTCATTGCGAAATTAAACAACTCTTGGTGGGTAGAAGTAGAATACTCTCATGACTGGCGTCACTGCTCTAGACATAATTTCAAGGCATGTCCCCCAAGGTCAGTGTCACAACTAAAATGTTTGGAGTATCATAAGCCATCACAAAATCCCCTTTAATTCATTTATATTTCTAGCTCAAATGCTACCAGTTGTCACTTATGTTTTAGACCCGATTCTTCGGAAGAAGAACGTCGATGACATCCAAAATTGGAGGGTAGTAGGCAAGGAGGCTGGCTGTACACCACTCCAATGACTTGCAGCAAACTGAACTTTGGTCGTCTGCAAACCATTTAAACTTCAACCTGGAAAAGTACAAAGTAATGCACGTTAGTATTCGCGAAGCAAGTATGGCCGAAATCCAGTGCTGCTTGAGCAGCTGATTACTAGTTATACCGCCAGAACATTAAGACAGTGAGTTACACTCATGGAACTATGGAGGACGTCACTTATTCCATGGGTTGGGCTGCGAGTGAAATAAGAAGCCCGGTCCAAGCATCGCAACGTGTGCTACATCTCCCCCCAGATAGCGTTTTGTATCATCCAATTACGTT